TGGCTGCAGCGGGTCGGGAAGATCTTGTGTGGGGTTTCTGCTCATCGCACTGACAAAAAGCAAATAACAGCTATTCCCTTCCTTTCCCCCGAGCTCAAAGATCTGGATTGGAGATCGAGTGTCTGCTATTCGCTGGTATCCGATCGACTTAGTCGTTTCCAACAGCTGAGGAATCAGCCCAAATGACAATGTCTTGTCTGACACGAGTTTGTCTTATCAGGCAAGGTGTCTATGTGGGCAAGGGATTGATGGAGTGCTTTTGTGTCACTATTCGCAGCATTGACCTTGGCCCTGGAACTTTCTCATTTGGGATCATCGCCGCCTTTGCCAAGATGGACAACAACATCAAAGGATTGTACGCGGGTTTACTTATTTGCCTAGACTTAATAACTCTTGGTATGACAGAACAAGTGTCCCATTTCTCGCTTGCGCCTGTTGGAATCCTTCTCGGCGTAACGAGATGATGTAAAATGCACTGTCAGTCTCGCCATTCTGTGCCGCTGCTCTTGACTCGTAGAGTATGCAACAACATACCTGATAGGGCTCCTGTGCCCCAGTCTTGCGTTTCTGATCCTCAACACCAATACCAAAGTGCCCTTTTTTACATGTACATGATATGTATCGTATTCTCAAGGATTAGAATGCCTGTCGCCCGTTGAGAAAAGATTCCAGCAACCCTCGTTAAGAAAGGTTATCGGTAGGGCTGCAATTTACATGAGACAAAGGGGGTGTTTTTTTTTTTGTTCAGCAATCAGAGACAAGTGCCGATGACATGACAGTACAGTCCTGCTTTCTTACGTGAAGCTGTTAAGCGAGGTCGATCCTTTATCTGAAACGGGGTTATTTAAGGTTACGTCGGACGAATGAGGCCCTGAGTGGAAGGGATTGGGGGCCCTTTCTCTGTCAGATCCATTTTGGATGTCACGTTGAGTTAATTGCGAGCGGTGACATTCTGAGTTGAATCCTTAGTTATTGTCTGAAGGATCAAGCGACATGAAGTAGAGACTCCGTTTGCAGGTGATATTGACATGGTAAGAATCATGACAGCGATCGACATTTGAACGGGCCCATCGAATGAGATGAGGGGGTGTAAGACAGGAAGAGGGGCTAACCTCGTACTCATCCTGGAATGCTTCCAGAAATATTCTGGAATTATTCCTCTTTAGGTTGTTGTTGTCAGGGGTGTGTCAGTCCCAAGGTTGGAAGTATCCTGCGCTGTAACTGTGCTGTAGCATACATATTGAACTGCAGCCAACAACAACGGCATCTTCCGTTTTATTGAATCTAGATCCATGTTCGTCGTCTTTTCTCCAGATTAGGTAGTCTGGTTCACTAAACTCTAGTACCGGATTCATTCAATCTTGGCCCTGTTCTGTTAGTTCAGGTTAGTCAACACCCCAAACTCTACTGCAGGGCGCACCTCGGTGCTTATGCGGACCAGGCTTGTTTTGGCGATTAAATGCCCTACCCTTGTCATTTATCACTGACACATATTGAAGTACCCTACAGAGTACCCTGTCAGTTCAGTTCCTTATAGGGCCTTGCACACTGGTTAATTCGAAACAATCACATGCATTCTAGCAAGTACTCCGTACAAGTGCGGAAGTTGATGAACGGACGCTACTCCAGCCCAGCTCATCATTGAGGCTCGAGCACTTCTGATCTCCATCTCCATTGCGGTGCAAATTCCGCGCGGAATACTTACTTAACTTAACCTGACCTATAGTCTCTCCACTTGATTGCGTTGACCTGAATTGAATGGCATCTTCCGCGTATGGCTCTGGTCTGGGCCTTGATCTAGTGAATTCCGAGAGTTTGGATGGTGAAACTACGAGGTCTTGGACATGAACGGATGAAAGGAGCAAGCAAGAGAACAAGGGCGAGTGCAGGATCTGTATGTACCTTTTCCTTGCTTGCTACGCCTCATGGTAAACATGCTAAATGGAAGAATCCCTACCAATCACCCAGCATAGCATGTTTTCACAAGCTTTTTCAACCGACAAAACGATCAGATCATGGTCGTCAATATCGAATTTGGTGTCTGTCTAGGAAGGAAGCCTTCTAGAACGGAGGTGTTTGCCCTTCGCAGACTCGCCTTCCGTGGAGATCCCAAGAGGTCCGAAAGGGGTCGGACGGAGGCTATTATGTGTATCTTCCGACCACTGACGTCGGTCCAAGCTTCTTGCTCGGGGTTCATCTTTTTAGGTTTTTTGTATGAAGCTACGGTAGTTACTCCATAACTACACCCTGTTCCTGGTAGGGCGGGGGGACGACAAGGAGAGGGAGAGTCAATGCCGCTCACCTCTTTCCGTCAGCGGAACGGCAGTGAAAAGAAATGGAGCTGAGTTGTATTTGCTATCTCCACTTGTAAATAAGATCGAGATATGAGGATGAGTGTATGAACATTGTGCTTGATAGTGATTCTGAGATTGCGATATGCTGTGCCTCTTTGTAATTTAACGTCTAGATAATAGATGATAGTTGTGATTGATGTACGGCAGATAGAGTACATCACAACTAAATCTCCGACGGTGTTTCTTCTTGTCAACTCTTTCAAACCCCAGCAGAACCTAAGCCTGGGGGAACTTTTACGCACCCCACTACTGGTTGCGGCAGTAGAGGCCGCGCGGTGAGGGGGATCTCTCTCAATTGCTCTCTCAGTTGCAAATTCAAGGGCCTGGGCATGGAACTGGACGTGTTTTGACTTGTGGGGGTTTCGATACATGGTTCAGGTTTCGAGCGGTAAGGCCAGCCCAGTTCAACCTCAGGGATAGGGATGTCCATCACCTTGGCCCTGTCTGTCTAGTACTGTAACCTCGATTGCGATGCGATGCGAAATGGTCGCTTCGCTTCGCGTTCGGTCTTTTGACATAATGGACACCAGCCCTGTTCTGGGAAACGTCATACGGCATTACATACTACCGTAGATCATATCTCCGAGCTGATGCCTTATATCCCCCGGATGTTAAGACTTTTGCAAAAACGGTAGATGCAACTCAGTCGGTAGGGCTGGAGTCCGACTGTGCATAAGCATCCGCTGAATGGAGACGATAATCCACCGTATGTACTGTAGCCTACTGTATCTGTACCTCCTTTTCAACAGCCCGCATATGTTTCACCAGCCTTCGGAGGTTTAGGCAAAATGGGTTCCCCAGACGGGATATCTTTTCCAGAAGAGGTGCGATTTTTCTTTGTAAACGGCCCGTTTTGTACCAGACTGTCGGGAATCTGATATGCATGATTCGGAGGCACGAGACATGTCCGAGATGTCCTGGTTATGGAACAATATATTCCGAATGCTATGGGATGGAATAGGGGGACTGTTTGTAGACGAGTTTTGTGTCATGTTACGGTGTTGTAGGTAGTCCCGGGTAGAAGGCCGTGTAAGTCGAGCGACGATGCATGAGGAACTGTTCGTAGAATCATGCAAAGTCGCCCGACGAGTGCTTGGAAGTCTACGGGATGTTTAACTGAGGAACGTTCTCGTAGTCTCGTCTGTTCTACTCTTGCCACGGTTGACGTGGCTTGGCTGGACTTACATGCGCAATCGTGTTCGCAATACTTGGGCTACGCCTTCTCGTCAAGCAGTTGCGCCCACATACCGGATCCTTGAACGGTTGGGAGCAACGTTGACAAATAGTGGCGGCCGACAACCTGCATGCAGCTCGCCATGCTTGCCCCATCGTAGCTCTGATGCCATGAAAGAATCCAGCATTGGCTTGTTGGAACAGCAAATTTCACCACATGCCTTACTCGGAGCTGTAATCTGAGCAAGTTGGCAGTTCTCTTGGGGCACAGGGTAAGTAGGCTCATTGCGAACAACTCCAACTCGTCGCTCGACTCATCAGTCTCATTCTCTGTGCCTGAAAAACGTCTTCAATTGTTAGAGAATGGTGAGAAGAAGTAGCCTATATCTTCTTGGCCCATACAAAGGGATAACCTTTAGCGTCGGGCTCTTCTGGCTCTTGATGTCCCGATTTACTTTTTCACATTGACAGACCGCCTGATAAAAGTCGAGAGTCCACAGGCCACAGACACAGGTCTTTGACGTGATGGCCACGTCGTAGCGACAATGCCAAAACAACTTCCTAATTGCATTGCGCCACCAACCGTATTCATCTTGTGAAGTTGCTCTTTGGAAGCGACGGGGTCATAATCTGGCGCTCGCCTTGGACAGCTGTATCAGCCATTGCGCAAGCTTAGACGGCCGACACTCTGATGCTACGTTCCCAGATCCAGTCGAACATCCCCAGACAATTTACCTCAAGGCTTCCCAGCCATAGAGACCTGGCTTTTGGATATTACTGATGGCCTAGTATGCTGCGTCTATCGCTAAGGCAGAGCTTGTTCTGACCAGGCCACAGCTGTGACTCCAGACTTGATCCAATCTCACGAAGACCTTGAAGAGACCATGCGGTCAATTAAGACGCCGTCTATGGATAGGCAAAGCCATATCGTCGGGATGGCTTTGTCTCTCCAAAAGCGAAGATGCTTGATATCTCCCCTCCCAGCCGATCCGCCTTCGGGAGATAGTTCCTGGGTGGTCACTTGCATCTTGCAAAACTTCATCGTGCTTATGACAAACAAAAATCCCATGGGGTCTTTTCTTTGCGAGCGATAAGAACCCATTTCGTCCCTACTAAGGGGATTTGGAACGACTTAAGAGATCGGCCTGATCACAAGGAATACGAGACATGGAGAAGAAAATGGAGATAGGACGGACAGATACACAATTGCCGCGACGGTATCGGAATTTATCGACGGATAGAGGTGGGATTGTTGGTGTTTTGTTTGATTGCTTTCATTTCGGATACGAACTACAGATACTAGATTGACAAAATAACACTTGATTTGGGGGTATTTACATTCTACTCTTCACCTTGCTCATGTGACTTGATGTTGTTCCTGGCTTTATGATGGCTCAACTCATCGTAGGCATGAGCCTTTGCACACATAGAGATATAGTAAAAGCCGTTTATAGCCAGACTCACAGACATCGCTCACAGGCAAAAGAACAGAGCCAGAATACCAAAACCCATAAGGGCATCCGCAAAGGTATTCTCATCTTCCTCTGCCTTGGGGGGCATGGGGTTTCCGCTGATATCTTGCAACCAGTCCTCCAGCTCAATCAAAATGTATTTCTCGTTCGCTGGCGAGTCTTCGTATGAACCATTCGATGATTTCCGTGAACCGTCCGTTGAGCTCATTCAGCTCATCCATTTTCTCTTGTCCCACCCCCGGGAGGTTCTGGATGGGCATTCTCATGTTCAGTCTGATAAGCTCAGGTTTAGAAGGAGCTTTGCCGGTTTTGCCGTTGCCGTTGTTGTTTTTGTTGGTGTCGCGGTCAGACATATTGCTTTGCAGTTGTGGTTGTGGTTGTGGTTGTGAAAGTTGTTTGTGTAGTAATGAGCTTGGCAAGAGGACTGGTGGTTTGAAGATATGAGTTGGGACATAGGCAAGCAGGTATCTATATTAATCTTGATATATGGCTACCGGAATATGTTTAGTAATATATCATTTGTTGGGCATCTAAACAGTGTTGAGAGTCCACGGTTTCTTTGTTCTGGAAATATTCACGATGCCTCAAACGACACAGAGTTGCAATGATAGAAGGAAGCAGGGAATCCACATGGATTCAGAGAGAATTTGCCCTGATTCTATCATATATCTTACTTGACTATATGGTTTAGACTAGTTGAATAGCTTGGAAGACTCATATCCGCAAGAGAACCAAGAATCTGGATGGAAAAGCCAGCACAGCCTTGCGCAAGACTGAACAGGAATAGAGAGACGGCGGATTAAGCGGTGTAGCGTTTGAATGAGGTGCTCCAACCGTCTTTTTGACCCATGCAAACTCCTTACTGAAGCTCCATGTCCGTCACCAGTTTGGCACTCCTGAATTGGATGGCCACTTTTGGCGGAACGGCTTCTTGCAGTAGTTGCCCGGGGCTGCAACTGGGTGAGTTCCATGTTTTCAGTAGTCTGAAGGATGAGTTAGTTGAGTTGTGAAATGAACTCTTGTGGCTTTTGTGGTGACCGTATCTTTTGCCTGCCTAGCTTGAATGAATGTAATGCTGAAGTGTTTGTATCTTCCGTGCCCCATCTATTTGAATCATGACTACATGGGTATAGACGATGTGGTTGAATCGTATTTGAGACCTATTAAATCGCCTTCTTGAAGCCGCATGTTTCTGTCGCCAGGTGACACTTCCAGATTGGATATTCACGTTTCACAAAGCGGCCTATCACAGTATGTGTCTAAGACGTCAGTTCTGTATTCTTGTTGCCAACAGTGAGTTGAGAGCTCTTGGCTTTCAGAGTGACCGCATCTTTCACCCGTCCAGCTTGAAAGAATGCTGCCAAAGTGTTTATATCTTCCACGCCTCATCCCTTTGACTCAAGGCAGCATTGGTACGAATGAGATGCTCCAACCATCCTCGAGACCTTTTCGTTCACCTTGCTGAAGCTCCACGTCTCTATCACAGCGTGACACTTCTAGATTGGATGGGCACTTCTGATAGGGCGGCTTCTCTCAATATAGGAAATTAATTAAATGACGTTTGTCCGTGTTAATATGTAACGGCGGGCTGTCGGGGGCACTCATGGCTTTTTCTCTTTCGTTTGTCTGGTCACACAAGGCTTGCGTGTTTGTATCTCCCATGCTCAAGACAGCACAGCTTCATAAGCCTTCCTCCCAGGGGTATCATGAATGACATCAATCCACATAACATCCCTCACCCGACTCCTAACGTCCTTCCATCCCTGTCTTCCTGCCAAACTTCTAATCGTCTGTACAAGCCACTCCTCCGTCCCCTCAAAAACCATCATCGAACCAACAAGGAGCAGCCAAAGCTTTATATTCGCAGTAGCCTCGCCTAAAACAGGGACAGCTTGTATAGTCTCTTGCATCTGAACCCTAAAAGACTCCGACTTTAGCTTCGTACCCTGTATTTGCAAGAATATAGTTGATTCGTAAGCTAGTAACCCAACACGTAAAGCTTCTTGTAATGGTTCAGTGAAGGATAGCTGTAAAAGTCTATACTGTATTGACAGCATGATTTCCTGGAAGGCTTCGGGCTTGAGCTTTTGAGAGGTCGGTGAGAGACGGTTTGCCAAGAACGAAAAATCGCGGAGGTCCTTGAAGGTGTTTTGTAAACGGTAGTCCCAGGTGTAGTATAGGTTCATAAAGTTCAGTGTTGGAGGTTGAATGTCGAAGGAGCATGCTACGGTCCCGAACGCTTCGAGAAGAGGTTCCCATGCTGGTTTTCCGGAGTAGATTTCTGGCTTACAGCCGTTTCTTATAGACCAGCCAAGATCGACCCTGCCAAGTTAGTGGTTGCATGAGATGGGAGGGGGGAAACTCACCGACATAGCTTTATCTGCAATTGACGATTATGCGTATACGCCTGCAATCCACCTCTCATCCTAACGATCCTCCTAAGTCCATTAGAATGCGCTTCAAAAGCCTGCACATCCTCCATAGCGTCCGCCATCATAGCCAGTGAAATGATCGTTGCCGTAGTAGTATCCTCCAACTGCTTCTTCGGGTCTTGTAATTTATCTTGCAACAGCATAATCGTGTGTCGAAGCCTCTTTCTCGTCTCGACACTCCAATCCTGTCTTTTCACCAAGTCTTGAAATGCGCTGACCATGAAACAGATGCAGTGTAAGTAGGCGGGATCTTCGAGGAGCCAGTGGAACCAGCATGTTTTTTGACGGTCGGAGTCGAAGCACCATTCTGCTGGGTAGAGTGTTTCTTTTATGGTTGTTAGGACTATAAATATTAGCAGAGATTATTAGAGGGGAGGGAGAGAAGTACATTTGTAGATAAGGTGCCGTGAGTTCTTATCCAGGGGCGTAGCAAATGTGAAGAGATCTAGATCAGGAGGTGGTTTCATGAGATGGATTAGAAGAGAGGGTGATTGAACCCAAGCTCTGTCTCTGGAGTGTGTATGGCCGACGGTCCATAGGGAGTCATCTTTGATGGTCGTTACTGCCAACGGCACTGGACGATGGATTTCTTCCACATCATCTTGGCTGGAGTCGGGAGATATACTGTCACTTGGTGGTTGTCTAGGTGGGCTTTTCTTGGTGTTCTTGCCGCGCATTACATGGCTACGGATGAACTTGCGAGTTTCGGGTGCAGGTTTTCCTACTGGACCTGAAGATACAAACTCGAACTTTTTAGCTAAGCTTTAGTTAGTAATCCCCATCATAGATGCATAGTGTAGAACTCACGACCCTGACGAGGTCCCCTACGAGCTCGCGGCTTCGGCTTCGGGTCAACGAGCGCAGGTTGCGCAAAGAATGGTTCTAACATAGCGTCGGACTTTGGATTCCCGTCTATTTTTCGCAAAATACCGTATTCTTCACGAAAGATGATGAGTGAAAGATGAGATTATTTACCCTTTACGGATATCAATCCCTCGTTATCAGTGACAGTCAGCCAAGACATGATTGTTTTCCTATTCAGGTTAGAGTCAAGGGTATCATGGGGATAAGCACTAATGCCGATCTCCTCCATGTTGACAGAATCACTATGCCTGTTAAACGGTGTGTAATGTTTGGTGCTTTATTCTTTCGTTGAGATTGGTTTCCACTTAGGGACAAGCGTTCTTTGGTTGAGTTAAAGTATCCTGGTTGGCTCGGGTTTAAAGGGTTATCCGAAAATGCGCTTATAATTGATCCATGACGATGTTGTGATCAATAACCTCATTCAATTGTTTTCCTATTTGGGTCGTAGATAGCTTAATTCCGTGACTTATATCGGTTGTGAAAGATATAAAGAGTTCTTCTCCTCATCGTTAAGATATTTAGAACACATCAATGCAATCATCACTTCTTACAACCAATATACAATACTCAACACCACACTTCAACATTTCCAAGACCATCATGGCTCCCAAATCTCTTGACCTCGTCGCAGACGACTACCACTTCCTATCATCCCAGTTCACAAAGCCCATCGTTCTCCCATCACTTGACCTCTCCTCAAGCACCATCATAATCACCGGCGCAAATACAGGCATCGGCTACACAACCGCCCAAAAGCTCCTCTCTCTCAACCTCAAGCGTCTCATCATCGCAGTACGATCGCTCTCAAAAGGTGAATCCGCTGCATCTTCCCTGCGGTCTCAATATCCCAAATCTGAAATCCTCGTTTGGGAAGTCGACATGCTTTCATACAAAAGCGTGCAGTCTTTCGCGGAAAAGTGCAAGACCTTGGATCGTATTGATCTTGCAATTTTGAACGCTGGAGCACAGTTTACGAGATTTGAACTTGGACCTGAGGGCCACGAGAGTTCATTTCAGATCAATTATCTTTCGACGATTCTGCTAGCTACGCTTTTGTTGCCTACGCTTAAAGAAAAGGCGCCGAGTGGTCAAGCTGGTCGTTTGACCATCGTCAATTCAGGAACGTCCCTTATGGCCGAATTTCCCAACGCCAACGATGACGAGGTCCTAGCATTCTACGATGACAAGAAGCATTTCTCAGAGGGGTTGAATCCCATGCCTTCATACGCCAAACACAAAGCCCTCGCTCATTTCTGGATCTACAAGCTCTACGAACGTCTTTCTCCCAAAGATGTGATCGTCAATCTCGTTGATCCAGGTTTAGGTAGAAATACAGGTCTTCAACAGCAGGGGAATGTTGCAGTTCAGTATGTCGCTGCTGTTATGAAGTGGTTTGTTGCGAGGAGTTTGGAACAAGGTGCGGATACGCTTGTTCAAGCTGGTTTGGTTCTGGGGGAGGAGAGTCATGGATCATACATTATGGATTGGAGGATTCATCAGTGAGTATTGCCCTTTCTTTTGTGCTTGGAGAGATTGATGCTAATGAGGAATGCAGTTTTACCAAGTTCCTGCATACGAAGGAGGGACAGGCTTTTGCTGGGAAGGTTTGGGATGAGACGTATGAGGAGCTTCCTGTTGATGTTGATGGGATTTTGAAGGCTTTGTAGGTGGTGGTGCTAATGGTAACTGTCTTTTGATGAAGGTGTCAGGCGCATGGGTTGTGTTTTAAATAGGTTCGTATGGATTAGTATGGTTGATAGACTATAGAATAATGCTTCATGTTTTATCCGATATGCCTGTCCACTTGTGCTGGTTTGGTTCATTTGCGATGGTGGATTAGACGTGCTGCGAGGAAAGTCGACATGGATACAGTATCGCCACTTCTCCAGTACAGCCGTTATGGTTAACTGCTAAACGTTTTAACATCCCAAACTAGACCTTATTTCCACGTGCTTGTTTGTCATTTTAACTTTAACAAGACCTCAAATCTTGAAAGTGTATAGTATTCAACATGTTGTGATGTCGAATTAAAGACTCAACATACAGAGCTAGCCACCCTATACCATTTCACCCATACCAGGGCTCGGTGCCGTAACGGTGCCGTAATCTTCCAAAATCCCAGCGAACCAACGAAGAACAAAACAGTGCCGAACAAACTAACGCCCAGCTAGATCTACAGCAAGGTCTCGGCTCATAATTGCCAAGCTGCCAATTCATGGCAGACTGCCGTGACAAGGCCGTAGTAGCACAAGCTGACAGGGCATCTCCTGCTCAATACGACGCTGCAGAACCTAAGATACGAGCAACAACCCTACGTGGAAGTCGCGAACAACATGGCGTGAATAGTTACAAACACGAATTGAAAGAATTCACTTTCAGTTGTGCCGACAGCCGTATCGTTGCATGTTGATCAACAAAGTCCGGGGTAGCCAATAAGAGGTACAGCACATGTTTCGTCAATGTTACAAAAGTGGAAGCAAGAAGCCCGGGTAATCGGCCTTGGACATTTTGTATGTACACTGTCAGAGTGCAGCTCACTGTAGGTTTTGAGAACGCCGAGACGTGAATAGGCCGGTAGCCGTGCCGTCACTTCCGAGGACGGTACGTACCGCATATACCACGGGGAGTTTCTGTCGAAGCTGATATACATGAGAGGGGATATCCGTGATATTTATATTTAATTGTTATTGAGGTTAATAAGGTTAGGCAATATTTATGGTCTCTGACTTGAGTAGTTTATGGGAGATTGATTCGGGGAGTCTGGAGATGGGGGATATCCGCTGTGGTGGTTGTTACGGTTCTCACCATCAGGGTAAAAGAACAAGTGACTAAAGACACTATTAGGAACAGAATAAGCCAGGCACTTCATACCAATGTGTCCATGCATCTAGACTACTTTATTTCAGCTACCTACTCCTCATAGGTCTACCATTCCATCACCCAGTAGTCTACTCCATGGCGCCAAGACATGGAGAAGGGGACCACCTAACTCCCACGAGCCAAGGGGTTGTAGCACTGTCCCAGTGACTGATTCCTTTCGCCTCATTCGCAGCTGCTGCCAAGTTTATAGAACCAGAAATTGAGCAGATATTGACGACTGACAAGTACAGTGGTCTTTTCAAGCTACTAGAATCCAAGATCCAAGCTTAATTTACAGTGTTTGACCTCTAAAGTTTCTACTGTAGGTGTCTGTTCCTAATTGACGCGTAGTACGGGCTCCTACTATATACCGTATAGACTCTACCTTCTCCCGCGGCACCAAATCTGCCGTCTTTGCCGTTGGGTTGCTTGCTTTTGGACTACGGCTACCTAGTTCCGAGCCCGAGCCTTTCCCCCCAAAGCCCCCCAGGTCTTCTCCGCCCAATCATAAATGCCATATGTATCCACAGAAAATCCTGTGTTGTACCAAAAGGGCCCGCCACTCACTGTGAGAGTTAGTTACCTACAGTACAGATTCAGTTGAAAGTGCAGCGCATCCATTCTTACCCGTCATTTCTCTCGTCTCATCCTTTCCTTTCCTTCCTTGCCTTGCCTCGACTCCAACTTGCCGGATTCCGATCCTCTTTTTCTCCTCTCCTCCCCAGATCTTCGTCAACTTCACTGGGCATTTATCGCGACACATAACTCGGGACAAGAGCAATTCACTTCTTCGACGACTGCGCCACGCGTTTCTCAATACAGTGCACTCTGTACAACCCGATTTCTGTCTAGACTCGACTCGATTTGTCCCGACCACTCAATCAATACCTGCTTTTCTTTTTTACCACTCACACGCACACCCGGTGGTAACTCGACACAGACTCAATCGACCGGCTTCCTCCGTCTCGTCTCTTTCTCTACTACCTTGCTTTTCTCGCGCTCTTGTTTCTTGTCATCGCACCACCACGACAACTTCGATTCCGATTGACACGATCCAAATTACTGCATCAACATCTGTCGCTTGATCATCGCTAGCGCCTCATTAATTACCCCAGCGCGCAATCACAGAAAGAGCGACTTCAAGTCGAGGAATCTGACGGATACTGAAACTGGAGGAATAGCACGTTATACCGCCTAAAGAGGCCCCTGGCCATGGCCGACAACGAGAAGAGGGTTTCCGTAACCGGGGCTCAAGAGATTCCTCTTGATCCGCTGCCCCCGAGTCAACTTCCCATCGCTGGCGATTCGGCTTCCGAGTATGACGAGGTGAGTTGCACTGCGTTGCGCTACTTTGGATACTCTGGATCAATTACTGACACACAGGTAGTCCTTCTCCTACGATCAGGATGACATGCGCGATTACCACACCACCGAGCAAGACCTTCACGTCACCGAAGATGACCTACTCGAAGCTCGCGAACTGGCTTCCAAATACACCCTCGAAGATGTGCGACACATAATGGCTCGCGTTTATCGCATCCACGAAAAGGATCCCAATTTCCCGCTCACGGTCATCCAAAAGATTAAAGCTTTCCTCGAGAACGATGAATTATTTACGAACCCCGAGAAACACGAGAATCTGGTGCAGGAGATGAAGTTGGAGGCCGCCCTGATTACAAACAACAGCCCCTACGCCGAAGTTCGTGCTGTCGTGGAAAACAAGGATGACACGTCGATTCCTAGCTCGACTATTCGAAGTTGGGCTATCGGATTGATATTTTCTATGCTGCTGGCTTTTACCAACCAGCTTTTTGATATTCGACAGCCTGCTATTCGAATCATGGCCAATGTCGCTCAGTTGCTTTCATATCCAATTGGCAAAGGTTGCGAAAGATGGTTGCCCGATTATGGCATTACTCTCTTTGGAGTGCGCCACTCTCTCAACCCGGGTCCCTTCTCCAAGAAGGAGCATATGCTTATCACCATCATGGCCAACGTTGCGTACAACACTCCGTACACCAACTTGATCATCTGGGTTCAGTACCTCCCTCAGTACTTTAACCAGCCATATGCCTCCCACTTCGCCTACCAGATTCTGATCGCGCTGAGCACCAACTTTATCGGATACGGAATGGCCGGTGTCTGCCGTCGCTTCCTCGTTTATCCCTCGTACTGCGTTTGGCCAGCATCTCTCGTCACCATTGCGCTCAACTCTGCTTTCCACACAGACAACAACTCCCCTGTCCAAGGACCCTTTGCCAAGATCTGGCGCGTCTCCCGCATCAAGTTCTTCTACATCATGTTCGGCGCCATGTTTGTCTGGTTCTGGTTCCCCAACTACATCTGGACTTCGCTTTCCAACTTTAGCTGGATGTCCTGGATTGACCCTTACAACCGTGATCTCAACACCATTACTGGTTTTAATAATGGTCTTGGCATCAATCCCTTTCCTACCTGGGATTGGAACGTTCTTCTGTGGGACTCTGCCGATCCTCTCATGGTTCCATTCTTCAGCACATTTAACCGATTCGTCGGCGCTTTCATCTCCATGTGGGTTGTTCTTGGACTCTGGTACTCCAACATTTACAACACTGGATATCTGCCTATTAACAGCAACCGTGTTTATGATCGCTGGGGCCAGCTTTACAATGTTACGCGAGCTGTTGATGAGCGTGGTCTTTTCGATGCTGCCAAGTATGAGGACTACTCTCCTCCCTTCCTTGGCGCTGGCAACGTTGTCATCTACATTTTCTTCTTCGGTATCTATACCTCGACTCTCACCTACGCCCTTCTTTTCCATCGTCGCGAGATTGTCACTGGTTTCAAGGGTCTGTTCAACAGCATGCGAAAGAAGTCAAAGCGAGCAGAGGAAGTTCACGATCTTGACGTCCACACCCGTCTCATGAAGGCATACCGCGAAGTTCCTGAGTGGTGGTACATGGTCTGTCTCGCCTTTGCCATCGCATTTGGTGTTTCCGGTATCGCTGGTTGGGACACTCACACCTCTCCTGGAGTCATCTTCTACGGTCTTGCTCTTTGTCTAGTGTTTGTCATTCCTGTTGGAATCATCAAGGCCATGACCGGTATTGAAGTCACTCTTACTGTTCTTGCTGAGTTCATCGGAGGATCCTTCGTTGAAGGTAATGCGTTGGCTATGAACTACTTCAAATCTTTCGGCTACGTCACTTGTGCTCACGCAGTAATGTTCTCCAACGATCTCAAACTCGCTCACTACGTCAAGATTCCTCCCCGACATACCTTCTTCGCCCAAATCATCGCCACATTCATCAGCACATTCGTCTGCGTCGGCGTCCTCAACTTCCAAATGACTCAAATCCCCGGCGTCTGCACCGAAGATGCACGCTGGAAGATGTCCTGTCCCAGCGTCAACACCTTCTTCACTGCGTCTGTCCTCTGGGGTACTGTTGGACCCAGCAAGATCTTTGGCAAGAACGGTCTTTATACCGAGGTTCTCATCGGTTTCCCTCTGGGTGTGGTTGTCGTGCTTGCTATCTGGGGTATTAACAAGAAGTTTCCTCACTGGACTTGGACGCGACAGGTTCATCCTGTTGCGATTATGTATGGTGGTATTGTGTGGGCGCCGTATAATATGTCGTACGTCTGGCCTTCTGTGCCTATTGCGTACTTTTCTTGGATTTATCTCAAGTCGAGATACCTTGGCTTGTGGTCTAAGGTAAGCTGCCCCCATTCACCCCCATTATCCATCAATCCTCTGCCCCATATCACCCGACATCAATTTATCCACCAATCCACACTCTTCCATCACACCAATCCACATTCGTTGAGGCGTATACTAACATTTACAGTACAACTTTGTGCTCTCAGCAGCTTGGTCCTGTGGCATCGCTATAGCAGGAATCATCATCTTTTTCTCCCTTCAATTGGAGGGAACGGAATTCAAGTGGTGGGGTAACACGGTTGGTTACGTGGGATGTGAAGATGATGCTTGTCCTCTTCAGCCTTTGGAGGGAAGTGATTACTTTGGTCCCCGTGTTGGCGAGTTTCATTAGTCCTCACCGTGTTATCTTTCACCTTTGAGCTTACGATATGATGATTTGGCTGGCGCAATGTTACTGGGTAAAATGTTTTGAGCGTGCGTTTGTATTGGGAGTTCCTATTGGGACTCGAATCTGGAAATGGAAGACTTTTATATATACCCCAATTGCATTGACATAGAAGATGTCTGGACAGATATTGTATAAATATTGTTGAAGTCAACGGTTGCGATTTAGAGCGGTTGTGAGTTTGGGGGTTTGCCTGTTATTTGGCATGCTGCATTTTTGGATCACGATGAGATTGATATCGGCATTGCAATTGAAGGGTATCTTTTCTTCATTATACTATAGCTAAGAAATAAGACATGATATCATAATCCATAAGGGTAACAAAATATATGGGAGGATAAAGTGAGTGTGTGATCATTTGCGGCTGAGTGGTGATGACCCTCTTCGCTCAAACATACTTCCCCATGTAGAAACTCGCCTTTTGTCCACCGTAGGGCTAAAAGCAATTGAGTCGGGAGTCCTTCTTGATGAACCGCCACTACTTCTTCGATCAAGCTGCTCAGATCCCGGTGCACTACCTCGTCTGTCGAGATATTCAGGTCCACTACGTCGATCAACAGGCCCAGCATCTAGTTCCACCAAATGATGGCTTATACTCTCAGGTGTATCAGACGATCCAATCTCCGGAATGACAATCGTGGGGATGGGGGAGGGCATATCCTCTGGGATTGTTTCCGACTGTTTGCTTCGCGACCATGTATTCTTCAAACTCAACATACTATTCCTGTTTTTAAAGCTGCGTAGACTAGCCCTCAGAGTTGACTGTTTTGGTGGCGGCAGGAATTCGAGGATGGGTTTGAGAGGAATGGTGTTCGAGATCAAGTCCAATTGGGCATTCATGCTTGGATGCGCAAGAATGTCTTCCACACTCAGATTGGTAGAGAATACACTGTTCATCTCAGCCGTGAGAGCATGTGCTGGAAGAAGAGTCTGCGTAAGTGCGTAGAACGGCATACTCGGTAACTTTTCCGCAGGAATTGAAGGACTAGGAACAATGACTTTGTTCCAAATACCAACAATAGACTCCTGTACTTCTCTGCGCTGTGTAGCGTCCATTTCAACAGAGGTCGCAAAGACGTCCTTTGAAGGAAACGGAATGATGCAATCCGAACGAGATATTTCTTCAGAAGATTGAATCATGGGTTGATGGATTGTGTCGGGGTGTGTAACTGTTTCCCAAGCTGCGATGAGAAGACTTAGACAATCTTGTACGAATGAATGTTCAACCCTTGCTTCTGAGAATTTAATCTCGAGGGTTATGTTGTCGGTAGAGGTTGGTGTTGAACGGATGAAGAGATCTGGAAAGTCCTTTGTCCATGATTCTATCAGTCGATATGTAAATGTTGCGCCGTGGATGTTCATGGTTGATGTGCCATCTAGGGAGTTGGGCTCGTAGTGCTGCACGACTGTGCTGAAGGTAGTACAGGAGCGCCAGGGTGTGCATTTTGTAACGAGGTCTTGAATACCAATGTTCGAATAAGCATCGTGACTTTGGCGTTGCAAGTGTATGCAGTTCATCAGATCGAGTGGTGTACTATGCTTTGAAGGAAACTGAACCCGTACAGGGAGTGTGTTGCTCGAAGGTCCGATTGGAGAGGTATGTTGGATTACTTCCCCGAAGAGAACATCGTGTGTACTCGAGATTGTAGAAAGAACAGTAGCCCAAGCTGCTTTTAAAGCAATGTCTGGTGTCATCCCGTATGCTGCTAAATGACCCAGCGAAACAGTCTGTTTGAGGGTTCGTATTTCGGAGACTGAAGCTGGAGGCGTTGGTCGTGTTGACGAGAGGATTTTGGTCATTTTTGCATTGTCGAGTTGGACGTTCCAGTATTCTAGGCCTTCTTGATAAGAACTCTTCGAAGCACGAATATAGTCCAAGTAAGAAGACCCGGGCTCGTGGGCATCGCCGTCGTAGAGCGATGCAAGATCGTGGATGAGGAGATGGGCGGAGGCTTCATCGATTTGAGTCTTGCTGAGACGAATGACCAAAGATCCTTGTGTATCACCATTCAAGAAGGTGAATTTCGTAACGCAAACGCCCATGTCAAATGCTAAGTTCTGATTCTCCCGTACAACGTTCTGCGTAGCATCATCCAACGCACCAGCAGGACAAGAAATATTCAGAAATGGAGGCGATGTAGAAGCACAGTGAACTTGATAAACCTTATGCCCCCTCGCTACAAAAGCGATATTAAGAATAGCATGCATTTTGGATAAATTCTTGCAAGCGTTTTCTAAACGGGTTGGGTCGACGGGGCCGTTGAAGCGGAGGGCTATGTTGAGGATGTCTGCGCGGGTTTTGTACATGCTGAGTTCGAGGGCGTGGATTTGTTGGTGGGATGCTTCTGCGAAGTCGAGGACGTCTGGGGATGAGCAGTGGAGAGCGGGTGATATGATGTTCTTGACGAAAGACATGTCGAGATTTTTGGCGGGACGGGTTTTGATCTTTGTTGGTTTGTGAGAGCGGCATAACTCTGTGAGGGATGCTTCACTCAGCAGATCTGTTAATGACAAAGAAACACCGTCTTTTCGACACGCCACAACGAGTTTGGCTGCGAGATGTTTGTTTCCTCCTAACGAAAAGAATGTACTTGACCCTTTGATTGCGCTGATGGAGATGTTGAGAACATCTGCCCAATATTCCCTCATCGCTTCTTCAGGGCCAGTAAGAGGAAGGGGTTTCTGAGCGAGGATAACCCTGGGATTTGAAGCGTGCGACATATGAAGAATGTCATGCGTAGAAAAGTCAGATATCATGCGTTGCAGTTTTCTCCGGTTCACTTTGAGAGATGTTGACATGGGAAAGGCCTTGATAGGAATGAAAAGAGAAGGTATAGCATATTGAGGAAGACGATCTCTAGGATTCATATTCTCAAGAGCCGTTTCAAACATTTTCTTAGCGAGATACGTCTTTTCTTTCGTCTCAGCGCTTAAATTGTGAAGAGACTCACATCCCATTTCTAGGAATGCAGCGAGTAAAGGTCCTGAATCTTGTGTAGTCACGGAATCAACGACGCAGTCAAAGCCGAGGCTTCGGCGGAGTACTTGTTCGACTTGTGCAACGTCGACGTTTGAGCCGCAGACTTTGACTTCGTCTCGTACACTGGAGAGGAATTGAACGTTTCCGGAAGATAAGTAGCGGACGCGATGACCTGTTTTCAAGTATCGTGGTTTGGAGGGGGATGTTGGATCAGGTGCTATAAGTGGTTTGTCGAGTGCGAAACGATGGGGTGTTATGAGAGGAGCATCAATAGCGAGCTCGCCGATTGTGCCGCTGGGCATGAGTTTTCTAGGATTATCAGGATTCAAAATCCAGAATCTGCCTGTTATCGGCTGTGGGATGATGCTCAAATCACCATGCTTGGTAACTTCTGTCACAGAAATACCAAGGGGACAAATATCAGGTGCACCGTACGCAACAAGAACATCATGGTCTTCAACCCAAGGACCATACGTATCCTCATCCAACCTCCTCGTTCGAAAACATAATGTCTTGAGGCTAGGAACGGCATCGGGGTTTATCTTGCGGGCGAGAACGCTGGTCATGTATGACCATGTTACGTCCATGCGGGCAATTGCACCAGCTATATCGTGGGCTCTGTCGTGAGGATGAGGAATGCAGACACAGCCGCCGTGGGTAAGAGTTCCTAGGATTTCGACGAGGGAGATGTCGACGTTGAAGGCTGAGAGTTGGAGAACGCGAGATTCGGATGTGAGTTTGAAGGGTGTACTTTGGGCGATGAAAGTAGAAAGTAAAGAAGCGTGACTGAAGAATATACTTCTTGACTTCTTTGGTGTGACAAAGATACACGCTGCATGATCAGGCGTAGCATCCTGTCCAATTCTCGCAACGTACGGCGTAAGCATAGTAAAGAAAGTATCGTTAATAATAACCAGATTGATCGCAAGGGTACTCAAATCCCTATAAGCACTCTCCGTAGCCAACACAACATGGGGAGTGAGATAGTCAATCGTACTCTTCACACTCGCAGGATCCTGAGCATCCAATGGTACAAACGCTGCACCAGCTGAAAGAACAGCCAGTATCATCACAGGAGCCCAATGGTTCTTTTCTAACACGCAGGGAACAACCATACCTGGCCCAACGCCTATGTTAACGAGATATTGTTTGAGGCGTTGGACGAGGGTTGTGAGTTGGAGGTATGTTATGTCGCCATCCCAGGAACATACTGCGGCTGCATTTGGACGGGTGAAACTGTGTTGAAGAATTACTTCGTGTAGACAGGCGGTTATTTGGGGTTGGGATGTGTTCCAGTTTTGGATGAGGGTTGAGTAAGCTTCTTCTGTGAGAAGATCTGTTTCGGAGATGAGTTTGTCTGGTGTGCTTAAGATGTGGGATAGTGCTGCTTGGAAGCAAGACATCACACTACCAGCTTGACTCTCATCGAGATAAGCCGTCAAGTCTCCCCTGAGCATCTCATCCACGAACATGAGCGTAAGACTAACATCGCAATCCGTCTTTCTCCCAGCCGTGACTAAGCTAGGCGTAAGTTCATCACCCACATCCAACTTTGAAGGGGTTTGGTAGTAAAGACAAGTGTTGAAAAGTGTCTTTTCTCTTAGTCCTAGCGCATGACTGACTTCGGAGAGAGTGATGTTATCGTGCTTGCTTGCATTGGTGAATGCTTCGCTGATAAGAGATAAGCATTCTCTTAATGGTTGTGCGGGAGGAAGATCTGCGAAACAGGGAAGTAATGTTGCGAAACTTCCCACAAGAGATTCAATACCGCAGAGAAGGGATTCATCGCGGCCGTTGAATTGATAGCCGAAGCCTACACTCTCTTTACCTACAAACGCTCTAAGAACAAGAGCCCAGGATAGTTGGAACACAGCTTCTGGCTCAACAGAGTTCTCTTCACAGAAGTTTTCGAGCTGAGAGTGTGAGATGGAAAAGTCGAATGATGTAGAACAGGACTGAGGAGATAGTTTGGGAAAGAGACATGGTTTTGCGGATGAGAGACCTGTTTTCCATACTTCGAGAGTGTAGGCTGTGTCGATGGAGAGTATTTGGTGCAGATATGTGTTTTGAAGAGTTGATGTGTCGGTCGGATTTTGGGAGGAGAAGACGCGTGTTAGTTCTGCTATCAAGAGATTAAGACTCGGTAACTGCAACCATTAGCATATGAGAGTAAGATAGTGAAGGGGGAACGTACGTCGCAGAGTGCTTGACTAGCATCGAGTCTAACAACCATTCTTCCAGGGTTATAACACACCGCCAACCGATGTTTAACATCTCCAATCAATGCAGGTAACGTCCTAACAGCCTCATCCGAATTCTCTGTTTCAATAAAAAGAATAGTCGGCGAGACTTTCTTAAGAACAGCCTGATCAAACAACCCCTCTCTACTAACAGCATCAATAAACACACTCCGTAAAGCAGGAGTATTCGCTACGATAGTTTCCCACGCTTCACATAACCGTGTTGTATCAACCGGCAATTGCAGCGCAGTCATTTCGTACACGACGTGATTGTAGAAAGACTCTGGATGGATAGACTGTGCGATGAGGATTTCTTGCTGGGAGGGCGTTGTGGGTAGGATTGTTTGGATGGCTGTTCGTTGGTCTGGGGAGAGACGGGTTAGGGATGCGTAGGATGTTTGGATGAGGGGGATGTCGGAGAGTGTGAGTTGTGCTTCGCAGTTTTGTAACTGTGTGATAGCTGAGTGAGCGTGAGTCTCGAAACAAGTGATCCAAGATTGGATCTTTTCTTGATGGCGACATGTGCTTGGGTAGACAACATCAATCCTATCCACGCCAGCCTCAACCTCAAACAAGGCAATCCTTTTGATCTCCGAACTTGCATTGCTCTCAAGAGGCGTAACAGGTTGCAGCAACCCATTTTGTCGCTGCAGCGTCTCGGTTGTCTTGAAGATAACCTCCAGCGGTAGATTCTCTGCTGCGCTTTCCAACGTCGCAAACTCAGCCGTAAAGAACGGAATGCCAGATCTTGGAATTGTTCGTCGTGTATCTTTGATCAAAGTAATGACGTGAATCAGATCCATCTCTGAATCAATCTCGACTCCAATCGGACATAGTGAAGCGAACCATCCCGCTGTTTCGGCAATGTTGAAATCGTCGTCCAAGTCTCGGCCATTCTCCTTCTTCCATAACGTGGGTAGGGTTCTCTCTGGAAAGATCTGAGTGAATGACAGTAGCAGTGCAGCTAGAAAGACATCTGACGCATCAGTCCTCAAAACCTGCTGGGCGGACGTTTCTAGGGAAGCTGCTTCCTCGGGTGAGAGTTCAAACGACACCCTCCTCGAATTCCCAAAAGTGTTGTCAGTCTGTGTGAGATTCCAGTACTCCAAATCCGCACAGTAAACTTCAAAAGGCAATGTCGGCTTAAACAACCTCTGATCCATATGTCGACTCTGCTTTCTGGTCCAATACTTGAAGCTCACACTCGCCTCCGACAAAAGCGTTCCCTTCTGGAGCAACTCATCCAGATCGTCAATAACAAGTTTCCAACTCACATCGTCCAGCGCTAGATGGTGCGCTGCGAGGTAGAGTTTGTTGTGGATGTGCATTGCTGCAAAGGTCGGTCCTTCGATGGTGATGCTGGAATGTAGGTCGTGTATGAGTGAAGGGATTTCTTCGTCGGATACATCGACGTGATGTGTAAGATGATAAGAATTTGCCGATTTGGGATAAATGCATTGTTCCCATGATGAGTCCTTTTGGCGAAAGCGCACGCGGAGCATGTCGTGTCTTGAGACGATTGCTTCGATGGCAGCGTCGATATCCAGCGGTTCTGCACTATGGACATTGAGAACCACATTCTTCGTCCAAGCACCCTTCCCATCATCAAGTCCTTGGAACAGGAGGTTCTGCATAGGCGAAAGTTCAAAACCCTCCAACTCATCCATCTTAACATCCAATCGACTCCTCCGTCTCACAACCCTCTCTCTTCGTGCCGGAATTTGAAGTTTCATGACCTCCTTGTAAGTTTCCGAATCCATATTCTGCACCCATGTTTGCAGGGCCCTTTTGTCGTTAAGATCGTGACAAACAGGAATAATAATTTGAGCAGAACATTCCATGCGCAGGAGTGAAATCTGAGCCTGGGTCGTCTCGGTAGATAAGATGTTTGTGTCTGGCGAATGGCCGATCTTAATAAGAGCTACAGTTTGACCGTCGAATGGACCTGCCATGGGGACGAGAACAAGGGGAGGAAATGACTGTAAGCTGGATAAATTAGACTCCACCGCTTCCCCTGCAGCCCTACCGCTTTGTCTTTCTCCCTGCGTGTAAGCAGCATCTCCCAACTGAAAGTGTTCCGAATCAGAAGAAGAAAAGCTTAAGCCTCTGTTTGTTTCCAGAGTACTTGTAGAAGAGAAACTGTTTCTTTCTTGAGAAGAAAGTGTATCTTGAGAAGAAACACTTAGTCGCGGTGTAACTCTTGTTTGTAATTCCGCTAGCGTTGGACAATCCAGAATATCCTTCCCACTAACGTCAAGACCTTGTTCTTTACAAGCAATGCATACTTGTTCGGCTGATATTTCGTCGCCGCCTAGGTCGGAGAAGGAGTCGAACAACAAAATGTCGGAGAGGGATATGGAGAGGGTTGATGCGATTGCTTGGATGAGGTGGTCTTGGTCTGGCATTTTGACGATTTGACGCTATTGATGCTGTAAGTTTAGCGGTTGATGGTGCTATTGCTGCTATTGCATGCTGTATAATTAACTGAGATACAAGAACAATAATTCATCAATGTATCAGACTCAACCAAAGTCCCATTCAACGACCATGAATCCTTTTTAACAACCCATCATTAATGACATCTCCTTGCATCAATCCTTCTTCTCTTATCCTCTCCATCTTTAAATCTTGAATCCTGGCACACAGCCCGTCAACCCCTCCACACCCAATGACAGTTGTCTCTGGTACAAGGTACCCCAGAAAGCGCTTAGGTGTCCCACGGTTCGAGGTACCGGTGACTGTTGAACACAGCGAATAGACTGCCTCCATCAATCAACAATGACGCGCTGGGGTAGAATATGCGTGTTTTCCTGTTTTGTTTCATCTTGGCTTTTGAATCGTGATCTACTATTGTCTTCGGATCATGATCTCGGTATTCTGACTAAACTGCCAGAGAACAATAGCATTAATTCATCAGATAATCTCTGTGGCTTAACAATTCTGAGTTTTTAACCGACAAGGTAAACCTGAAACAAATAAATATAGCTTCGAGGCTTGTTCGTACAGCCACAGCCGAATACCCCAGTTGATATCTGAATCCCAGCGTGTCAAAGACAACGACAGTACAGGGTTGACCCCTTTACCGGTACAATTGTTTCCGCTGCCCCGTAGCGGTGGGAAAGCTCCTTGCGTTTAACTGTCCATTGTGAGTTAAGCGCGTCTTACTCAGTGTTCACCACTCTGTCTCTAAGCGATGCCAACACAGCGACCTCACAATGCAGTGTTTTCTTTTTGTTAGACAAGTCAGACATCCTGTGAATCCAGGTCTCAATTGAATTAGCCAGTCATTTCCATTGATACTAAGTCAAACCACCATCAATACAATAAGTACTTTCTCAACACCATCGCTGCATCCATCACCACTTCACAAACATATGATCGTGCAGTACGCCTCACAATAACCTATAGCACAAGCTATAGCAGAATGCCCCATAGCGGCTGCGTCCTTGGCACCGGAGAAAAACACAGCTCAGGCACAGCACTTATCCGAGATTACACTTCAGTCAACTAAAATAAACCCCTGCGTCAAACTCCTTGCTTAAGGACTCACCACTCAAGCCCAAGCCCATCACAACTCTAGACTCATAGACCATAAGAAAGAATAGCATCGGTAGATAGTAAACATCTGCATAGAACAATAAGATACTCGAATATTACCAAGCTTCAGCAATGGTCACATCCACATCCGGCACCACGGGACGTCCCCTCGGCTACGGCTACAAGCGAAATAAGGCTATAAGCGAGATTACCTAGGCGCTTTTTCTCACTCGAGCCAAACTACGGCGCAGTAGTGCTCACTACTTGGCGTTGTACGAGTCAGGAAGAGAATCCTCTGTAGGAACTTCAGTAGCCATGACAAACATATCATGACAAAGCACATTAGCGATACATCCTTTCATGAGCCTATGCATAGAATATCTCATGAATCTAGATAGCCAATTGTAGATACTACATGATGTTCATCGTAGACACAGCACACATCAAGAACAAACTCGTCTTACATACCCCATATCGTACACCTCATTACCCATCATCTATCAAAAATCGCTTCTAACTCAAACAACAACCTCATCATCATCAGGATCCTCAATACTAGTTCTCCTCTTGGCCTCCTTAACCTCCACAGCTTCAGCTTTGTCCGTCTCAGCTTTACTCAATCCAAAAGGCCACAAACTCCTCGGTTGAGGTCTAACCACCCCATCTCCCTCCCCATCATCCTCCTTACCACCTATATCTTTACCTGTATTGGTAGTTTCAGGCATCTCAAAATCCCCAAACTCCTCCTCATCGTCAGATTCACCACCCTTGACATCCCTCCACCAAGCCCCCCTATCCTGCGGCTCATCATCAAAGTCCTCTTCCGTATCAGCGAATGGATCCGTGGGATTCTCCTCGTCGTCGTCGGATGTAGATTCTTGTTCTTTCTTTTGATGCATCGCTAGACGGGCTGCCAATTGGAGTCGTGCGCGGGAGGGGGGAATGTTCAGCGGTGGTGGGGGTGGAGGTGGTGGGGGAATCGAAGGGGGGTCCATTGAACCAGAGTTCAACGGGTCCGTGTAAGCTCGGAACTAGAAAGAGATCTCGTCAGTACGAGGCGCCCATGAGTGACAGACACTAGGAGATGTGAAGGTAAAAGGCGTCCGTGGCATCGAAAACATATCCCCGTTCCTTCGTAGACAAACACAATTCTATACAGATAGACCCTATACATGATAAATTTCCCTTTTACCCTTCCATCCACCCATATCTATCCCACAACGCCTGGTATATATGTCTTTTTTCAGTACCTCGCCAGCACCAACCTAGTGATCTCCTCAACATCAATGTCCTCGAGAGTCTCAAGATCTTCAAGTTGCGGAGTCTGCCAGTTTCGCGTCTCGCGTCTTGTCCTGGGACGATCAAGACTTCCCCAGTAAGCCGCTCCCGCCTAAGGGTGACCTTCTGGTTTTGAGTCCTGGTGATCCTCTGGCTTTGAGATGCCCTGACCTGCTGATGTTGAGACACCCTGACCCTCTGTTGAGATATCCTCAACCTGCTCCGCACTCTGCCTCTCTTCATCACCCCCCCTCACCCCATCCAAATCCATAGGAGATCCCCTCGTAACATCATCCTCAAAGTCCGGCGAGTCTGCCCGGAAAGGCTCTGGAGACCGCATAATCACATCCTCCAAAGTTTCCGTTATGCCAGGGAATCCGGGAATGCCTCGTTCCTCCCCATCTTCAGCGGAAGCACCACTCACCTCAGAATTGACGTCTTCCTCATCTCCGTCTCCATCTTCGTCCTCCTCGTCACTGCTGCTGCCGAAGCCAGACATTAATGTTCCAGCGCTGATGGTGAAAGGTCCGATGCCGTTTCCGCTGTCCTGGTTGAGCTCTATTCCTCCGTTCAGGCCAGCCTCGGCAAGTGCGTTAGACCCTCCACCTCCAGATCCGCCGCCCAGGCTGGATAGACCGACACCTCCCAATCCACTGCCGCCGCCCATAGCTCGGTTACCCATAGCCACCTCTGGACGCACGCCACCTAGAATGGCATTGTCTCGCTCTCGTGTCTCGGCGAGGGATCCCTCAACGTAGCTGATCCATTCCTGGCTCATAACCCGGTCAAGAACAACCTCCGAGAGGAGCTCCGGAGGATGACGTTCAGTGAACTTGACAACCTCTTCAGCGATAAGAGTGAGGTGACCCATGTAGCCCATGCGGGTCTTGGTCTTGGCCTGAGACTCATCACTGATCTTCTGGCCGTTGATGATGGCGCTTGTGACATCGGCAGTTTCGAACAGGGAGACAGCCAATGTGGGGTTGTAGCTGCGGTCCATTGGGCCGTTGAATACTTGCTGAACGATATCGTATACTACGTTGTGCAAGAAGTTGTTCCATGGATAAGTGAAGAAGAAGTTCTGTCAAGTTAGAAATGTCTCATAGAAGAATGGCTGACTTACAAGAATGGTGGGAACAACTCGATGCTCCACAAATTGGAGCTTGAGGAAGTCTCCGACAACAGGTTCCTCAGTTTGGGCAGGGGTCTGCTCTTCTGGCTTGGCCTCCTCAGTCTTGGTCTCAGCTGAAGCCTCCTCAGTCTTGGGGGCGTCCTTGGGGTCGTCCTTCTCAGGAACCTGGGGTGGTCGGTCGGCTCCAGACTCGGGTGCAGGAGGAGCAGAGAAGAGAGGAGCGGGTGTATCCTCAGGCTTAGGGGAGAGACCGCGAGGCTGAGCTTCATCACCCTCGGGGGCATCAGACTCAGTCTTGGTCTCAGGCTCAGAAGGAGCAGGAGTCAAAACGACTGACGAATCAGAGGTGTCCTCCTTGGTGTCCTCCTTAGGAGCATCCTCTTTCGAAGCCTCGGGCTTCTTCTCCTCAGCCTTCTCGTCGCTGGGCACCTCAGGTAGAGGCTTGTCGGTGTCGGGCTTGGCTGGCTCTGCAGTCTCCGTCTTGGCTTTTGTAGGCGACAAAGGCGCAACCATCAAGTCTGGCTCGTCAAATCGTGTCTCCTCTACCTTGGCGAGCTGCTGAGGAGGGCTGAGCGGCTCATCGACAAAGTCGTCCTCATCCTTGCCGGAGATTGGAGTTGTAGAAACAACGGGAATGTCATCCTCGGCCTTGACGAACTCGTGAGAAGTATCCTCGCTCATCTCCTTGCTTGGCTCAACCTCTTCGAAACCGTCGTCGTCAGCGTTAGTGACTTCGAGACGTCGCTTCTCCTCAGGTGCAGGAGTTCGCATGGTTAGGTCGTCGGCAGAGTGATCCTCCTCCTTAACGGGACCAAGCTTGCCCTCGTTACGAAGACGCTGTCGTTCGATGTCACGCTGAGCTGTGAGCTCCTCGGAACCTGGTTCGTTCAACAAGCCCATGTTACTGCAGTGCAGCAGCTCAGCCATAAGTTCGCATGTCTTAAAGCGATCAAAGCCAAGGGGCTCGAGCTTGACACCAAAGGTCGAGTCAATCTTGTCCTTCTTGGAGGGGACGTCCATGATCAGGCTCATGAACTTGGGGACGTTCTCGGCGAAGAGTCGGAGAAGGGTTCCCAGGTAGATGGGATCGCGGCTTGAGGGCGCAGCGGTGGACTCAGTGCCCATGTCGGGATCATAGTCGGAGTTGTTCTTTCGGATGACCTCGATAATGATACCGACACCAACAGTCAACGGATTACCGCCACCAAGCATGTAACTAATCAGCTGTTCAACGCATGGCTTTGAAACAAGTTGTCGGGTAAGTTCGTTCGGGCCGATGCATTGTTGCTCGTTTTGGGAGGCGTTGGCCGAAATGGTAATGATGGCTTTGATGAAGTCACCGGCGGCGGTTTGAACAACCCAGTTGTTCTCAGGACTAAGGCAGGAAAGGAGGCTCGGGATAATGTCTTTGGAGTATAGCCACTGTTATTGTTAGCTTAGATGCATTCGGCGTGAGTGGGGTGCGCACCTCGACCACACCCTGGCCACCTTCGTTACGGTCCAGGGCAATAATCTTGAGCAAAAGGTCCATGACCATGGGACACTCGACATGCTTGAGTAAATTGGGAACAGCATCAGGAAGAGTGGTCAAGAGTTCCATCATCTCCTCGGTCTTCTTCTCGAACAGAGATTCATTGACCTTTGTGAAGTAGCTCGCCTGGAGGGGATCGAGCGGGGCAGGGCGGGACAAGAAGTTCCAAAAATCGCGAATCAATTGTCGATTATCAGCGAGAGCCTCGTAGATTGACCAAGTATCAGAGCTGAGAATTTCGCAAGCTACAAAAGCGTAGCGATTGCGCTTCTTTTCTTGTTCTTCTTCCTCATCGTTGCCCGGGTCGGTGCTGCGGGATGATGCGCGCGGTCGCGAGAAGGAGAAGCGGTTCTTGGCCTTTGTTTCTTCGGTGGTGGACTCGGCGGGAGACTCGACGGTCTCGAGTTTGGGAGCGACTACATAATCGAGTAGATTGTCGAGAACCTTGTCGCTTCTGAGGTATTCGATGAGTTTCGAGTTGTGCTGCTTAAGCTCCTGGATCAGATCGCTCTCGTCGAGGAGTTCCTCGAGGGTGAAATCGGGTTTGTCGAGGATTGTGTCGATGGTGGAGATGTTGGCGTAACCGCCAAATCTCCAAAACATGTTGACTGAAAAGCCCTTTGGCGCAGTCGCAGTCTCTGTCGCTATCGCAGGACTGGAGCGTTTTTGGGAGGCGAAAAGGTGGAAGTTGGATTGATGGAAGTGGAGGAGTCGAGATGGATCATGTAATCAATCAGTTCAATCGGTCGAGTCCAGTCAGCGCAGCGGGTCGGCGGGCGCAGTGCAGTCAGTACAGAGTACAGAGTACCTTCCTCAGCAGACCCAAATCACCTCTTTCAATCAATTCTCAGCACAGCCAAGATGATGAATGAATATGAGGTAGAATAATGAAATACCGAGGTATAATGATTCGATGATGAAATGTTAATCAATCAGACTGTGACATTCCCAGAATGTCTTGCAGTCGCTGCCTTGATTTGAGGGTCACCCAAAGTGAGCATCAACAGGGTACAAATGTTGCGTCGCAATCACCGAGTCTTGCACAGAACAAAAGATAATTCTAAAAAAAGGGAATCCCCAACCAAAGAGAAGGAAGTTCAAATTCAAACAGTGATGTCAGAAATGTTTCTCACAGTAAATAATATAATCGGAGGACAAAGTCAAGTGAAGCATGGAAAGGCCAAAGCACGGGCGTCACAGTGAGCAGAGGGTGACTCGCTAGCGAGCGGCAGCGGCAGAGAGCGCCAACGAGAAAACAGAGCCAGCACCTCAGAAAAAAAGCAATGCAAGAAAAAGCTTGAAACTGAAAATGGTACGCACGCGACATTCAGAGTTTAATTTAGTTTGAGTTGGGCGTCAATTGCTATTCGCCCCTTCGCTGAACTTTACTGTCCAGCACTTTCATGGCGGCTGCAGCGCTTCTCAGATGGTGGGTAGCATTGACTCCCGTTACTTTTTAATCTGAGACAAGATATAACTTCAATTTAATTGATGGGCGTCTTGTTATTTTTGTTGTTGTTTTTGTCTCTTGCAGCGAGTGTTCTAGGTTCAGTAGTACCCATGTGCATATCACTCACATGCATGTGCCAAGATGCTGTGGAGAAGATACTTGAAACGGGAGATAGGGGCAAAGAGGATCTGTTCATTTACAGCTGCAGGACTGAACATGATCAGTTCAATACAGAGAGCATCAAGTGTTGAAGGTCACACAGATCCATACTTGTAGGGTTACTCTCCCAAGATAAAACCAATCGAGTCAATGTCTAGATCCCCCCCGGAACCGGCAATCTCATCACGGACCGCCTCTTTTCCTCTTTCATCATCCCAACCCTGGATTGCCACGTTGTCTGTGCTCACACCAAGCCATCAATTCATCACACCGAGTGGGCACTATCACTATAGCTTCGCCAGTGACCACAGTGACGGGAATTGTTATGAGTTGTCATAAGAGGCTAGATTATATGGATGAGACAGCCAAGAGACGTTGTTTTACTCACAGTAAGAACTGGAAGAGCTAGGTGGGTGTCAGAATAGTGGTCCTCAAAGGCAAAGCCTGCAGAAATAAAGCAGCCTGAATCCTAGTATAAGGTGACCAAATTATTTCGTCTCTTCTGCTCTCGGCGGTTGATTCTTTTGACACCCTGACGGAGAGCGTTCGCTATAGCTGGTTCGGTGACTCAATGTCGACTACCCTACATCTTCAGTCGACTAGCTCTGGACTCGTGAGAACAATCGTCAAGACATGACACTGATGAATATGATGAACTCACGTACTCATGTCTAACGTATGGACAACAGTAAAACAACAATTCTAAACGAGTGTATCTAACAAAACGAGTGTCCAATTCTCTCCACCCCATCCCAAACCCATACCACTACTCTCGATCACGATCAGCGAACCAAATCGTACTCTTCTTAGGAACACCTCCATTATACGCCAACAAATTCGGACTCCCAGCCCCAGCATTCCCAACCACATTCTTAGTAGCAAGGCTCTTAATCCGATCTTGCACACTCTTAACAGTCCTCAACCCCTCCTTGGCCCTCAAATACAGCGACAAGCCCGCAACATGCGGACAAGCCATGCTCGTACCGCTCAACGTCTCCGTCGCAGTATCGCTCGTGTACCACGTGCTCTTGATGCCCACGCCAGGTGCAAAGATATCCACAAAGGGGCCAAAGTTGGAGAAACTGGCCCTGTTGTTGTTTCTGTCGATGGCGCCGACTGTTGTTGCGTTGGGGGCCGAGGCGGGGGATGTGTCTTTTGCGTCGACGTTGGAGTTGCCGGCTGCGACTACTGTGTGGATGTTTTGGCGGTAGGCCATTTCGATGGCGAGGTTGAAGGCGTCGGATTTGCCGCCGCCGAGGGACATGCTGATTACGGATTGTTGGTTGCGGCCGGGGGTGTTAGTGATGTTGTTGACTGCCCAGTTGTATCCGTCAAGGACAATAGCAGTGGTTGACTGTCAATGTCAGCAGGGCCCATGATTTAAAGAGGGTGTTACTTACGCCGGCGTCATGGAAGACCTTGATTGCGATGAGCTGCGCTCTCTTGGATACACCGTATTCCTTTCCAGCGATGGTACCGGCGCAGTGTGTTCCATGGCCGTTGGCATCGACGAATGGAACGCCAGGATAAGCGTTGTAACCGTTAGAAGCTCGTCCCTGAAAGTCTTTGTGGCTCAATCTGATACCAGTATCGATGAGATAGGCAAACATGCCATTGCCAGCAGAGGCATCATAGAGATACTCCTTAGAACCGGTAGTGCGGTGCGAGATGGACGCAAGGCCCCATTCAGCATTGGGCTGGACAGCAGCCAACAGAACCTCTCTAACCGGCTCAACAGCAAGGACCTATCTCCATTAGTACGCCCCCAAAAACAACAGGGTTCAACTTACATCTGAACTCTCGTTGATCTTCTTGATAGTGCTCTTATCAAACTCACCACAATACCCCTTAAAGGTAGAGTTCCAAACCTTATCAACACCATCCTCTCCACGACGCTCCAAGCTCGCGGTATGGATATCGCCAACCCATTCAATATGCTGCTCGATTTCCTCCTCCTTTACTTTGGGCTTCAAGGTGACGATGTAGTTATCCTCGACGACCTCGCCAATGGTGAATTGGGCGAGGGTAGTCGAGGGGAGAAGAGCCAGGAGGAGAAGTTTAACGGAGAGCATCTTGTAAAGAACGATGAAGAAGAGGAATCTGATAAGGTAGAATGTGGAGGAGAATTCGCACCTTCTTATACATCTTGCTCTTGTTATTGGCCTTTTGTTCGGTTCTTCTTCATGGGGCGTTGGGAACCTTTCGCACCTCGATCAGTAATGTCCATCACTCGTCAATTTGTGCACCACTCTGCAACTCAATGTCTTGTGTTCAACTTGCACATTAATCTCCAGCTACGAAGATCGTGTCTAGCATTCTGAAACCCAGTTTTTTCTAGATGTCGTACCAGCTTCCCTTCATTGCTTCGAGGGGATATTAACAACGACGTGGCAATTGAGACAGACACGCTTAGGGACTCGCACAGGGTTCTTGGCTGTATATCAATTCAGGAGGAACGTTTGTTCTATCTCCTCGGGGACGGTTGAAGGAGGCTCTGTACGGGATCGTGAGTGGTCAAGAGGGGATTTGGAATAAGCCCCTTTTACCACAAGTCCCTATTCCTCACCGTGGAAACATACATATTATCTCGCCTCAGGGCACCAGAAGAACTGGCTACCAACAACCTCAAGGATGGGTATTTCAGTCACTTTATGCCAGTTTGCATCAGTAGTTAGGCTATTTTACGATACCCCTTTTTCTTAGAGGACAATTCTCTGTTGCCCAGTACCTGCTTGCCAGCTGTCCTGCCTCAGATATACCATACAAGACACAAGATCTCCGACACATCATCACGGAATAATCGAAGGCAAAGATGATCAGTGTTGAGACAAAACAAGGACAATCTATCGTCCAAATGATTCATTATGTGACCAGGTCTTAGACCCCTATTCAAATCTATGCTTTTCCATCTATCACGCCCCTGCAACCGCCTTCGCCATAACCCTCATCCCCTTATCAAACTCCGCCTTGACGGAGTTAACCTCCGCAAGCTCCTTCAAGACACCCCCTCGCCACCAAGAATACCACTCCGCAACCTCGCCCAAATCAACCTCATCACGCGACAACCACTCGCCCAATATTCTGTGCCACATGGGAAACATGTGCTGCATGAGAACCTCGGCGACGACCCTCCGTCCAAGAATGTACCGCCAGTCCAGAATACCTGTAAGTACAGGCAAAGTAGGTTCTTGATCCGAGGGCTCGACCGTAAAATTTCGGCTGAGATATTTGCCCATTGACGGGAGGACGTGGGACATGACGAGCGGTCGCCATTGATCGCCCAAAACACCCTTCCAATCTTTCAAACCTGGTAACTCGCCCTTCTTGAACTCCCACACGTCGATGAGTTGTCTGAATTTTCGTCTTACGTCTGCCACGAGGCCGGTGCCCTTGGGATCGAGGTGATATGACGGTAGGTATTGTAGCCAGGGGAAGAGCCAGACGTGTGGCAACCGGTGACTTTGGCGTCTGGATTTGGGGTTCCAGTCTGAAACGGCTGTTTCTAACTTTCGAACAATATTATCGATGAATTGGGCGCGTACAAATGTTGGTAGAAGATCGTGCCAGGATTCCATAATGGTGAGCATTGGTGTTGGGTCCAGGACTTCCCATGAGCGGACTGCGGCGAGGGCTTTGGGGAGCCAGTTTTTGTACATCATACTTTCGTACGGTGTCGTTGCTTTGTGATGACGGCGGTAGATGTCGTCTGCTTCAACTGACAAAGAATCCCATTTGCCAACCGTCTTGCCATCGGATGTTGCTGGCATAAGCAACGGTAGTAGTTCCTTGAGTCCTGAAGCGAAGCGTGTAGGCTCCTGGAGAATATCCCAATCTGCCTCTCGGAGGAATGGATGAATAGCTGCGACGGCGATGTCGGCAATCTCTGATGTCGTAGCCTTGAGCTCAAGAGCTTTGTGTAGACATGCAATAAGCTGGTCCCAGTCGCCGGTCACAAGCTCACCACTGACCAATTCGGAAAAGACTTGTAACCTTTCAAAGTCTGATCGCAAATCGTCCATCTCTTGCTCCTTCTCCTTCAGCTCCAAGTCAATCCATGTCTTCCTCTCTTGTAGACTCTTCCACTCGTCGGAGAAGGCCAACAAGTCGGCCTGCGCTCTCTTGACGAGCTTCCTCGCCTCAATAACTTCTGTTGATTCCGGTGTAGCGGTTCCTGTCGTAGGTGTCATAATGCCGCTCGTCGAGGTAAGCATCTTGCTACCCGGCCCTGTCATGTCGAGAATAGGAGCAAATGCATCTGGGATGTGAAGACCGGGCGCAGTAGCCTTGAGTTCCTCTGCTGTAAGATATTTCGGCTTCTGTCGTCGTGGTGTACTCGTAGCGCTGTCAAATGCACCACCCAGAGACTTCTTCGCCTTCTTGCGCTTCTTCTTCTTTTCCTCTTCGTCCGAATCGACTATTTTCTCTCCTCGCATTTCGGCCTGTCGTTTCTCTTCCTTCCGCTCCTGTTCAGACTTCTCCTTAACAGCACCCAAACCAATACCCTGCGGTCGCAGGTTCGCTTCGATAATGACATTTCGACCTTGACCTTCTTTACCCAGACCTTGGCCCTCTTGGTAGCCCATCTTGGCCATCATTCGAGCTCCGAAGGATTTGGGATTCGTCTTGCCCTTTGCGCCGAAAGCGCTGGGCTGTGGTTTGTTCCGGGGCGTCGGAGAGCCTTCATCGCGCGGGTTCTTGAGAACGGGGTCTTTGGCTGATGAGGGAACGAAGCCCATACCGAGAGGGTTCTTTCCATCGAATCGAGTTCGGAAGGCTGGTCGGGATGGTGCTTCGGCGCTTGCGCTTCGACTTGAATCTTGGGTATTGTTCTGCGCGAAACCGCGTGCACCTGCGAAGCCGAGACCTATTCCACGAGTATTTCCTTCCTCCTCCTCTTCCTCCTCATCCTCGTCTTGGTCCATCGCAGTTCCTAACATTGGTCGATTGTCTTCGGAATCTTCATCGTCTTCCTTTTCGTCTGCGCCTGTAGAAACAAAGTTCATGCCCTTGTTTCTCAAAGTCGTTCTCTTCCATTTCTTAGCCGGACCGTCATCCTCACTATCGGAGCCAAAGATGCCTAGCGCTGCCTTCTCCTTGTTATTACGACCCGTGCGACGTCTCTTGCGAGGGTTGAAGTCACCGAAGTCGTTGTCGGCATCGAGGCCAGGCGCAAGGTGCTCATCTTCAGATTCTTCCTCCGATGAAGAATATTCAGCTGCAGCCTTTTTCGTCAAACGCGAAGGGTCAAATGATGAGCCGTTCATGGTCGCTGTGTGATTTGTCGTGGTTCGTAGACAATGATTATTTTTGGGTGCGCGAGCGCACTTGGACAAAGATTGGAGCAAGATCTCGACGCGATAGGCGGAAGCTAAACATGACGATGTTCAAGACTGACCCACAGGCAGCCAGATCTTATCTTCACGTGTTTCACGCTCTTATTGTTAGAATTCCTTATCGCACGTGCAACATCAACAACGCCGAAAAGGCCGGCAAGCGCCAGGTCCTTCTTCGCCCTTCCTCCAAGGTCATCGTCAAGTTCCTTGAGCTCATGCAGCAGAATGGATATATCTCGGAGTTCGAAGAGGTAGATGATAACCGCGGAGGCTAGATTGTCGTTCAGCTCAACGGCCGCTTGAACAAGTGTGGTGTTATCAGCCCTCGTTTCAACGTTCGCCTTTGAGAGTTGGAGAAATGGGTCGTTCGACTTCTACCTGCTCGCCAGTTTGGTCATGTTGTGCTCACCACTTCTGCTAGTATCGTGGTTCGTGAGACTGCTCGTCGCAAACACGTTTGTGGCAAGATCATCGGATTCTTTTACTAGATTCTGGTAGCAGAACTGGCAGCCCATATTGGCGTTGGCCCAAGGAGAGCATGGAACAATCACGTCGCAGTTATGTTCGACAACCTACTTAGAAATTTGTAGTTAAGAAACAGTCACTGACGAGAAGTGATTTTAACCCCGATTATCCTTTGCACGACGATGTGATATAAGTATGTCTTCGCATTTCACGTTGAAAGTCTGGTATTCTGACTAACCTGGAGCACAAGAGACGAAACAATTTCGGTTCTATGCTATCTAAGACTGGCCCTTAGGCTACCTTATTCTGACGCCCTAACCTTGAGATGACAGTCTCTATTACCCACCTGCAGTCGTAGAATTGGGTAACAAAGTCTTTTCTTCTGCCAGGCCATGACCGTTGAAGACAACTGTTACCCCTCATTATCTTTCTTTTTGTCTACATGGATGGGTCTTGTTCATACCAAGGTTACCCTTGACCAGTCAAACGGGTTGCCGAAGCCCAACAAGATGGATCCCTCCAGCTTAAGCACGACACGTCAATAGCCACATGGTTGCTGAGCAATTGAAAGCGAGGCGAATCATGGAGATATTTCTTGCATCGTCTACTTGGATGTTCTGCAATGGGTTCATGCCACTAGAGCTTTGACCCAGAGGCTGAAAGCTGAAGATTTGCAGATGCAGTAGCTGTTGGATCTGCTCCACTTGAAAGGAATGTAGGAACCCGAAACCAGTAGCTGTGGCTTGATTCCCGTTCCTGTCAATCTGCAAGGGAGTTTTATATCTGGGGAAATGACAGAAAACACTAATTATCGGTACAATATCGAGTGTAATTACACTTCATGAACAATATCTCTTTAAATAGGAATCCATGGTTGTTGATGTTGATCTTTATGCGATTTGACGTCGGTCGGTGTGGCTAGGTGCTGTCTGTGTCTGTGTCTGTTTCTGGGGCAATGGCGGTAGATTGGGCGTCAATAAAGAATTGTGACGGGACCACTTGAATGACAACACACAGGGCAGCCATAAAGAGGCACCTACTTGTGATCTGTGGCACATATTTTATACAGTCATATTTATACAAATACTCTCCCTTTCCCAATTTGACATATACATCTGTACTCTGTACTCTGTACTTTTACGAATTTTACGAATACATAACATAACCAATTTGTAGGTCCCTGGAAATCTTATTTCCCTCCCGTCCCCCGTATTCTGGCCCTGTCCCAAGGTTCATTTCCACTGCGAACCCCTGTTGAATCAGGTGACAGACGCTTGTTGACTTTCCCCTCCAAAAATCCATCAAACAACCCAAGTCAAGAACCCTTCAGCCCAAACAACAAGACAAGGATCCAATCCAGGAACAAATAAGAACGTCACTTGCCTTGCTTGTTTTGCGGGTGCATTCTTTCTTGTTTCGAGTCGTCGCCATTGTTGCGCATCCTTCCTTCCGTCTTTGAATCAGAGTAATTGGCTTTCACTGACATTGCGCCGTCTTGTACAGAAAGAACAACGCATCTGCTTTGCTTCCTCCTTTAACAAACGCGACAACTACCAATCCTCTTCCCTTTGATACCCGTCACTCTACTCTTCGTTTCTACTTGGTATGTTTTGCGAAGCTTCCCAACATCATAAGGCCGGTTACTCTTCCAGAGTATTCTGCGCGCCCATGGCATCTGGAGCCCAAATAGCCTTATGATGGACCCCAAAAAGCGCTCCGGCCTGATTCATAAGCTAATTACCCGCTTAGTACAGTTTTTTAAACCCAAGAAACGACATCATACACTCGAAAGATACCCCGTCTCGAGCTCCCCCCAATACCAATTCTCCGACGATATAGCAATCATGGCCGACGAAGAAGATTTCTCCTCCATTCCCTTGCCTGACCGCTTCACACACAAGGTCTGGAAGGTCAGAAAAGCAGCATACGAAGAAGCTACCAAGCAATTCGAAAAGTCCCCTGACGAGTCGGATCCTTGTTTCCGACCATTCCTGAGCGACGCAAGCCTATGGAATAAGGCTGTTCTCGACTCAAATGTTGCTGCTCAGCAAGAAGCCGTTACCGCCTTGTGCGCCTTTCTCAAATATGGCGGAAGAGACTGCTGCTTAAGGACGCGGGGCCAGACCATTACTCCCATGGTCGAAAAGTGTCTTTCCTCCACTCGAGCCGCCATCAAGCAAAATTCCATCGAAGCTCTACTACTCTACATCGAGCTCGATGTTGCCGGACCCGTCATTGAGGAGATGCTTCCTGGGTTGAACAACAAGGTCCCCAAGAACGTTGCTGCGACCCTAAACGCCCTCACACAAATCTTCCACAACTATGGCTGCAAGGTCGTCGACCCGAAACCTGTGCTCAAGGCACTCCCCAAAGCCTTTGGTGCTGCCGACAAGAACGTCCGTGCTGAGGCTACAAACCTGACAGTCGAACTTTACAGATGGTTGAGGGAGGCTATGAAGCCCATGTTCTGGGGCGAGCTTAAGCCTACCCAGCAAACTGATTTGGAAGCACAGTTCGAGAAGATCAAGGCCGAGGGTGCCCCCAAGCAAGAACGTCTGCTCCGATCGCAACAAGAAGCTCTGGCTGCTGCTCCTGAAGGCGGCGAGGAAGGCGAGGAGGGCGGAGAAGAGGGAGGTGAAGCTGAAGAGATGGACGCCTTCGATCTGGCCGAGCCTCAAGATGTTAGCAAGAAGATCCCACCTAACTTTAGCGATCAGCTCGCCTCTTCGAAGTGGAAGGACCGAAAAGAAGCTGTCGACGCCCTCCACGCAGCACTCAACGTCCCTCGAATCAAGGAAACCGATTTCAACGAAGTCACCCGTGGCTTGGCCAAGTGCATGAAGGACGCCAACGTTGCTGTTGTTACCCAAGCCGCTCTTTGCATTGAGCTCCTGGCAAAGGGTCTTCGCCAGGGCTTTGCGAAGTACCGCTCTACCGTTATGCAGCCCATCATGGACCGCCTCAAGGAGAAGAAGGCCGCAGTAGCAGATGCTCTTGGTGCTGCTCTCGACGCTTCTTTTGCCTCTACCAACTTGTCCGAGTGTATGGAGGATATCATCGCTTACCTGAGCAACAAGAACCCCCAAGTCAAGGAGGGTACCATGAAGTTCTTTGTTCGCTGCCTGCGAACAACACGAGATGTGCCCAGCAAGCCCGAACAAGCTACCATCGTTGAAGCCGGTAAGAAGCTTCTGTCCGAGTCAAGCGCTTCTCTTCGTGATGGTGGTGCCGAGATTCTTGGTACTCTCATGAAGATCATCGGTGAGCGTGCCATGACCGCCAACCTGGAGGGACTGGACGACATTCGCAAGAACAAGATCAAGGAGTATTTTGACGCCGCCGAAGTTAAGGCCAAGGAGAAGCCCAAGCCCAAGCCTGCTCCTGCACCCAAGGCCGCACCCGCGAAGAAGGTTATGGGTGGAAAGAAGCCCGTTGCCAAGAAGCCTGCTCCCGCTGCTGCCCCTGTGATGCCCGATGATACCCCTCTTGCTCCTCAGCCCACTCCCCGAGCGGCTCCTGGCAAGCTTACGAAGCCTGGTCTTGGTGGATTGAGGAAGAAGACAATCGGTGCCCCTCCCGGGTCTCCTCGCCGCGTTCCCGCAGCACCTGTTATGCCTGACGACGACGAACCAGCGCCTGCTCCTCCACCTCAACCTCGCATGGGACTTTCTCGTGGTCTTGCTGGGCGCTCTCTCGCCAAACCTGCCGCACCCTCACCTCCAGTCGAACCAGCCTCGCCACCACCCTCTAGTGGTCTCACCGCTGTGGAACGAGCCGAGATTGAGGAACTTCGAGCTGCCAACGACCGACTCACCCGCCAAGTTGATGAGATGCGACAAGAACGTAGCAAGTTCATGTCGGAGATTCAGGAACTCAAGAACCAGAACGCTGGTTTGATCGAAGACCACACTCGCGACGTGTTGAGCATCAAGGCCAAGGAGACTCAACTGGTTCGCGCGCGAAGTGATGCAGAGGCTACCGAGCAGACCAACGACCGCTTGAGACGCGAACTGGAAAGACTTAAGAAGGCTTTGAGCACCGCCGAAAGATTCGAAGGCTCGGGAAGCGGCATGGCAAGCCCTCGTCTTGCTTCACCTACGAACGAAGACGTCTACAGAGATCACGGACCTCCATCAGTCAGCCGCCATAGAATGAGCATTGCTAGTAGCATGTCCGAAGAGAAGGAAAATGGAGAGGCAATGGCACCTCCTCGTAACAAGTTCAGTCCCGAGATGCGATACGCTGGTAGTGCAAGCTCATCTGGTCGTGGATCCCCGGCACGCGGATTTAGAAGTTCTCGACCCTACGGCGACGAAGACCATATACCAGCTCCCTCCCAACGCCCGATGTCATCACTGCCTCAACCCACAGGAAATGGTGCTGAGAGTTGGAGGAGAGCAGCTGAGGTGACGAGTCAATTGAAGGCCCGAATTGAACAGATGAAGGTATGTTATGTCTTTCCCTCACTTGCACACATATAACTAACAAATCCGCAGGCCAAACAAGGACTCGCTCGACCTTAGAATTGTCAGGAATACATTCAGCAATGATTGTTTGGTACAGTACTTTTAATGATGATGATTTTTGGGGTTTCATCGCGGAAAAAAGCTGGATGGGGTATTACCTGGGACAGAAACAGACGTGTCCCAGTCCGGTTGCATCTTGATGGCGTTGGAACTTGTGTCACCATCTTTCGCTTCAAGGGGTCTGATAGAATTATAAATGGGCTACAGCTGTTGGGATTGTAGGAGCAATACCCGCGGCGGGTCAGAGATACCTAGTTGTTTAATGCATGAAGTTGATGATTTCTATTCACTGAAGGATCGAGTATGTGACGATGTCTAGTCGTTTGCGTGTCACTTGCATGTCACCGAGTATCTGGTGGCTTCTACTCATTTGCATTGGTCTTGTCTTGTATGGACATCAATTCATTAACTAACGTAAGCAAAGTACAAAATCCCACAACTCCGTGATCGCTAGTGCTCATGCTGATCTTGCGTAGTCTTTGCGACTACAAGTTACTCCTTGTCATCCTTCTTCTCCTTTGACTCGTCCTTGGAATCATCCTTCTTGTCTTCCTTGTCTTCGGACTTGTTGTCCTTCTTCTCCTCAGACTTGTCGTCCTTCTTCTCTTCCTTCTTCTCGAACTTTTGCTCAGAGTCCTTCTTCTCGGACTCATCCTCCTTCTTGTCAGATGATTCCTCCTTGGGCTTCTCGTCCTTACCCTCATCCTTGGATTCGGCCTTCTTGTCATCGTCCTTGGACTCAGACTCCTTGTCCTTGGACTCGGACTTCTTCTCATCTCCCTTTGACTCGGAGTCGGACTTCTTACCCTCGTCCTTCTTCTCGCTCTTCTCCTCCTTCTTGTCGCTCTTCTCCTCAGAAGCCTTAGCCTTGTCATCACCCTTCTTCTCCTTGTCGTCACTCTTCTTCTCCTTATCACCACCCTTCTTACCCTTCTTCTTCTCCTCTTCCTTCTTCTTCTTTTCCTCCTCCTTTCTCTTCTTCTCCTCCTCAGCCTCCTTCTTTCGTCGACGCTGCTTCTCCTGCTCCTCTAGCTTCTCCCAGTTGGTCTCATGGTCTGCGATTCCAGTTCGGGAGAAGTTGTTGCTCAGACCCTGAGAAGTAATGGCATCACCCTGCTTGATCTTGGCGCGACCGATCAAAGAGATGAAGATTGCCAAACCGACCATGGCTGTGAGGAGGAAGCGGTAGGAGCCGTACCAGCGGGGTGCCCAGCCCTTAGTCGCGGCGCGCGAGTCGGCGAAGTAGAGAGCGACGAAGGCCATGAATTGGGTGGTCAGGGCGTACTCGACGGGGAGCATGACAGTAGGCCAGGCGACGACTGAGGCGGCGAGACCCATGCCGTAACGGAAGCGGGTTCGTTCACGGAGGGGTTGCTTCTCAGCGTATTCGAGACCCTGGCGCATGTTAGTCCGATACATAGTCAAACTTCAAATAGTTGCGACTTACCCAGTGGATAGCTCCAAGGAAAGAGATAATGACAGCACCGTATCCGAGCTGGAGAGGCTCAAGGAGGTTGAGGAAGTGCTTGGCCGTCTCGTGATCGACCATGATGGTGTCGTAAAAGGCATTGCCTGTAGGAATCTCCTTGTTCAAGTTCCAAGCGAGAAAAACTGTGGAAAGCGAAGTTCCGAGGTAAGGAAGGGTACCAGCGAGACCGAGAATGCGCGACTCGCGGGGTACGTTTGTGAATGTGAAAGTGTCTTTCACGATGCCCTAAACAATATTAGCCACCATTCCCTCCATCCTTGCAATTGGTAAATACTTACAATATCATGCTTGAGCTCACTGTTCATATCCTCATCAGCGCTCTTAGAACCCTGAGCTGCAGTCGAGGTGTTGGCCGTTGAGCTTGAAGTCGAAACATGGCTAGGATCAGCTTGGAGAAGTTGCTCTCCGCGTTTGCGCTCAGCTTCATAGTCAATTGGCTGCTTGGGAGGAGGAGGATTCTCAGAGTCGGATTTGCTGGAGTAGACGGCGCGTTGTTGGCGCAGGAGAGGCGCAATTGATGCGCGGGGGAGGGGAGCTCTTGGGGAAGCTCTGGCTGCGAGTTGCCAGAGGGGACGAGAGGTGGTACGGAACATGATGGGCAAGCTACAAAAGGAACAGGCTGATGCTTTAGTTAATGATTATCGAAGAGGAAAGATTAGAGAGGAAATAAGTTCAGGAATGGAAGCTAAGAAAGTGAAATATTATAACATCGAGTTCTATGGAGCAATGGAAACTTCTGCGACAGCTTCCAAGATCTGGATCAAGATCATGGGGAGATACGTAATGGCTGAATAATTTGTACCTGGATAGGAACACAGGTGCGGATAGCCATGAAACTCTGTCGCACGTCAAACAATAACGTTATTGGGTACTGGCACTATCCCCGTTTGGCCCGGAAATTGTGTGTTTACTCTGTCACGTCTAGACTACATCATCGCGATCCAATTCTGAAGTTATGTCGTGACGTCATGAAACTACTCTCTCTTTCTGGTGTTGGTTTCTGGCTGAACACCACCAACATGACTGACTGATATTTTACTTAACCTTGGAGAATATCGTTCCTAAAACGGCATTTGAGCAACGTCAAGAATGCAAAGCTTGATGCCAGTGAAATACGGATATTCATGATATGGATGTTACTTTAGTACCTGACGATGCCAATGCTGCGGGAATGGCTGCCGTTCACATGCTCCACTTGAAAACTGCCCTGTGCTTTGATGTGCTCCAGGTCTTTCAGCTCCGGCTGGGCATGGACTCCAGGGAGGACTCCAACCCAAGACTTCCACAGTATTGAATTTGAGAAAATACAGTCACTGTGCTTTAGCAGATTTTAGTAGATTAATATTCTAATACCTTATTTTGTTAATGCCCGATCTTGTACCTGACTGATAAAACTCCTGCTTCAGTTGGAACGTAGAGCTGAAAGCCACTGGCACTTTCCCAACTCAATTCGGTACCTGATCCTCAACCGGCTCCATCCGCAAATAGCAAGTACCTCCCAAACACCGTCGTCATACACGCCACACCATTCCCCAGGCAGCTTCCCACTTTTTGAATTGCTCCGGCGAGGTGCGTCACTCACTCAGAGGACGACACGACCTGATGGAATCCACCCTTCCACCATCACCGCAAACTCGCCCATTTCTTTTATTCAAGAGGCACAATCGATAATACCCTCATCCACTTTTTTCCACCTTCTCTTCTCTGTTATCAGGGATACCCTACCTTTTGTATCTACGACGGATACAGATACAGCTTCGTCTGTAACCCCGCTCTGAAATCGTCAAGACGTGAGCATACGATTCACCGATCGAGCCTCGCATGGCACAATAATCCCCCGCCGACAAATGACATCCCGATAAACCAAATCAACAAGAACTACTCTCTAATTCCCCGGCCCGGGTTACGGCCACAATACCGCCAGAATGCTCGAAGGCCTCGTCGCTGGCCTGCTCAACCGCTTCCTGGGCATGTACGTTAAGAACTTTGACCCTGCCCAGCTCAAAGTCGGTATCTGGTCGGGCGATGTCAAGCTACGCAACCTCGAGCTGCGCCGCGAGGCCCTCGACCAGCTCAAGCTTCCCATCAATGTCATGGAAGGTCATCTGGGAGAGCTGACTCTTGTCATTCCCTGGTCCAACCTGCGTGGCGCTCCTGTCAAGGTCTTTATTCAAGATGTCTTTCTGCTCGCCAGTCCAAAGGAAGAAGCCGAATATGATCAAGATGAGGAGGACCGTAGGAAACAGCGCGTCAAGATGGAGAAGCTGGATAGCGCTGAGTTGATCAAGGAGAGGAATCAGGAAGGTCTCAGCCAGGAGGAGCAAAAGAAGAGTCAGAGCTTTACACAAAGTTTGACGACCAAGATCGTCGATAACCTCCAGGTCACGGTCAAGAACATACACATCCGATACGAGGACTCTATCTCAGCACCGGGGCACCCCTTCGCTCTTGGTGTTACCCTCGAGGAGTTCAGCGCTGTCAGTACCGATGGCCAGTGGAAGCCCACCTTTGTCCAAGACTCAAGTACCGTCACTCACAAGCTGGCGACCCTCGGTGCACTAGCTGTGTACTGGAATACCGACTCAGATCTTCTGGGAACTGGTCGAGAAGCGTCAGCCAACTCCAAGCAGGTTATGTCACACGATGAAATGGTAGCCAAGTTCAGAGAAATGATTGGCAAGGATGCGCAAAAGAATTCCAATCATCAGTTCATCCTGAAGCCTGTCAACGGTCAAGCCAAGATTGAACTCGACAAGTCGGGTGACATCATGGTGCCCAAGTTCAAAGCTAACCTATTGTTCGAAGAGATTGGTGTTGTTCTCGACGACGATCAATACCGAGATGCTCTAATGATGGTCGACCTCTTCCACTACTTTATTCGACACCAGGAGTACAAGAAATTGCAACCGAAGGGCGTCCGGCCCAAGGAAGATCCCCGTGCTTGGCTGGAGTTTGCGGGTAATGCTGTGCTTTCTAAGATTCACGAGCGCAACCGCAAATGGTCATGGGATTACTTCCGTGAGCGACGCGACGACCGAAAACGATATATCGAGTTGTTCAAGAAGAGAAAACAAGATCACCAAATGACGGCTGAAGAAACCGATGAAATCAATAGTCTCGAATGGAAGCTAACATACGAAGACTTGCGATTCTGGCGATCTCTTGCTCGCAACCAGCTCAAGAAGGAGAATGCCGAAGCTCTAAAGAATAAACCACAAGAACCTCAACAGCAGCAAGGTTGGATATCGTGGGTGTGGGGTTCTAAGCCTCAAGAAAAGATTGAGCATAATGAAGAGAACACACAGATGACTGAAGAGCAACGGCAAGAGCTGTACGAGGCTATCGACTGGGACGAAAAGAACGCTATCGCCGATGAAGTTGATGTCCCTCGTGAAGCAATAAAAATGTGCATCGAAACATCTCTCAGCACCGGTAGCTTTACATTGAAGAAGAGTCCTCATGATAACGCAGCGGATCTTCTCAGCTTGCACTTTGACGTGTTCAAGGCCAAGGCGTTGCAGCGTAAGGACTCGATGCTTGCCAATGTCAGTCTTGGTGGACTCCGTGTCAATGATGGCACCACCCCCGACTCTGTCTACCCCGAGATTGTCCGAGTCAAGGATTCGCCCACCGACAAGCAGCGCAAGCGACTTTCTTTGGCCGAACTTGAGCAGCCTGAGGAAGACCCCTTCTTCCAGTTCGAATTTGAGCAGAACCCAATCGAGCGGGAGGGTGACATCGCTGTTGTCGGAAAGATGAAGCCTCTTGAGGTTATCTGGAACCCCAACTTTGTCGTTGGCATCGCTGACTTTTTCCGACCTCCCGAGAGACACATGGAGTCCATTACTGCCCTCATGGAGAGTGCTGGCGCTACTGTCGAGAGCATTCGTGAACAGACTCGAGCAGGTCTTGAGTTTGCCCTGGAGGAGCACAAGACCATCAACGCCGAGTTGGATCTTCAAGCACCTCTCATTATTGTGCCTGTCAGCATTACTACCGAGAATTCGACATGCCTGATTGTTGATGCAGGTCACATCCACGTCAACAGTGAACTTGTCGACCAAGGTACAATGAAGGAGATCCAAAATAAACAAAAGCAGCAATACAGCGATGAAGATCTCAAGAAACTTGAGTCTGTCATGTACGACAAGTTTATCGTTAAGCTCACGTCGACTCAAGTCCTCATCGGACCCTCTGTTGACGAGACCAAGGCCCAGTTGGTCGAGAAGAGCGACGAGGCTCATCTCCATGTGGTTGAACAGATCAATGTCGACTTTGTCGTCGAAACCTCGATTCTACCAAAGGCGCCCAACTTGACAAAGTTCAAGGTCTCTGGTCATCTGCCCATGCTTCACGCCACAGTGTCCGACACCAAGTATAAGAACCTGATGAAGGTCATTGATGTGGCCATCCCCAAGTTTGGCAATACATCAGCGGAGAGGATTGAACAACACAAGGAAGCATCTCGTCCTCGTCTCAAGAGCAACTCATCCAATAGATCTAGGAGAAAGTCACAGCGCGAGCGAAGACAGTCCACACCTTTCCCTTTCATGCAGTCTGAAACTGCAGTCGTGCTCGATGATATGGATGAAGATGATGATGACTTCGAAGACGCGGAAGATGGAGGTGACTCAGAACAACTCAAGGTCCAGCAGCGCATTTTCGAGTTCAAGTTCAAGGTTGATACCTTGAAAGGTTCGCTATACCGAAGTGATCCTGATGGACAAAAGCCCGACTCGTTACTGGTTGAGCTTGTTGCTGAGCGATTCGACTTGGAGTTCTACACCAGACCCTTCGACATGGTCGCGGATGTTTCGCTTGGTTCAGTCACTGTTGACGACTTTGTGGACAACCCTTCTGCCGAGTTCAAGTCTATCATCTCATCTGGTGACAGTGAGGATCTCAAGGAAGGCCGTAGCCTCGTCCACGTCAAATACGTCAAGGTCAACCCAGCGTCTCCCGAATTTATGCCTGTTTATGAAGGTGTCGAAACCAACATCAATGCCGTTGTCTCTACAATTAACCTGATTGTCACTCGAAAGACATTACTTACTCTGCTCGACTTTATCCTCATTACATTCACAAACAACAATAACAATAACCAGTCAAATAACAACAAGGCGATCACGGAGAGCGATGACGATGACTCGGAAAGCATTGATACCGCTGTTGCAGTCGCCAACGAGCCCCAGTCAACCTCCAGCAACGGATCTATCCGAGTCAAGGTTGATCTGAAGAGTATCAGACTGATCCTCAACAACGATGGCATTCGCCTTGCCACACTGTCATTCAATAAGGCTGACGCTGGTATCTTCCTGCGAGGCAATACGATGCGAATCTCAGCTAGACTTGGCGATCTATCTCTTGTTGACGACGTCAACCTTGGTGTCTCGGAGGATTCCCACCTTCGAAAGCTTGTCACCATTCAAGGAGATGACCTTGCGGACTTCCGCTACGAGACCTTTGACTCCAGCAACCCCAAGGCATACCCAGGATACGACAGCTCAGTCTTCCTCCGTGCTGGTTCAGTCAAGGTGAACTTTGTCGAGGAGCCATTCCGCAAGATTGTTGACTTCTTGGTCAAGTTCGGCAAGATGCAGGCTCTGTACAATGCTGCGCGCCAGGCTGCCATGAACCAAGCCAACCAGTTGCAGCAGAGTCCCAGTCGCTTCAAGTTCGATGTGGTGGTCAACACTCCAATTGTCGTCTTCCCTCGTGTGCAGCAGCCAGGACAGGTTGAGCGAGATGTCATCACCGCCTACCTTGGTGAGATCTATGCTCAGAACAAGTTCACCCCTCTTGACGACAGCGAGAACTCCGATATTGCCATGAAGCTTTCAGCTGGTATTCGCAACATCAAACTCACCTCGGACTTCCACTACCAAGGAGGACGTTCGGAAGAGTTGGAGATGATCGATCATGTCGACCTTGGCTTCAATATAACATACGCTGAGCACAAGAATGGCGTCAAGAGACCTGAGACTGAGATTGAAGGAACAATGTCCGACTTCAACTTGCGACTTACACAATACCAAGTCAAGTTCCTCTTGGAGATCTCCAAGTCGGTACCTGCAGCATTTGCTGGTGAAGGTGGCGACAACGAGGAGGAAGCTGCCAAGGCTGTCGACGAAGGCACCCTGCAGCGCGCTAAAACCTTCAACTCCGACGACAAATCCGCCGACGAGAAGACATTGGTTGACCTCGGCCCTGAACTTGGTTCCGTCGGTCAAGAGTGGACTAAGCTTGATCTTGTCTTCAGCGTCAACACTATTGGTCTTGAGCTGATCAACGCACAAGAAAATGAGCCTGTTGAAGATATCGCAAAGTCCAGTCTATCCAGGTTCTCGCTTGACGACACCAAGATCAAGACAAGAATGCTTTCGGATAATTCACTGGAGGCAGAGCTGCTCATTCGATCATTTACAATCTACGATAGCCGACCACGCGACACCAACAAGTTCCGCCGTATCATGTCATCGATGAACAAGGATGTGCAACAGCTTATGGCCAGTGTCACAATATCGGGTGGCAAGGAGAAGAGCTTGATTGCCATGGCCACCATCGACAGTCCCCGTGTCATCTTTGCACTCGATTACCTCTTCTCCCTTCAGAGGTTTGCGGTCGAAGCTCTCACTGTCGACGAGAGCAGCCCTATGGACGACGAAAGCATCATGGCCGACACCACACCCGACGAATCCGATACCGACTCTATGCAAGTGACTGTCACTGGTCGTGCTTCCCGCCCACGATCGGAGATCTCCCGCCGACAAAGCGAGGATGTATCAAAGCAGGGAGAAAAGAAGGAGGAGTCATCCATGAGCATTGCGTTCCGAGTTAACCTCGTCGATGCGCAGGTCATTCTCATTGCTAACCCGTTGACATCCAGTTCCGAGGCAGTTGTACTGTCAATCAGACAAATGCTTCTCTCCAAACAGCATGCCTTGACCTTCCAGATTTCGGAAGTTGGCATGTTCTTGTGCCGAATGGACAAGTTTGAGACCTCCCGCCTACGCATCATCGATGACTTTTCGGTTCAATTGAGTATGGATGGTTCCAAGCCTAATACTACCGACATCCATGTCGACATTGAGCCTCTTGTCTTGCGACTGTCGCTACGCGATATTCTTCTCGTCCTCCAAATCGTCAGCAAAGCCAGCGAGTTGTCTGGCAATGAGCCAAAACAGCAGCAGGTCAAGGAAACACCCGCCGAGCAGAAGGCGCGCGAACTCCGAAACGATGGAATGAAGCAACGATCTGCCAGCGGTCGGGGTCAGTCCACCATTGCAGGAAGAAGCAAAGTGACTGCGACTAGTCATGCCGTCACTCATGGTGCTGACACTAGAGGCGGCAAATCACCTGAGCAAGTTGCCCAACAGAACTTTGAGACTCTGTCTGCAACTGTCGAGGGTATTCGTGTCGTACTCATTGGCGATGTCCACGAACTTCCGATCTTGGATATTGGCATCAAGAACTTTACGGCGAGCGCCGAGAACTGGTCTTCCAACCTGAAGGCCGAGACTGCGATCGACCTCTACTCCAACGTCTACAACTTTGCCAAATCCAGCTGGGAACCTCTCCTTGAACCATGGCAAGTCGGCTTTGGTGTCGCCAAGGACCCTGTCACTGGATTGATGTCGATTGATGTTGCTTCCAAGAAGGTCTTTGACGTGACCGTCACTACAGCCTCGATTGCGCTGGCTTCCAAGTCATTCCAATTCTTGACGTCCGACGAAGACGTGTTGGACAAGCCTCGTGGTGTTGAAGCACCATACCGCATCAGGAACTACACTGGCTTTGATGTTCTTGTCCATTCTAAGAGCCCGACAAGCGAGGAGCCTATCAACCTTCGCCTGGAGGATGGTCAGGAAGCGCCCTGGAGTTTCGAGCATTGGGAGAAGATGCGAGAGAACTTGCTCACCGAGTCAAACCAGAACTACGTCTCGATTCAATTGGAAGGCAGTGGATTTGACCCTGTCAAGAATGTCAGACTCAACCGTGAGGGCGAGTACTTGTATGGTCTCCGACCCAAGACTGATGATGTTCTCCACCGTCTCTGCGTTGATGTCGAGCTGGGAACCGACAACATCAAGTACGTGACCTTCAGGTCTCCTCTACATGTGGAGAATGCCACCGAGATTCCTGTTGAACTGGGTATCTACGATGCACAGGATGGCCATCTACTCAAGATCGAGAAGATTAACCCTGGTGACTCTCGACCTGCACCAGTTGGCGCTGTCTTTGAGAAGCGTCTCCTTGTTCGACCTGACAGCGGCTTCGGCTACCAGTGGAGCAACGATCAACTGTACTGGAGAGACCTTCTCAAGAGACCTACCAAGCAGGTGGTCTGCAAGGGAGAGAATGGAGACCCTTTCTACTTCCAAGTCCATTCCCGTTTTGACAAGGGCAACCCATTGACAAAGTAAGTTCATCGTACCCCATAACTTCGCACATACTAACCATCTAGACAATACCCATACATGAAGATCAAGCTTTCGGCACCCGTCACCCTCGAGAATCTGTTGCCCTACGACTTCAAGTATCGCATATATGATAAAGCGACCAAGAAAGACTGGACCAACTTCTTGCGCAAGGGCGGTGTCAGTCCAGTCCACGTCGTGGAACTCTCGCACTTGCTACTTCTTAGTATCGATATGCAAGATACAGTGTTCAAGGCGAGCGACTTTTCCATCATCAACCCTGGAAACAACGAGGACTTCAAGAAGGAGGGCAGAATTGTCGTCAAGGATGACCAGGGATTGCCTTTGCACCTCTCGCTGCACTACTTCAAGATCCCCAATAGTGGCGGTGCATTCAAGGTCACTGTGTACAGTCCTTATGTCGTCTTGAACAAGACCGGCGTGGATGTTAGGGTCCGCGCAAAGAGTTTCCTCCAGCAAGCCAAACCGGCTGCAGGTCAATTCCCTTTGATGGACACGTCGAACCAAGACCGACCCAAGGCGCTACCCTTTATGTTCTCTTATGGCAATGACGATCATCGCAACCGAGCTCTTCTCAAGATCGCCGACTCCGAATGGAGCAAGCCGCAAAGTTTCGAGGCGATTGGAAGTACCACTGAGGTCGTGTTGAACTCGGCGACCAAGGACAAGGAGATCCATGTGGGTGTCACTATTGAGTCAGGTCAGGGCAAGTACAAGCTCACCAAGGTTGTGACGCTTGCGCCTCGCTTCGTTCTGCACAACAAGATGGATAGCGAGATTCTCGTTCGGGAGTCTAGCTCTTCTGGTTACCTGACCCTGGGTGACGGCGCTCTCCAACCCTTACATTTCATGCAGAAGTCCAAGGTCAAGCAGTTGTGCCTTTGCTACCCCGGCGTGAACAACTCTTGGACTGCTCCATTCAACATTGCGGATATAGGTACTCACTATGTCAAGATCGCCAAGGCCGGACAGCGACAGAATCTTGTCAAGGTAGAGGTTCTTATGGAGAACTCTACAGTCTTCCTGAACCTCAGTATGGAGACAAAGACTTGGCCATACTCTGTGCGCAACGAGAGTGACATTGAGTTCATGTTCTGGCAGGCCAATCCCAACATTGACGAGGAAGGAGTCGAGGATCGCAGCGGTTGGAGACAAGTCAGATATCGTCTGCCGCCACGAAGTGTCATGCCTTACGCATGGGACTTCCCTGCCGCCAAGTTCCGCGAGATCATCATTTCTGCTAATGGCAAGGAACGACATGTCAAGCTGGCTGAGATCGGTAACCAGATTCCGATGAAGTTTACCACGTCCACCGGAAACCAGAAGATTGTCGACATAAATGTCGCTGCCGACGGACCGAAGCAGACTCTTATTCTCAGCAACTTCCGCGCCAGCAAGAGTATGTACAAACCCAAGGCTTTGTCGCGAACCAACACTGGCCCTGAGGCTTTCGAAGTCAAGGATCAAGATACCGGTGCGACATTCCGAGCTCAACTCAAGTTGGCGGGCATCGGTGTTTCCCTCGTCAATGCTCAAATGAAGGAGCTTGCCTACCTGACTTTCCGAGACGTCCAACTGCGATACAGTGATTCACCACTGATCCAGACAATTTCCATGGCGATCAAATGGATTCAGATCGATAACCAGCTGTACGGTGGTATCTTCCCAATGATTCTCTACCCGACTGTCGTGCCAAAGAAGGCGCAAGAGGTGGAGGCTCACCCATCGCTCCACGCTATGGTCAGTCGTGTCAAGGATGATTCGTATGGTGTGCTGTACGTCAAGTACGCCACGATTCTACTGCAGGAAATGTCAGTTGAATTGGATGAGGACTTTGTCTTTGCTCTTCTCGACTTTACAAATGTTCCAGGCGCCAGTTGGACGGAGGTTGACGAGGGCGGCAAGCTGTGCGACGAGGATCTTGACATTCCAGAGCCGTCGGGCACACCAGCTGGAACAGACATCTACTTTGAGGTTCTCAACATCCAGCCCATGCAGCTCAACCTCAGCTTTATGAGAACAGAGCGTGTCAATGCGGAGGACAAGACATCATCTCGCAACCCAATTATGTTCTTCCTCAACGTCATGACCATGGCAGTCGGAAACGTCAACGAAGCACCGCTCAAGTTCAACGCGCTCATCTTGGATAATGTTCGGGTCACCACAGCTGTGCTCATCCAGAACTTCTCAAGCCACTATAGTCAAGAGGTCATGTACCAGATCCACAAGATTCTTGGATCCGCCGACTTCCTCGGCAACCCTGTGGGTCTGTTCAATAGCATTTCGTCTGGTGTGACGGATGTGTTCTACGAGCCGTATCAGGGTCTGATCTTGTCGGACAAGCCTGAGGAGTTTGGCTTGGGTATTGCCAAGGGTGCTGCATCATTTGCGAAGAAGACAGTGTTTGGCTTCAGCGACAGTTTCTCCAAATTTACAGGCAGTCTTTCCAAGGGACTTGCCGCGGCGTCGCTGGACAAACAATTCCAGGATCGTCGCCGTATCACAAGGGCTCGCAACAAGCCGAAGCACGCCTTGTACGGTGTCACTGCTGGTGCCAACAGCTTCATCACCAGTGTCGCATCGGGTGTAGGTGGCCTTGCACGCAAACCTTTGGAAGGTGCCGAAACAGAGGGAGCTCTCGGATTCTTCAAGGGTGTCGGTAAAGGCTTTATTGGACTGGCTACCAAGCCTGCTGTGGGAGTACTTGACATGGCCAGCAATGTCAGTGAGGGTATTCGCAACACAACGACCGTGTTTGACCAAGACGGTTTGGATCGCACACGTTATCCACGATACATCCCACAAGATGGCATCGTGCGCCCGTACAACCCCCGGGAAGCTCTCGGGCAATACTGGCTGAAGCAGGTGGACAACGGAAGATACTTTGACGAACAGTACATTGGACACCTGGAGCTTCCAAAGGAAGACATGGTGGTCATGATCACTTATGCTCGCATTTTACTTATTAGGTCCCGACGTCTTACCAGCGAATGGGATGTGCCGTTGAAGGACGTCCAGACTATTGCTAAGGAGAGAACTGGTGTTAGTTTGTCGCTGAGAGGAGGTGCTAATGGTCCCTTCATTCCTATTGGGGAGGGCAGTGAGAGGGGATTTCTTTATAAGATGATTGGTGTGGCGGTTGAGGAGTTTAACAGAAGGTTTAGGAGTGGAGAGTAAAAGGCATGGCGAGTGAGGGTATACGCCGAGTAAGAGATTATACAATGCAGTTGTAATTAGCAGCACGAATGGTGTTTGGCGTTATTAATAAGAACACGAAGTATATTACAATTCATCTGTCGCAAATGTGTTGTTCTGCTGGGGGAATGGAGGGCTACTTTGAAGGCATACGAGCAAGTCACTGTGCTGGCGATAGTCGGAGTTCAGTTGCTGTGGGCGACTGCTTGCGATGAGCCCCATTAACGCTAACCGGGGAAGGTCAACCTTAATTAAACCGCCAAGGCTTTAGAGAAATACGTGTTGTTTTGCTTGGTTGGCATTTGCGATGTCTCCTCTAGATCGATATCGTCGAAACCTGAATAGCATTTGTGTCGCGTTGGATCATGAGCGTGTTTTCAGGGAGCCTCATGCCAATTTTTCCCTAGAGAAACGTGTGATGGCAATTTTCGCGTGGCGATAAAGTCGAGATAAGAAGAGGCGATTGTAGATAAGAACTCGCGCGATATTGCTGAATTTGTCGTTGTGAGCTTACATGTAAGAATAATTGACCGAGAGTCCGAGACGAGATAGCAGAGGATATCGGTCGCGTGCACGGAGTAGCTACGTTGAAGAGCATGTGATGGGGGAAATCTGGCCGATTCGTGAATGAACGAGGTGAAAGATAAATGAGAAGAAGAAGAAAAACATTGACGGGACAGAGAAGCCGAGGAAGATTAACGAGATTGAAGGAAAAGGGAAAGGGAAAGGTGACATGCGGAATTGAAGGTTGAGAGACAACACGCGTATACAGATAAAGTGCGTGATACAATCGGGAAGTAATTCTCGTAGCAAGCCAGCCGTGGCAGACCCGGTACAACGGTTGGCTTGACAGATTGACAACTCAATCTAATAAACCATCGGGACAGCCCGAGATATCACAACGGAGTTGGCCGATGGAGCAAAGTGAAACTATATCTTTTATAGAAGGAGAGATGACTTATCTGACATGTGCCTCTTCTGTTTCTCACTATACCGACAGGGCCGAGAAGATGCTACCGGGAAAGGGAGAGAGAATGAGGGTGTAGAGGACCCGTAGCGTAGCGATAAACCTGGGGAGGGAGAGGGGGGGAACAAAAAGCCCGGGGAAGGGAAGCTTATCGGATGCGGACAAGGCATGCATCCTGGGGAAAAGAAATTTGTTACATAACAGAAGATGGAGTAGGGGAAACAAGATTTGGGGTCACCTACTTGATTCAGTAAGAGGGCGGTTATTGGCATGGTCAGCGGCGCCCTCAACGGGTGTGGCTTCTGTTTTACAAGTCATGTACAATTATTCCAAGTGGAGGTAGCTGTAGTCTGGGGCAGTTAATTAGTTTATGCTTCGGAGATGGGAGTTGGATTTGGTTTAATCTGGATCAGTCTAGATTGTTTGGTATGATAAGGTATGAAATAGCTTCTGATGGACATTGATAGGGCATACTCCAGATTAGTGACCGAGAACCACTAGCATGCGTTGTAACTGAAGTGTTGGATAGCTGAGCTACACAAGTTCCTTGTCAATCAAGCTGAAGTCTATAGGCATGAATTATTGGCCAATGTGATGGAAGCAAGTTGACCAATGGATCGGTCTATTCTGCATCGATCAGTGAGAGACAACCCAAGTCTGGAGATGATATTGGACGCTATGCTCAGTTGGTCGATTGGTCCGTTAGTGGAGACGACGTCAGTGGAGATGGCCGAGTCCCGGGTAGTCTAGCGTGCATTGGCACTTTGCAAACGTTCCGTCAACCTGCCAGAAGAGGAATGGGGTGAAGCCGAAGGATGGGACCGGGGTGGCAAGTAGATACAGTACCTACAGATAGAGACAGAGGACAGAGGAATTGAGTAGAAAGGGATATCATGGATGAGATAAAACATGAGAGTAGAGTTGAATGCCTTGACTGAATGTTCATTGACATTAGTAGTTACAGAGAGATATGTGTTGTGTTGTGGTTGAGATAGTAGTTGATGGATATGGGAGCTATCAATATGGAGACAAGGCAACTCCGAACCCAGACCCCAAATCCCAAGGATCAGACCCAATTAAACCAAACCAACTGATAAGCTCAGTCCCTACTCGCAGACGCACCAAACCAATCCATGTCTCTCAAAGCTTTAGTTGCCCGCGTGCTCACCTGCCACCTCCTCAAGATGATCGTCAAGCCAAGCTACCATCCAGACCAGACATTGTTGGTTCCGGGGTCAGTAACACTTTAATAGAAGGACAAAAGATAGCGTATGGCCACCCCCTCCCCTCCTTGGAAGGCAAAAAATTTGGACTGCTGTCTGTATCTTTCGGCCTCTCGGGTTAAAAAGTAGAGCCATCCCCACGTCTTTTTTTCTCGTTCGACCCACGGAAAAAAAAAGATCGTCTCGTTTTTTTTCGCCGCGCGATACGGATCTTGCCATAGAGCAGAGATAGACCCAGCCTCTCTTAGGGTTAAGCTCCATCTTTGGGAAAAGTTCTTTTTCTTCTTCGCTTCCCTCCCCCGCCAGGGTCTCTTTTCTTTCTTCTCTTGTGCTTCACTGCTACCAAGCTAGAAGCTCCAAGGTCCCCTGCCTCTTCCAACCAAAGCCGTTCTGGTTTAAACAAATCCAATTGGTTGAAGAGAAAGAGAGTCAATCAAAATGTCTGTCCAACAACATACCACAGACCCAGCTTTCGAGCCGGCGCATCAACACGTCCACCAACATAACCACCACTCCCCCCGCGCCGCTCACGACGATGTCACATACACAACCGGCAACCCAGAATCCTCCATCGTCCCCCCTCAACAACATCGCTCCTCTCTAGACGAAAAGCGCGCCACTCACACTCCCCCCGACTACAGCGATCATGAAAAGAACGAAGCAGGCGTCGTTGATGCCTCCGCTGGTACAAACTCTGAGCGCAGCGCACCTATTGGCTGGCGCGCAAAGATCGGCCCCGTGTACAGACATCGAAGACCCTTGATTCACATGGCTGTCTTTTGTATCTCTACCGCTTGGTGGATTGCGTCTTTGGTTCTGCACAAGGATGACAAGAATTGGGTTGTTCCTTTCCTTGTCTGGCTTGCCATCACACTCCGATTGGTGTTTTGGCATGTTCCTAGTCGCCATGTCTCCAACGCTATCAAGTTCGTCTGGAAGAGCTCCGCTGTGAGAATCTACGATATGATTCCTTCCAAGTTCCGCACTCTTGCTGGCGCTACCGTCGCTGTCGCTGCCATCCTCGTCGGATCTTTCGTCTCCGAGGAATCTGCGGATAACACCCGCGAGAACCGCGCTGTTAGTCTGCTTGGTATGGCTGTCTTCATCTTCATCCTCTGGGCAACAAGTCGCGATCGCAAGGCTATTAACTGGCGCACTGTCATCGGCGGTATGCTTACACAGTACGTCATTGGTCTTTTCGTCCTGCGAACAGGCGTTGGATACGACATCTTCAGCTTCATCGCCGCGCGCGCAGCCGACCTTCTCGGATTTGCCAGAGATGGTGTTGCTTTCCTGACCAACCCCGATGTCGCTGCCACGCCCAACTTCTTCTTCAGCGTCATCCCCGCCATCATCTTCTTCATCTCCCTCGTCCAGGTTCTCTACTATATCGGATTCATCCAGTGGTTCATCATCAAGTTCGCCACTTTCGTCTTCTGGGGTCTTGGAGTTTCTGGTGCTGAGGCTGTCGTCGCTGCTGCTACGCCTTTCATCGGACAGGGAGAATCTGCCATGCTTGTCCGACCTTTTGTTCCTCACATGACAAAGGCCGAGCTTCACCAGATCATGACCTGTGGTTTCGCCACCATTTCCGGATCTACTCTCGTCGGATACATTGGTCTCGGTCTGAACCGCGAGGCTCTCGTGTCCTCGTGTATCATGTCCATCCCTGCCTCTCTGGCCATTTCCAAGATGCGATACCCCGAGACCGAGGAGACTCTCACAGCTGGCCGCGTTGTCATTCCCGACGACGACGAGCACAAGGCTGAGAACGCTCTTCACGCTTTCGCCAATGGTGCTTGGTTGGGTATCAAGATTGCTGGTACCATTATTACCTCTCTTCTCTGCATCATCGCCTTTGTCGCTTTCATCAACGGTATCCTTACCTGGATCGGCAGCTACATTAACCTTACCGGCGAGTACGATCTTACTCTGCAGTTGATCCTCGGATACCTTCTCTTCCCCATCTCTTTCCTCCTCGGTGTCTCTCGCACCAACGGATCCAACTCCACTGGAGATATCCTCCCCGTCGCCCGTCTCATCGCCCAGAAGATCATCACCGTAAGTCCACGCCTTCTCAATACTATGCACATACTAACACCTCCAGAACGAGTACAACGCCTTCACTGACCTCACCACCGACGACCCCACCTCCCAATACTACGGCCTCTCCCCCCGCTCCCAACTCATCGCCACCTACGCTCTCTGCGGTTTCGGCAACATTGGCTCCCTGGGTATTCAGATTGGTATTCTCAGCCAGCTCGCCCCCTCTCGAGGAGGTGACGTTGCTCGTCTTGCCGTCTCTGCCCTTATTTCTGGTGTCCTGGCCACCCTCACCTCCGCCAGTGTCGCTGGTCTTGTCGTCACTACCCAGCTGTCCGACTTTACTCGAAACCAATGATCGATGATATGATATGTGTGTAAGAAAAAGAAGATACGTAAAAAAAGAAAAAAGAATGATGCATCGAGGATTTCATGGTCGGATGATACATGTTTGAGATGATATGCTATACTATATACCAATGCTATACTAGCCACGAGATGGCCATAATTAAGAACACTACTCAAGTCCATTGTGACATTTCCCAACTTGATCGTCACTCTTTTGACATTTCTCAACTTGAATGCTCTGATCTACTACATCTATGATGGCAATGTCCCAGCTTGCACGGCGTACCCCTCGGTGATCAAGTTTCTCGGCACTCCATCGACAGACAGACATCAGTCCTCGTTTATTCTCGGCAATTGCGTAAACGAAACATCTCGGCAGAATAATGAACACAATGATGGGCCCTGAATCTCTCCACACTCGTCCGAGGCACAGGCCATTCTTCGTCAATCTTTTTCGGCATTGGATGTATCGTATCATGGTAGGTGACAGCGGGGCAGCTAGGGTCGACTTTTCCAGATCGCGAATCACGCGATAGCAGTGAATCGACTCAATCCCATCGACCGGTATCTGATCTAGCGTCGTTTACATATCGGCCCGGCGCTGGGCTATCGCGTGTAGTTCATCGCTGCAATTAACACGGAGTCGCGTTGGTCAATAAGTACCAGATTTACCAGATTGATAGCGTTTTCGCGAGTGACGCGCTGTGATGGGTTGATGAGGTGAATTGTTTGAGCCCTTCACAACAGTGTTGTCGCCAGATTGTTCCCATCGTCTACGAACTTGAACCGTCTACGGTTCTGTGGAAGTCACCAGATAATCTCAAAGCCTTCTAGAGTTACCGCCAGCCCAGGCTTCACTCAAGCAGTTCCGGGCCTCTGCAGCCCATACTTTGACGACAGTTAATGGGCAAAGCCGAGTTTCATGATGAACGATGAACAGATGAAGAGGTGCATCTTACACTGAGGCCAGAATACAACACCCCAAGAGTTATCGCTCTCGAATTGACTCTCATAAACTCGTCGGCGCGCGATTCTTCAATGCTTCAGTGGTCCCGTACAAGTCAATTACACGCGGCTAAGTCACGATAACCTCTCCTCTTCGGAGTTTGTAGTAACAAGAGACCTAGCAGTCAGACGACGCGTAGTAAAATGGGTTCTCACAAGATGAGACACGGCACAACTGTGTTGGTATGCGGCCAGGTTGGGGTTCAGTTGCCTTGGGCGGCAACTTTTGCTCTGATCTACTGAGTGTTGACCTGCCTGGAATGGTTCAAGTGAACTGTTGTATCACGGAAACTGAGGATGTGCAATTGGGTATTGGTGAATGTCTTGGGTGGAATGGACACGGCTCCAGGGTATGTACGTTCCAACTTGGTAACCCGGAACATGGAGATCTACCAAGACACAAGGCACAAGACACCATAATCACGCTTACCGGTGCCTGTGATTAGAAGAGACACAGCTAGAATACTTATCGCCTAGCTTAGACACAGTTTTCTTTGCTACAACCATCAGAGTGTCCTACTTGGAGACGCCTGGATTGGATGTTATGGCAGCTGGGTAGGGCTTCAGGGTAGTTAATAGGATTGGGATCATTTGATGCCACGGCCGTACAACGCGCACCGTCAATTGCGTAGCCAAGCAAATGTCTACTAGACAAAATTAAGTACATTGTTCTGGAGTCTCTCATTATGATATTTTGAGTTTATGGCTATCTGATAACCACGGTGCGTGTACACTTGCTGAGGTCTGATTGTCCAAACCATCAAACAACAAAAGTAACTTTGTCAATGCCACGCAAAGATTCAGTTTCAGGGCGCCAGTGCATACATACCGACACATTTCGCACCACGATGTCTGGTAAATGGCCCATCAATTGATTAGACATGGATGGAATTTGGACAGATCATGCAAAAATGAAGCAAAAGAATTGGACTCACGGGGAATTGAACCCCGGACCTTTCCCAAGCGTCGTTTGATAGATGCGAAGGGAAAATCATACCCCTAGACCATAAGCCCGATATTTTAATTCGTTACACACAGATGTCAAAATAGCGTCTATGTGCTGTACGCGTTCTCTCACAGCGCGCTCAAATGTTTAGATCGAGATCCAACGCTGAAGATTTGCGGGTACGTGAAATAGTTTGCAAATCAAGTTGCGATTTATCTTGATTCAAGAGTCCACATGATCAAGCAAAACGACGCATTAGATAGCCCATTGGTTCATGTTGTCAATCCCAATTATGGACATGAGACATTGACGTGCTGCATCATTTAGACAATCACTAATTATTCGAGTGGCTGTAAACACAATTGGCAAAGTAAACAAAGATTGGACAGATCTACATAAACACATCCAACATTACAATCGCATAAACATGCGCTGTCCAAAAAGCAAACACTAAAAAGTCCTCATGAGGCTCTGTGCACACAGTGACCTTCTGAGACAACTTCATCTCCATCTCTGTGCAGTCTGCACTGACGTTGGAGAGTTAAGCTTAAATTCAAGATAAAATCTTGATTTAGTACTTCAGGGGTCTTGCCAAGAAGGATATTGTGTAAAACGACATACTGCCAAGATGAATGAATTAGCCAGCGCAGAAAAGGTGAAACGGGTTGTGATGTAATTAATTAAATGTGGCGGTGGATGCGGCTGGGGACGACACCGGGTTTTGGTTGGAAGGAGGATGTGCTCCGTAATTATATCCGTCATTCTACGGGGGGATGAGAGATTGCTGACTGTCACCAAAACCGTGATGCCGTAAACAAATAGTGTCCTATTCACTAAAATTATAAGCGGACATTCACTAAATAACAAGCGGATATACCGGCATCAAATTGTTTACAGTGGTGTTTTGATTGCTGATGGTGGGTCAGGCAATAAAAAGTGACGTAGGTAAAGCGGGTTCTGATCGACTTCACTACGTAGATGGCCGGCCCTCTAGTAACATCTTGGTTAGACGTGATCCAAGGAAAGGGCGATCGGACCTGGGACTAGGCCCAAAGTGTGTCTCAAAGTGACGACTGACTAATTCCAGTTGCATTGAACTTCAGGTTTTTGCTGTTGACGCAGGGTGCCATTTACGGGTGAGGAAATATACCAAAACACAAATCACCTCAACTTTATTTTTTTTGTTCTTTCTCCTTCTCGTTTCCCTTCCTGCCATGCATTTTTCTCGGGCATGGCTTCCAACAACAGATTTCAGCCTGGCGGTCGCCATGTGCACGTAGCAGGTGAAAACTACCGCTCCAACAGTCCCTCCCGACCCGTCAGTCCCGGACCCGTCGACGAAACAGCATCCGATTACTTCAACCCCATCAGCCAAGCGCCCTCTCAAACCTCCTTATCTCGCTACCCATCGCAGAATCCATCGCAAGCATCGCTTTCCGCATTTCCTTCCTATCAAGATCCTACGAGTATAAACACGGCCTACAACCAGCAAAACCCGCCACCCGCGAGACGCAGACCTCCCGTCGACCAGGCGCGTCAACCTAGCATTCGCATCCGCCGCAGCTCCAACGGGTCTGTCTACTCCAACTATAGTTTTGATGGATTCAGCGATGATGGGAGACCGCGGAGTGTGTCGCAGCCCGAGAGGGCGAGGACGCATGATGGACCGGCGTTAGCGCGGCATTCGCGGAGAGTGCCACAGGCCGCGATGCCGAGATTGACGGAGGAAGGTGGTCGACCTAGTATGGCGGAGTTGGGGATCAGTGATGATGATCGTGCCATGTCGCCGACGGCGTCGCTCCCTGATGATGCGATACGGCCGAAACAAGGGAGATTGAGACGAGCGAGTCGCTTCTTTTGGCCGGGAAATCATCGACGACAGGGTGGCGATGATACCATGGCTGTGCCTATGCGCAACCGTGATGATAACCCTAACCCCGACGATGAATACGACCAGAACCTGGTAGACTGGCTCGATGTCATTGGTAAGTCGCCCAACATTCTTTCGATGTCAATCACTAACATCACCCAGATCCCGAAGTTCAAACCCTCTCCACCCTCACAAACGTCCAAAACTCCCTCTTCGTTCCCGATCTCGGAAAATGGGTCAACCGCCGACCAACATACGCTCTCTCTCGTCATGACCCCCAAGCCGAATGGGCCCGTGGTGCTGCCGCCGAAGAACGTCGTCGCGAAGCAGCCCAAGAGGATCGTGCCCAAACACCCGCCGTCCCCGAAACAATCAACGAAGATCCCCCACCTATGCAACGAAGCAGCACTATTACTTCTCGTCTTACCGAGTCGCACTACGCTGCTCTTCCACACGGAACGACTCTTGAGGGATGGACGCCCGAGGAGAAAGCTGAGCTGGATGATCATGTGCGACACATGTTGCACTCTCGCCGCGCCCGATTCAAGCGTCGCATGAAGGGTTTCGGACAATATGTTCGTCGACCGCTGGGTTTCCTCGTCACCCTTTACGCCACTCTCATTACGCTCTTCGGTCTGGCCTGGGTTCTCTTCCTCATCGGCTGGATTTACGTCGGCGACAAGCAATCCTATCTTGTCCACATCATCGACAGTGTTCTGGTCGCCCTGTTTGCCATCATGGGTGATGGTCTTGCTCCTTTCCGCGCGGTCGATACGTACCACATGTTCTTCATCTGGCGTCTTTCGCGCTTAATCAAGAGAGCCGAGGAGGGTAAGAAGCCTCGGAATCGATTACAGAAGAAGCGTGTGCCCCAAGGAGTCCCGACAAGTCTCGAAGATTCGCATTTGACGGGTCATCAAGCTCGTGTTCTTCTCGATGCGCAGAACTACAATCCCGAACGAGACGGTACGCTCCAAACGGAACACCAAGTTCCCGAACCCCAGCCCGAAAGTCCCGAGGAGATCGATCTCGAACACGCCAAGACGAACGGCCCTGAAGAAGATCAGCCAGCTCTTACCTTTGCACAGTTCAAGAAACTGCAGCACCATCAAAAGAAGATGGCCAAATCGCACAGTTTCTACAAGCCGCACGAAACATTCACCCATTTTGCCTTTCCACAGAAGTACCTCATCGCCATCGTCATTCTTCTGGACTGCCATTCCTGTCTGCAGATTTCTCTGGGTGCATGCACATGGGGTATCGACTACCACACCCGTCCCTTTGCCATCACGACTGTAATTCTCTGCGTCAGTATCACATGCAACATCACCGCCGGTCTACTCATCAGTCGTGGCGATCGCAAGACGCGCAAGAAGGATGTGTGGGAGTTGCTGGACAGACAAGAACTTACCCAAGACGCCATCAAGCACATGGAGAAGAAGAAGGAAGAAGAAGAAAAGGAGCAGCGCGAAAAGGAAGAAAAGGAACGCAAGAAGGAGGAGAAGGAAGAGAAAGAAAGACAGAGTATGAGTTTGGACAGAGACGGTGAAGTTCCCAGCGTGAGCAAGGAGTTTAAAAAGTTGGTCAAGTCGTCGCGATCAAGCGAGAGTGGTTAAGTTGAGTTGGGGGAGGTAATGAAGAGAGAAATACACGGATAATGAGTATGGGGTTATAAGTAATTGATATAGAAGTCATGAAACACAGATACCTAATTGATTATGTTGCATATACCGGTACTTTGGTCTAGCTTGGACGTGATGATTCACCAGTTGGTTTGGGGATGGCAGCCACATAAGGCTATGGGACGGGCCGCTGCTTGGAGGTCTGTACGAGAATACAGCATCTTGTTACTTTGATCTGATGCGCTTATCTGGATCGACGGTGGACCTAATCTCTTGCCGAGTTGATCTGAGCTTAGATCTTGATCTCTCATCACGCGTCTGAGCTTAGATCTGGGACAGCTTAGGATCTGGGATGCCTGTACTTTTTGTAAGTCGTTACCGAGAGTTCTTATTTACTGGGTCGATCCATGCAAAATATGCTTCAAGTTGTCAGCACGAATTGGCTTGCTAAGTGTCGCCAATAAATTGATGCCCTCGTGATGCCGAACCGACTACTACTGACAGACACCGATTGACGCGATGAACTTTCGCACACACTCATCTGAGTTGCGACTGACATTCAACTTCATCGAGATTTATCCAGTCAATTAGATGTAGGGTCAATTGACCCCCAAAGATTGTTTACACTGTGATCATGCAAATGCAATCTCAGCTTTTCGCATGAGGGTACACCACGAGGTGATGCTCTGGACCTCACACACCGTAATCTGCAGCACCGGCTGTGTCTCTATGGTGAGTACCGCTCCTTGAGAGGGAAACTGTCAGCATTTATTGGAATTGACTATGTTCGCGTCGCTTGAGTGCGATATTCGCAGCGACAATGGTAACAATGGTGCGTCAATGTCTTGAGGTGGTGACCTGGAGGAAGTATTAGCTACTGCGACGCGACTAGACTTGCAGCGCAGGTCAATCTAATCGCATCGCATCGCAAAGCTCAGGCCTTCCCATCAATCACCCCAAAAAGACACGACATGCAAAAATCTTGGACTCACGGGGAATTGAACCCCGGACCTTTCCCAAGCTCGATCCTCTGAACTCGTCAGATTAAAGATGCGAAGGGAAAATCATACCCCTAGACCATAAGCCCTGATTATGTAAGGTCGTTTCCCAATTAAACTTATATCCTGCGCGCTCGTTTTTCGCTCGCTGAGTTAGTGTAAGTGTGGGCGGGCACTTCTTTTAGACCCGAATCGGCTTTCATCACCATCCAAACCCGAAACCCCTCAAAACATCATATGCGAAATGAGGACGACAATTGCTTGTGAGAGGTATCGTATCAGATCCACTTTGACTGGACATAATACTAATGAGTTTGTAGATGCAGGTAAATAATGCGCCAGAATTAGTTGTATTTGTCTGATTGTTTAGGAAATCCAAGGTCAAATGTAGACATGACGACCAACCACCATGCGCAGGCTGTGTCAAGAGCGGTAACACAGAAACATGTACTCTCAGCGGTCCAATTCTCGGACAAAGTACACCGCGTCCTGCAAAGAGACAGCGATTAAGCGTGACGAGTATAGAGAGTGGTTGGCAAGATGTCAATACAGTCTTTGACCAGACGCCACGAGCGCAGATGATTAGTGCGATAAATCTGTTTAGAGCACAATTTCCTGAATTTGGGTTTCTTCATCCTGATGATCTAGAATATCGAGAGTCCGACCTCGGCGTCGTGCAGAAACTGCGACTGTTGGCAATTCTAACAGTATCGCATCGCTACAACGACACTTATTCTTCAGAAACGAATACTCGGAATATACTCTTCATAGCAAGCGAAGCACAGAGGAGAGTAACAAGTGGCCCAAACTTATGCCTTATACAATCATTCCTCATCCTCTCACTCTGCAATTGGGGCGATGGGGATGGTTTCAATGCGTGGATGCATTGTGGTATGGCTACGAGGATGGCGCAGGGGTTGTTGAGTACTGGATTTGCAAGTTGTGGTAAACGAGAAACTCTGTCTGAACTTGAGAAACGGACTTTGTGGACGTGTTTCAAGATGGATAGATTACTGTCTTGTGGGAAGAGACGACAGGCGATGTTTCCGGATGAGGAGATGCATTTTTCTCTTCCTGTGAACGACACACAGTTCCTCTTCGGTCAACCCTCTCAACCTTCTACCCTTCTAACGTACGGACCGGATGATCATCTAGTTCTTCTTATTCAAGGCCTAAGAATTTGGTCTAGAATTCATACATGGATTTCAGAGGGCGGAAGAAGACGTCCCGGTATGACAGAACCAGAACAATGTCCTTTCAACGAAAGTTCGTATTGGCATGGTATGAAGAGGGATTTGTTCAAGTGGAGGGACTCGCAGGATGTGCTTATGAAGTATCCTGGGACCAAAGTATCAGTGCATGCTCAGCGTGGACAAGCTGAGAGGTTTGGATATATCAATTTGGTGTATTACATCAGGTGAGCATGGTCAAATAGGTCTATGTGTATGGCTGACTTTATAGTCTTCTTTTTCTATGTCGAGAGTACATTCCGTTTAGTCCACTAGACGAAGTCAAACCTCGCGGTCCCATCGAACCACCACTCCTAAAAGCCAGAGGCCCCGACGAATTCTGGCTTCAAAACGTCTCAGAGCTCTACGACGCAGCAACTCAGATCTCCTCGTTACTCACAGACCTCGAACACGTCAACTGTCCCCTCCGCACACCCTTCTCCGGGCTCTGCGCTTTTTCGTCTACGCTATGGAGTATATACGGCGGCTCATTCCCAAACTTTATGCAATTCACAGAAATCCAGGTCCAAGAAGCAGATGTACAGGCAGAGCGCACAATGAACATTCTTGTTAGGATATGTCAAGTCTGGGGATTGGCGAAGGAGTGGATTGAAGTTCTTGATACGGCGAAGAGTATCATGAAGGAGAGAAGGGTCAAGAGTTCGAGGTATGATTATCCAGAACTGGAGGATTCTATCCATCTTGCGCCTTTGCAGGGCATGCCGAGACAGACGTTCGATCCTGTGTCGTTGAGGGGTGCTAGGGATGATGTTTCCAAGTTACATCAGTTAGTGGCAGGTGAAGTTGAGGAGGGAGCGGAAGTGCAGGAGGTAGTGACGGATGAAGGGACGGGTGAAAGTGAGTTTGTGGATGAGGATTGGTGGAGGCTTTTGTCATTTTGCGATGATCCGCATTTGCTCTCTACTAGTATCGATAATGCCGGAGACCAGAATCTGAGTTAGATTGGTAGATAAGCTAGGAGTTGATGATACGAGGGTGGTGTTCCATTTGCCGAGTCGTGTATGTAACCCGAAGCTGCAAACCCGACTCGGGGGTTCTAACCCGAGTGGCTTCTATAAGTTACTCCACTCTCGACTTCAATACGACTCTTGTTATCTCAACTTCTTCATACTAAAGAATACTACTCTGTTCTAAGTACAGAAATATTTGAGGAACAATTACAATCTTGAACATTACTTCACAATGGGCGACCTCAACATGTCGGCTCCAGAGCCTCACCTCATGCACCGCTCCCTCATCACCCCCCCAGAAACAGTCACATACGCCTCAGGCTCCTACCTAACCCTCTCAACCGGCCGTAAAATCCTCGATGGCTGTGCCGGCGCGGCCGTAGCAATCATCGGCCACGGAAACACCGAAGTCCGCGACGCCATGATCGCGCAAGCAACCCAAGTTTCATACGTCCACACATTGACATATACTACTTCCAGCGCAGAAGATCTCGCCAACTATCTTCTCGAGAATGAACCTTTTGGTCTATCGAGGGCTTATCTCGTTGGTTCAGGCAGTGAAGCTATGGATTCAGCGATGAAGCTTGCGAGACAGTTCCATGTTGAGAATGGACAGCCTGAACGTACGAGATTTGTGTCGAGAAGACAGGCTTATCATGGGAATACTATTGGCGCTATGAGCGTGAGCAGTAACGTCGCGAGAAGAGCGCCGTACGAAGGTGCTATTCTGTTGGATAACGTTAGTTACGTTAGTCCAGCCTATGAGTACAGGACTAAAAAGGATGGAGAGTCAGAGGAGGAATACTCTCAAAGACTGGTTGATGAAGTCGAAGCGGAGTTCAAGTCTGTCGGTCCTGAGAAGATCATGGCTTTCATTGCAGAGACTGTTGGCGGTGCGACGGCAGGCTGCATTACGCCTCCAAAGGGATACTTTGCTGGTGTTTCCAAGGTGTGCAAGAAATATGGCATTCTTCTCATCCTGGACGAAGTTATGTGCGGAGTTGGACGATGCGGCACGTTCTTTGCTTTTGAGCAGGATGGTGATGTACGTCCTGATATCGTCACGACGGGCAAGGGTCTTGGTGGTGGTTATGTTCCTATCGCCGCAACACTCGTGCACAAGGATATCATCTCGACGATGAAGAAAGGAACGGCGAGTTTCAACCACGGGCATACCTATCAAGCGCACCCCGTAAGCTGTGCCGCGGCCCTAGCCATCCAGAAGATCATCCGTCGCGACGATCTCGTCACCCGCGCTGCCACTCTCGGCCAGCGCCTGCACAAACTCTTAGTCTCAACATTTCAAGATCTGGAGTTTGTAGGAAATATTCGCGGGCGAGGACTATTCTGGGGAATTGAGTTCGTGCGAGACAAGAAGACCAAGGAGCCGTTTGATAGCAAGATTCGGTTTGGAGTCAAGGTGCAGGAGAGAGCTTTTGAGCTTGGGGTTGCGGTATATCCGGGGACTGGCACTGCGGATGGAAGTTCGGGAGATCACGTTATTGTTTCGCCGCCTTTGACTATTTCGGAGGAGGAGATGGATGAGTTGGTTGGGGTTTTAAGGAAGGCTTATGATGATGTCGCATCAGGTTTTAAATGATGTTAAATCGTTTATCATCACGCAGCCATCGCATATAGAAAAGCTCTATGATTGAATTACAGGGAATTTTGTTCTCGACTCGATTTCATTTTGAAAGGCGAGCTTGAAAATACTCTCTCTGCTAAGTATTCCCTATAGCTTCACCCAGGACATCTTCATAAAAACGGGAACTTACCGCCTGCTTTTGCTTTTTAAGCTTTCATTTCACTGCCTCCCATATCAGGAAATATACCCGGGCTCATCATCGCACAGCCTGGCCTGCTGATTCCAGGAATGCAACGCTCTGTTGGTTATTCTGCTGTTGGTTGTGTGTTGTCCCACTTCTGTATGCAACTAAGCAAATTAGGAAGCGCTTTGACAGATCAGATAGGCAGCTGAGGCTGAAGTAACATTCTCAGGGATGCTTTAAAGGTGATGATTTAACTTGAAATATTAATCACTTATTAAAAAGTTATTCTGAGCTCTATTCGATGCTGTTCTTGCCGTGGGGGAAGTTTAAAGGGGTGTTGGTCGACTCTCTTCTGGGAGACGAACATGGATCACGAGCTCACAACCCCAGCATGATCATTTGCAGCTTGGGCCGCAACTAGACTTCATATGGATTATTGCTGCATAAAAACTGGGGTATGTAGTCCTGAATCCTTTGGTTATCTATGGCGAGGTTGGCTCGGATACCTGGAGGATCGAGTACATATGCCATTGACATCCACTCCACGCTCAGAGGTAAGAGCTTCCCCTCACATGTGTTTATCCTAGAATCCCGAGTCCGATCATAACTGAAGCCAAGCCTGGAGAATAGGCCTTTCGATATCGGAAACCGCGTTCGGCCAAACTGGGCAAATTGTTCCTCATACAATGCCTTCTCCTGTGAAGCTCGGCGTAGTCTTTTGTCTACTCGCAAGCTGGGGGTCATGTTTTACTAAATTTAGACGACCCCAAGAATTGGACCCAGATCAAGAAGACTACCAGGACATGATGAACAACAAGCGTTATGACGACGGAGAAACCATCCCGATCTTATTTGACACGAACATAAAAAAGGTTGACCTCTTTGTTGGCCAAGCTATGAACGATAGAAAATTAAGGTGGTTTCTGATCCAAAGTAGGAAGAAATTACCTCTTATCTTGGTTGTTTTGCTAATTAAAATACACAGGCGATACTGATTTAGATACTGATTGGGAGGCCCAGTACGATATCTACAACGTGACCGAGAACATGGAGGATTGCATTTATACGTTCGCGATTCGGGACAGCAAAGCAGGCGGGACACTGGCGAGATCTCAATACGTAAACGTCAGCGCGCCCGAAGAGACAAAAACTATTACTGCACCCATAGCATCGACGACTCTCACCACGGAGACCACTGCAAGCACGACAGATGCCACCTCGAGCGAAGAAACAAATGCTATATCAGAGTCTAGTTCGAAACCCGGGCTATCGCGAGGTGGTATCGCAGGTGTAGCAGTCGGTGCCACAATCGGAAGCATATTACTTCTGGGGGGTATCGGATGGATGATTTGGAGAAGACGAGCAAGAAGGAAAGATGACGCGACGCCAAGAGAGATTGCTGGAAATTCCATCCAAGAATACCCTAACTCTGAGAGACCGAAGAGTGAGCTACCCGCTGAGCCTACCGCCGTTTTCCCAGAGAGTCCTAGAAGTCCCCCTGGATTCTACGAGGCACCGTAATGGGAAGAACAATAGGAACGATCAGCATCACAATATCTTATAGCTATATTGTGATATTCGCATCCTGGCGACTGTTCGCCCTTTTTCGTCAGTCTATTGTTATTGTAATTGTCTACTGTCACATTTTATAAAGCTTCTTAACGCTTCTATATATTTATATTGTTAATACTCTTATAAGTACCAAACCATTTCGTTTTGCTCTGCACTGGCCAGTATCTCCTAGCCCAACATCAAGTCGATGGCGCTGGTTGTCACCGCCCGGGTAACTTCTTTGTCCATCCTGATTTTACTAGAAGAAGCTCTGGAGACGGGGTTAGGTCAGTGATCCAGTGTGAAGGCTCATATTTTAGGAGCTAACCTTGAGCCCTTCATCTCCAGCATCGCAGCACTTGCTGTCAATTTATCACGCAGCGTTCTAGTAAGCCCGGCCTCCGCTAATAGCCGGACTTCAAGAGCTCTTGATATCAATCAGTATGTACCCGAGCTAGAGTGAGAAAGTCTGTGAAGTTTCTTTCCAGGAAGGCGAAGCCGCGTGACCTGTAAGGGAATCAAAATCGGTAGATACTGGTAAGTAGTCATCGATGATTTGGTTGGGTTGTTAAGAAAGGCTTTTGATGATGTTACCTCAGGTTTTAATTAAAGACAATTCACGGTGTTTTCTTATTTGCCTTGTGCCTGTCTTCTTAAAATCGTTTGGTAATCGAATGGTAGGTGCAGGTGCATGTTCAGATGCAGGCGCAGGCTGGAGCTTCCAAATAATGCAAGTGGGCCGACGTCTTACCAACACCAACCCCGCCTGTCAGATTTTCGCCCTCATTGCTCGCAGCACACACAACGCTGCTTGTTAATAGACTTTGCCTTATACAAGATGAACCTGTGACACCATAATTCATTTCTGCTGCCATGGAACCAGTAGGACTGGCCATAGGCGTTGTCGGCCTCGCAGGCCTCTTCAGCACATGCCTGCACGCTTTACAAAGACTCGACTCATACAAGACAGTCGGTCGCGACTCACGGCAGCTCGACGCCCAGCTCAGTGCAACAATTCATTTGTTCGAGCGCTGGGGCGAGGGAGTTGGTATCAGTCAGGGGAAGCTGTCCAAGGCCCATCACCCAGACCTTGACGATCCGCGCACCTTTCTGGTTATTCAGCGTCTCCTTGGCAGTATCAATGAGTTTCTGCAAACGTCTAACAATGTTGACCACAGGAGTCTCGACTTTTCGATACGCGATCCAGGCCCGGAGAAGGTCTCGCGATGGGAAAAGACTGCTTGGGCGTTGCGTGGAAAGTTGAAGCAGACCAATCAAGTCCAAGCGCTGGCGACTCTTGTTGCAGACCTCTACAACGTGGTTCCCCCGACGAACGTCCCATCTGATGAACAGAACGAGCCCCCTATCGATGAAACCTACGCCAATGAGATGCGCGAGATACTGAGCAAGATTGAGGAACAGTTGAAAAGTAAGTCACCCCTACCTTCGTTCTGCTGCCGTACTGAAACGGCCGATAGCTGAGGAGATACGTGACCTACGAACATGGCTCGGCAGCCCTCCACCAAACGATGTGTACGATGATGCAAAGGATAAACGTCTCGAAAAGACCTGCGAATGGATCCTGGAACGCGAAGAGTTCTTAGAATGGCATGAACCGTCAAGTTCGAGCAAGCTACTCTGGATTAGAGGTCCAGCAGGCTTCGGAAAAACTATCCTCTGCGGCAGGATAGTTCAAGAAGTCGAAAATACCTCTCCAGGGCCTGCGGCATCCTTCTTCCTGTCTTCCAAGTTTGAGGGACGCGACGAGCCTTTTTCAATTATACGATCGTGGTTGACGACACTGATGATGCGAAGCAAGGATGCTTATGACATTGTGAGGGCGAGCCGTATCTCCCAGCATGAGCAGAAAGCCACCCAAGCACAAATTCTTGCATTATTTGGGAGCCTGCTGATGCAAGTTTCAGACTGTACTCTTGTTCTTGATGGTTTAGACGAATGCACAAGCGTGCCAGGCGCCGACGTGGAATCTATCCCGCGTTTTCTGGATGCGCTGAGGAAGGCTGTCTCAAAGACAAACACGAGGCTTCTCATTACAAGTCGCGGAAATCGTGTCATTCAGCAGGGCCTCTGCCTCTTCCCTGGTTACAGCGAGTACGATATCACCACCGAAGACGTGGCGACTGACCTGATGGCCTATTCCTCCCAGATCGTCAGTACAAGACTATCGAACAAGGACGAATCGACGAGGCTTTTCATAGCCAACAAGATGAAAGACCGTTGTGAGGGCCAGTTCCAATGGATCAAGCTTCAGGAAAGATCTTTACGCAAGGGAAGAAATAGAAAACAACTGGAGAGGGAAATTGACAACACGCCGTCTGGACTTGATAGTCTGTATGATCGCGAGTGGATGAGGATTGAGTCCATGGAGGCCGCAGACAAGGAGCGGGCTCTGTGTTTGTTACGATGGATCGTGTTCGCGACCAAGCCCTTGAACGTGCTTGAGATTAGTGAGGCGGTTCTCATTACGGATGAGTGCGAGGAGCTACCAGCTGACGAGATGCCGGACGAGTTTGATGACGATTATGTTGAAAGCATGATTTTGAACCTTTGTGGCTCATTACTCGAAACGCGGCATCCTTCCAAGAATGAGGTCCAAACCATCGGAGCAATACACGACGATTACATGCGAGACGAGAGACAGGCTGCTATCGATAAAGATTCTGTGGGATTCCAGGAAATTCATCTGACTCACTTTTCTGTCAAAGAGTACCTTCTTTCAACCAATCTCTTTCCCCTCCCCTCGCCTGTATCCAACGAAAACCTCCGCGTTTCAAACGAACATCTGGGGAACACATGTCTTGCAAAGTCTTGTTTACGATACATGAGCTTTCCAGGCGCTTGGGAGAACTGGCAAGAGGATAGACCGGCAACACGCCTACTATTATATGCCGCTGAGTCGTGGCCAATACACTACAAACGCGCCCAAGCAGCCGATGCTGATTTGCAAAGTGCCATAATCAATCTTTTTGAGGGCCGAACAAGGAATTTTGAGGCGTGGAGAGACTGGCATGGCTTGAAGCTTTTCGATCTCCCCGATAGAAGGGCTAGGAAAGTGCATCCGTTCCACATTGCCATAAGTCTTGGATTGGAAGACGTTGTGGAGGTTCTGATACGCAAGAGCAAACAAACTATCGATATACGCTGCAACTCGAATGCAGCAGCTTTGCACTTTCTTTGCTTCTCTCAGAACAAATCACTCGCTGAGCTTCTCATCAATAACGGCGCTGAACTTGATCCTGTGGTAGGCGGTAGGGTAACGCCTCTTTCTCTGGCTTTGGCATGGGGGAATATAGAGATCGCTGCAGTTCTCCTCGCCCGAGGGGCGAGCGTTACCTTGGCTGATGATTCCGGACAGACGCCGCTTCATATCGTCGCAGAGCAAGGGAACGTCGATTTAGCCCGTCAAATCCTTGATAGAGGGGCTAGTCTCTGTGCTAAGGCGAGGGACGGATACACGCCGCTCTTGTACGCCGCCAGGGAAGGTCACTATGATGTCGCGAAGCTTTTCTTGGAAAGAGGCGCCAACTATCTGGATTCTATTGATGGTCACACGACAGTTGGCTTAGCTGCGTGGTACAACCACATTAGCGTTGTTCGAGTGCTTCTCGACCAGGGAGCGGATATAGAAGGCACAAGTCAAGGACCGTCCTTACTCAGTATTGCCGCTTCCAGAGGACACATTGAGTTAGCGGATTTGTTTCTTGACCGAGGGGCTGTTGTTGATGGGTTGTGCTTTGGGACAACTGGACATACACCGCTGTACCTGGCGTTCTCCGGGGGAAACTACGCCATTGCCGAAACCCTCATGAGGAGAGGCGCTGACATCACTGTGCTTTCAAAAGGTCTTAAAATCCCGCTTTACCAAGCTGCGGTCGATGGCCGGCGCGATGTAGTCGCGCTTTTGCTACAAGAAGATGCTGATGGAGGAAAAGACGCTTTTGCAGCACTCAAGATTGCCATGATCAACAATCAGCTTGGGGCCGTCGAAACACTCTTCAAAGCAGTTCGATTTGATAAAACAACAACTCTCCACATTGCTGCTAGGAAAGGAAGGTTGCGAGTAATCGAGGTACTTCTCAACGCTGGTGCAGATCCAATGGCCAAGGATTCAACCGGCCGAATCGCACTTTCTTACGCTGCAGAATATGGACAAGCTTCTACGGTAGATCTTCTTTCTGGGAACGACTATTCCTTGACGTGTATCGATACTTGCCACCGCATGCCCATCCACTACGCGTGCGCAGGGGGGCATCTGGATGTAGTCAGCTTGATACTATCCCGACTGCTAGAGACCGAGTCGACGATAGACGCTCGCGACCGCTGGGGCTCGACACCCCTATCTATAGCCGCGAGACAAGGCCATGTCGAAATCGTCAAGCTATTACTTGCCACAGAGCTCGTTGACAAGAACTCCAGCGATGATCTGGGACGGACTGTCGAGTGGTGGGCGAGGCAGCGAGGGCATTCCGAGATCTTGACTTTAATCACAGGAATGGAAAATGGGCAGGCTCACGAGAAACAGAAGGACGAGAGGTATGGAGTGTTTATCTGCGATATATGTTATTCGACTATGTTGGATGGGAACTATTATCATTGTGGAATGTGTAATGGTGGGGATTTTGATGTTTGTGTTGAGTGCTTTGGACGAGGGGGTCAATGTTTTGTTGACATGCATGAGCTGATATCGAGAACTCGGATCTCAGTGTGAATTTATCCTGAATATATTCCGTTATACTATCGATATAAAACTCCGCTTTTGTGTCTACTGACAGTTATATAAGATCAGAGTATAAAAGGAAATGCTTCACACCTTGTTCGAGTGCTAGAAGAACTCCACGTGGCTATACAAGTTCTGAGCCAATCAGCATGGCGCATGTTGGCCCGCTCTTACGTTCATGGTAATACGTTCAGTTCTCTGACTAAGAGTCAGCTTGAACCAGAGTGCAACCCTTACAACCAGGCTTCCAAACTCTTGGCGTACTTCCCTCTCTTTGTACATACCCGATTTCCGTCTTGTTCTCCCTCCCATTTGGTATTCATTACCAGCCACGATGCACAATCATGACAAAAAGACTCCGTCAACGGAGTGGAGCGAGTTATTTTCCAGTAACCCCTCTTACGAGCCGACATCATATAAAGCCCTCGACAATCTCACGTCAAACGACAAACTAGCCTTTCTACATCATGAGTTCTGGCACGAGATCCGAGAATGGACCCGGAACGATACGACTGAAATGACGCGTATCGTTCATCCTGATTTAACGGGATCCGGAGGCATCTTCATCGGGGGCATGAACCATGCACTCAACGAGACGATTCTCGAAGAGAATAATATCCAAGCGGTCATTTCAATCCATCCCAAGGACTCACTGGCATGGGATAAGAACGATACGACGTCTGGGCTGCAAAGATTCTTCACAAGCAACAACGTCGTCAAGTACCCGCTCATAATCCCGCTCGAAGATAGCGCCAACTCTGACTTGATCAGTTGCTTCGACGAAACCAACGCATTCATCAAGAAGCATACTAAGGAGGGGAGGAATATCCTGATTCATTGTAAATCGGGTCGCTCACGATCCGTCGCCGTACTCATCGCCTATCTGCAACAAAAGTTCTACACGGAGAAAGCCATTGCTTCCTTGGAGAAGGAGGAGGCTCAGGAACAAATGAGGCTGCACAGAGAAGATGTGACAGAGGCGATACGCAAGCAGCGCCTTCCTGTCGTCATTATAATGGAACGCTTTGCTGAGCTATTGGAGCTGTACGACCTTCAACTCATCGGGGCTCTACCTGCATTTGAGCCAGCGAAGAGCGTGACTCACCAATCTACTGCCATTGAGTCAAGTAAAAAGCCGGAGCCCGCAGCGAATCAGGTGAACCAAGGGAGCAAGATCGTGCAGACAAAGGGCGGAGCGGCAGTGCTCAAGATATGCGTTGCTGCGGTGTTCTTTAAAAACAATCAGAAGCCCACGGAAGCCGTAGTGCACCAATTCTTCGAAATCAATGAGGCTTACTTCTATGAATTGGAAGGTCTAGAATACAAGGGCAGGTCGTATGTTGGCTGTCAACATGCATGTCCCGGCCTCGTGGAATTCTGCTATGGCTATGCTAGGGAGTATTGCCTCGTGCTGCCAAAGGGTATAGAAGAGCATGTTAAGATAGTTATATCTAAATAGAATGACGATTGGAAGGAATAGGAATATTAACCCCTTGAAGCACCCAAGAAGTCCCCAATTACTCTTACTCTACCTTATATCTCCTACTATTAAAATCCTGGATAAAAACCTCTATCACACTTTTGGAAACCGCCTGTTATAACCAAGGTATAGAGTCTTACCTCCAAGTTTCCAACGAGTGCTAAATGTTCCAAGAGTAGATAGCAGCTCCTCTAGATGCTCACTACCGTTGTCGCCACTACATATTCAAACGATAAAGTTGACGCTCCCAAGGAACTGGGAGCTTCTCACGCCATCAACTATCGCGAGACACCCAACTGGGGCGATGTCGCACGAGCGTTGACACCCAGGAGACCGATCTCACTTCTCATCCAGGCTGGCCGTTGAAGAAAGGCATCTTCCGTATAAGTCAATCCTGTCCCTTATCCAACCTGCTGCCTTCGTCCTTCCCCGCCTCCACCTCCACCTTCGTACTGGTTTCATTTCCCCCAACCACCATCTCCCCATCATCCCCTGATGCCTCATCAATCAGTTTCTGATCATAATCCTTCTTCCAATCCTCATAACTTCGATATAAGTACTTCTGGTCCCCCGGATGGTTACGGTAGTAGGTCCCATGGTTAATCTCACAGACGCCCTCCTGCTTCCCCTTGTGGTCGACGCAGAAAGCCCGATTGCATAGAAGGCATAACTGAGTTGGGAGATTGTCTTTAAGGTGCGGCTTTCTCAGTCGCATTCGATTGTGGACGTGGCAGGGTCCGGCGTTATCAGAGATATCGTCCTGCGGAATATTTAGCCTTTTGAATTGAAACAGCACGTGACGGACAGAGCGACCATAGTGTTTGTAGGGTTTGAAGGTGCTGGGCGGACGATGGATTTACGTGTGGTCCGGTGCAGATAGTTCAATAGAGCTAGGATTTATGGTATTAGGGTCTTGAATCAGGCTATTGAGTTGATCAAAAAGTCGTCTTGGTAACCTTGTTGAAACTGATGCCCTTGATGGTGATTGTGTTAAGTTCCCCTCGTACGAGTTATCAGAATTTCCCCTCTTTTATACGTCACATGCCAATGCAGAACGCAGAATTGGTCAGCACTCTGCAAGGTAGCAGCAAGGCTTAGGGATGTACCAATGGAGCAGCTGGAAACCATTCAACCACTCACTCGAAAACTACGTGAAGCACGAATAGAAGCTATCGCTAATGATGCAGCAATGAGAGAGGTCGACGCAGGTTGGACCATACGCATCGCGGTGCGCAGCTTTGCTCGGAACGATGCAGCAGGTGCTGGTGTAGCAATTCAGATATCGCGTCTGGGCTTTGAACATATTCTTGAGATTGGCGGGGCAGCCAGTATTGCGCAGTCACTCAAGGGCATCAAGCTCGGGGGCGCCATTACTATTATTGGGGTTCTGACATCGTCGGACAAGCAACCTGCGTTGATGGAAGCTCTCAATCATCTTTGCATTGTCCATGGTATTCTTATCGGATCTAAAGTGCAGTTCGAGGAGATGAACCGTGCTATTGATTTGACAAAATGAAACCAGTAGTTGAAAACAAGATCTTTTCGTTTAAGCAGGCTAAGGAGGCCTATCGGTACCAGTGGGATAGGAAGAACTTTGGAAAGGTTGCTGTTCAAGTTGGAAACTGAAAGGTTACAATATAAAAGTGTACTGTAGCTTTTTAGATACTGGAACCAATCACTATACTCTCCCTTATTAATCCCAATTGCCTCTTCGTAGGTCCTTGCCTGATAAGAAGAATTCCACCTTGAATTACACTTTTCCAGCACTATGACTCCAATGCTTACACGGGGCCTTTTGTTTTGCCCTGGCATTATAGGAATGTTAAAACGTAGTCAGCAGACCTCCGCCATCGTCCCATATAATATTAGGGGTCTACAAGCTGAAAAGCGTCGGCAAGCCATTGATCGGTGTAGAACTTGCAAGTCGCTATTGAGGCTGGCTGAGAAGCACCGCTTGTTTCATTTCACAAGCATTCGTCGGGATGATGAACTCAACTAGTTGACAATTACACGAGGCCCCTGGATAACGGAATGGGCCGTTGTCAATTTGGGCAAGACATACATTACTAGCTGCATGTACTATTGGCTCTGGGGGTTGTAACCGCCGTGTCGGTGAACTTGAAGATGACAATTTATTCAGACACAATTTCATCTTTGAAACTGTCATTATGACAGGTTTTAAAAATAGAGATACGACATGTGGCAGTATTATTAAAAAGAATCGAGGGTATGACAACAAGCAAGTATAACGCTGGCAAAACCCTGCTTGTGACGATGTTCGGTCTGATCGCCACTGTGGAAAACGCCTTCAAATAGGGGCCCAATGGACTACCCTGTCAGTCCGACAGCAAGGTCTGGACCCAAATCATATTCGCTTAAGGAAAACAAGCCTTGGCTGTCTCAGAACGAAAAGCGTTTGTCTCACAGAAACCTTCCAATCGACAACGTTGAAATTAACGACAGCGGTATGGAGAAAACGCCATGCGTCTGAACATCGTGTGCTGAGATACCAAAGCGTAAAAAACTATTGCTTTTCTTGTTGAAGCGATATTTCGTGGCTGGCTGAGTGGTCAGTAGAACATCAACGTTCTACGGATTGATACACCAAACCTGTGATCACGACGACTTGCGTGACGAGTCTCGACCACAATGTAAGCTCGGTGGCTGTCTGTTGAGAAGCTTTGTCATTCTCGCCTTTAAGCACGTTATCGAGGATTGACACGATCTATGTAGAGAAAACGGATATATAAAGAGGTCAACAGCCGCCCTTCTTCATCTCATCCTCCTCAACCAACAATCTCACTACAACAATCATCTACTTTACAAAACCTTCTCAATCAACTATCTTCATCATGTCTCCCTCTCGCTCAACTCTCGCCACCATCATCAACAAGACCTCTCTGGAGCTCACTCTCCAGACCGACAGTGTCGACCACGGAATATGGTCCCAGAGCCTGAGCCCCCCCTCCATCATCGGTCCCGACAGCCAGGGAAAGCTCCAGGCTGAGTCTGCTGGTCTCTGGACTGGTGACGAAGGCTCTGTCTACTACAGCAGCCCTGCTGGTACCTTTTACTTCCAGTTCGACAACCCCTACAGTGGCTCCAACAGCTACGATCAGAGTGCTCCTGCCGGCTACACCATCACCCGCTCTGGAGGTGGTGGTGACAATGCTGCTGTCACCTGGATTATCGGTACGTAGCATCATCTCGACCAACTCGCTTTGTGGATAGGAAGCTAATTGGTTTACAGACTCATCCAACTAGGATCTGCCATGCAGACCTTTATATGTGTAGCTAAGCAAGGCTTATAGATGTCGGGTGGTCTAGCTGAAAAGGGGATTCTTGGGGGTTTGGGAATTTGTAACTCAAGGACATTTAGAAACCTGTTCTTAATACCATCTGCCAACCAACTTGTCCCTCACAATGGCTCCATAAGCTCAGAGTCAAAGAACCCCCGTATGATACCCCCACGACCTGGAATAATAGTGCTATCCCACCCTATAAACAGCTTTTCCTCGTGTTGATACATGAATGAATACACAGCGTCGTCGACCTCTACGAATCGAGCCTTTTGATCCCTTTGATCCAGTCCCCATGCGGTAGCAAAAATACGTATCTTTGGCCGTTGCTGTTCCAGTCTGGGACTATGACTAAGGGTGTCCCGCATTTTGACTAGAAAGTTCTCGTAGAGATCGTCCGTTCTCTTGAAAGCTAGGTGACTTAGCTCAACGCAGCGCAATGAAGCTGGCAGTGCTGCCACAACCCCAATCAGATCGTCGATGTCGAGGATAAATCCGGACAACCCAAAATGTTCAAGTTGCGGCCACTGATCGATGGGGAAGATGGTAGATAAGGACAGGTCCACTTGTTCCAGTTCATCTGGCTCAAGTAGACCGGGTTCTCCATCTGATATATCAGTAGTTGTACGAAGGCATATATGTTTGAGATCCTTCGCTTTGGCGAGGGCATCATGGAGCAGTCCGGATTTATAAGAAATCCAATTCTCCTCCTCGAGATATCCAGTAAAGATATCTAAGCTCAGATGACTGAAGCCAGGCCGCTGAAGCAAGGTGACTAGATCATTGTATTCAGCACAAGGCTGATCGAATATGTGGCAGTTCATACCACATCACACCTCCCTGCCACCGACAACAAGTTCTGTGACATAATGTTGTTCGCTTTCAGCCAAAGCGCGAGTAACTGCTCGATATCCCCTCCATCTATTTCTGTATGCCTCAGCATTAGACCTGACACCATACTCTCGCTCATACGGGCCAGAGGGGCCATCTTCGCCGATCCATGGAAGCGCCTTCCCGGGGGCCGGAGGCCAGGCGGTTGGTCGTGGATATTCGAAACCAGCAGGGAATGCCCGAATCATGGGTGTTTTAAACAATGGCCTGTGATCTATTCCATGGGCCGAGGGAGTGATCGTAACACGCTTCAGTGAGGGGAAGCGCTCGAGTCCATATTTGAAGGTGTCTATATCGAGATTGGACGCAATGATCTGTTCCTGATCTTGTATAAGGGATGTATAGAGATCCCACGACTCTTGCCAGCCTAGACTGAAACGAGGGTCGCTGTGCCAAGTATCCATGGAGCGTCGTATGAACCATAACGGACAGGTCGCAGGGTTGTCAGGCTCTGGCCAAGTGTAGAAAGAACCCGACCAGTCTCCCTCAAGGTCGGGCTGTGTGAAAAGGCGAGCGTCATCCCAAATGATTTCAGTGACGCTGTGACGAAACTCTTCGTGGTTCGCAACGGCACGAAAGACGTTGATGTTTAGAGAGTTGGCGGACAAGAAGACGCGAGTAAGGCGAAGCGGTACATCTCTGCCCATGGCTGAGCACGTTGAGCGTAGGCTCTTGGCGTCTACATTGTCAAAATGAGAGTATATAATGTTGCGAAGCTCTTTGGGCAGTTGGAGAAGCTTGGAAGGGACGTGTGAAGCAGAGTCTGCCATTTTGGTTAGTTCGGGATGATTTCAAGGTGCCACCGTCTCTTTCACTGTATTTTAGTGCGTAATTAAGGTTGGCGGGGTTGATTACTACCTGCGCAATGCTGGATAAGCTGACACTGGTGTGTGAATATCGTCACGAGGCCAAGCACGTTAAAGAACTCCAATTACCCGTCGTATACCAACACAGACATTGTAGCTCGGCTGTAGACCTGTACAGTCTGGTTTTACAGCAAGGTTCCCATTATTGGAATTGTCTGGTGAACGCTATGATAGGAAAATGGCTACTTTGATTTCAGATAGAGATGCAATACCAAGTTTCCCGTGGGAGGCCCGCACGATTGCTCTTGACTATAGGGTAGCCTCGAGTGATGTTGCGCACGTAATGTGTACGGTACCTGGTGATAGGTTGTGAATTTATTGGCTACTTCAGCCGCACAGTGAGTTGGCAGGGATGAGTCCCCTGCAATAGCTGAGCACGATTTCAAAGCCCAAGTTATTGGTGCCTGGTTTATTCAGTGGCCAAATAGTGGCTTCATCACCCACCAGTAACCCGTGCTCAGGAACCCAACGCAGAAGCTAGATCGCATCTGGATGCAGCAATGGGTTGATAACAACCCAGACCTTTCGCCTTGAGCCACTTTTATTGGTCCCATCGTTAGAGTAGGGCACCATTTGCTGCCCATGCCAGTTCATCTTGAGATCCATCTAACATCTTGTTCAAGATCGAGAGAGAGCTGTGTGAGTACGCCTCGGAAGGCCGCTACTTTTTCGAGGAATAACCGACAGCTATCTTGAACCTGGCCACTACCGGTGTATGCTGTTGTTCGGTGCTGGCCACTGGGACTGCCTTGAGGTTATAAGGTGCTGGGGTACTAGAGTCGCTCTGAGTGTCGGCGGTTGACTACCCCATGGTCACAGAGATCATCGTCGTGAACGTAACGATTGCCGAACCTCGTCCGTTATTCAACGGAGATGGCTGAATTCTGGACCTAGAGAATGTCCAGAACGGCTGAAGCTGAGCTGGTCATTTGATGTGAACCTCAGCTCCTGCAAGCCACGTTCAATAATATTGCTTTTTTCCCTCGTATAAGAGTCTTGGCGAGTACGTACACATCTTTTCTACAAGGCTGCCACAGTCATGTCAGGTACTACAATGTCCCAGGAAATTTTCTACTTGACTTCCTGAGACCCCAGCTCATCCCATTGTGTCCAAACTCTCCAATTGACCTCCAGCCATGCACTGCGCAAACACTTTCAAACCTATTGGACTTGTTGGACTACTGCTCCACAACGTCGTTGCTTTAAAGCCAGAACATGTAGCCAAACGAGACCATGACTACATTCTACCGAGAGCCACAGAAGCTCCCCATGGCCTTCTCGAAGATGTGAAGCTTCTTCAGGGGCACCGAATGAAGGAACGCCAGGTGTCAGCGACAACGTCTTTGTCGCTGGTCCTGACCATGGCTCCTGACAAGACCTGCGGGTACCTTTCAGGAAGCGTTGGCGTTCCGATTACTTGCGAGAACGGAGCTCGTTGTACCTGGGAACCCAACATGCTCAACATAATCGCATGTGGAACGGATCACTACTTGCAGTGCGTCGAGTCCATGACTGCCGAGGACCCGAAGCTATGCGATGATGTTTGCCAGAGTGATACTTGGAACCTACTATGGTATGCTTAACCCTTCAAGTAGTGTCTCTTGCCCATTATGATAGCTAATCTGCTGCCTTTCTACAGTACCGACTCTGATGAACCCTACTGCCGTACCTACCTCTATCCAAACGGTGTCGTCGATTATCGTTGTGCTTCTACATCGGTCAGATCAATTCAGAGAGTAGAGCATACATATAAGGGCGACGACAGTCCAAACTTCGTCACTACGACCATCAGTAATGAGGACGAGACTACAATTTCGATACCTGGAACGGTATCTAGACCAATGGTCATCGATGACCCGACGAGCACGACGGATAGTCCTGGTCCAACAACCTCATCTGAAGTTCCTGCTCCTCCATCCAAAAAAGTTCCTGTGGGAGCTATTGTCGGGGGTGTCGTTGGAGGTTTAGCTGTTCTTGGTCTCATTGCTATTGGGATCATCTTTGCATTGCGTCGTCGCAAGCCCAAGCCCACTGTCGACACGAGAATCTCCTACCAGCCAAACGCGATGCATGAACCTTCTCAAATGACTCAAAAACCACAGTCAGGTCCGTCTCATCAACAAGTGGTTCTTTCGCCCGCTTATGACCCCGGCATGGCATCACCTCCTGTCCAGCCAAACCCCCATACATCTATGGTCAGCGGATCAATCTCTCCGATCGGGCCAGCTTCGCCGGTGGGTTGGAGTCAATATCCATCACCTGCACCCATCGCTTCTCCGGCTCCAGCATATGAAGTCGCAGGGCCTGAGGCACGAGAGGCTCCTCCGGTTCACGAACTAGGCGCCGACGTATCCATGAGAAAGTAGTGGGAATTTGCACCCAGATTAGGCATACAATTAGTATGGACTGTACAATTTGCCATGTGAATACTACGTTTGACTGGGATATGCAATATGACGGGATTATAATTGGCAAGATAGCAAAGTTTCTTCTAGGATGGAGAGTTGATTGGCCCAAGTCTCCCTATTGCAAATCGTTACTGTTAGCCGGTGTTAAGATGGGAATATTCCACAGCAGCCAATGCGCTGTTGAGTGCAAGATTATTCTTCGTACTCCAATCCCATGTGCCATCCTCCTCTGGCTCACCCGGAGGCTGATTGAATACCAGCTTCACGTCAGGTCCAAAAACCATGCAGTAGCTACTCCCTCCAAAATGGAACATGCCAAGTTCATCTCCCTTCGAAATCGTCTGACCCTTAGCAACCGTGAATTCACAGCTCGAAACCTCAGCCATCCCAATATACACAATGGCCATAAGACCAATAGGACCTTCAGCTTGAATGTAGATGATGCCCCGTGTGGCTACAGACGATAGATACGGCTGTGAGTCTAGTGTCGCACATGGATCGGGGTTTGGGAAACCCTGAGATGGACTTTGACTGTAATACGTTCCAGGAACGTTCACAATGCCAAACACCTTGCCATTTACCGGTGAGCTCCAACGATGGTAACTCAGAGCGCTGAGGAATGCTTGGTAGACAGATCCACCCTTGAAATGCTCCACGTAGAGTTGATTGAAGTTGAACATATTCTCAAGAGAATACGGCTGATCCTTGAGCATGAAGACGTCGCTGGCTTTGACATTCTGTTTGTACTGCAGTGGAGTCGACTCGCAGGAGTTGTTCAGTATGGAGGTGTTGTTTGGCTGTGCCACAGGACGGACGCCTGGCTTGAATTTCTTAGTGAAGAATTGGTCCCAAGACTCGAACCCAAGGTACAGGGGATCATCGGGATTGGGGCAACGGTAGATATCCGTGAACCTGCGATCCGGCCCATCGAGGATAGCGCTACTGGCAAGTAGGCTCTGAGCTCTGAGTCCCACCCACCCATTTGGCGCCTTGAGAACTGCTTTCGAGGCAGGTGAAGCAAGAAACGCCTCATAGTCTTGGAGAATGGGTTGGAACTTCTGGTTCACCGAGGGGAGGTACCAAAAGATCAGTCCTGAATTGGTACCCATAGGCCAATTGAGCACTGCGTTAATAGGAAAGCCAATCAATCCCATCGCATCAGAATCATTCACTTCAAAGAACTCGGGACCCGTGACGATGATGCGGTTCAGGACCGCAATGAAGGTTGCAAAGTCACGAATCTGGGGGTTTCCGATTGGATCTGTGCCATGATGGTAACCGAGAGGAACTTCGGCAAACATCTGTTCTGCAAGGATGCTCAACTTCTCATCGGCGTTGACAAAGTCGGAGAAGGCTTGGACATTTGGGTTCATGGGCAGGTCTTGGGCTGCAGTTTGCTGGACCTTTTGGCTGATCCATTTGAAGATGGTGTTGATGCTTCGAGGAAGCCATAGTCCCGGACTCTGCGTTTCAGTAAAGCTGATACAGGACATGACGAGAATTAATTATGTGCGCGACAAATTGAGGTTGTTGAATACCAAGGGAGAGCCAGTGCAGTGTAAGGTATGGTTGGGTTCGACGGGCAGTAGAGACTCACCGCTCATATTATAAGGCGGTAATTGCTTCGGCTTCCAGACACAAGGAAGGGATGGATGTACTACACTATGACAGTAGTGGCTGCAAGGGAGGTGATAATCATTGGTTCGGGACACGGGAAGGTGAGACATCTCGTAGATCTTGGATGTGTATCTCCCGTCCCTCCATCACTGGGGAGAAGATTGAAGCCTGTCGAGTTAAGGATACGAGTAATAAACACGCGAAGATTCAAGAGAATGTTATGAGATAGTAAGGGGCTTTTGAAAAACAACCTGTCATTCCCTGCGCTCTCCACAGCCGAGCTTTGATTCATGTCAATTTAGGATACTTCTCGTCTTTGTCATAGCGGCAGACGAGTATGTCCTCTAAACAGGGATCTTAAACCCAGATCGTCGAAGGTGCTGGAACATGCCATCGGGATCATACTTTTTAGATGCCTTCCTGATCAGCTCAACATTGTCATCCCCATAGTACAACAATGGGTCTTGACCTCCTCTTGCATAGTTGAGATATACCCAGGAATACCCAATAGCCATCTTCTCGGCATATGCGTCAACATCAGCCTTGAACGCTCGGGTAAGCGGATCAATCTTCTCCTGGTTCTTCTCGGTGTCAACAGTGACGGCGATGAGCCACATGAGCGCAGGGCCTTTGTCGACGACGCTTTCCAATCCAAGGACATTACTCCCGTTTTCACGGCCATGTTTCACCATGGACTGGGTAACCGGTTGAAACTGTACAAGTACACTGAACTTTGAAACTGGCGCAGCAGCTTTCATCTTATCGACATACTCGTCGAACTTGTCGTGCATGAATGTCATGAGGCGTATGTCATTTGTAGTCGTTCCGGTCATCCAATTAGCGCTACACGGTTAGTCACCGAGACAGACCTTTGGATGAGTTGACTTACTAAAGTCCGAGGGGAGTAGGCCCGGTAAACTGGGGCACGACATCGGCGATCTTCCCTTTCGTTGTTGTATTGGAGGTACTGGGGATGCTGAAAAGTTTCGAGAAGGAAGATGGAGATTCTATGGCGTCGGAATTTGAAACGACTGAGAGTAGGTGCTTCTGCTCTCCATCCCACTGGACAGTAACGATGAGCTGAGAGGCAGGATCCTTGTCGTTAGATTCCACAAAGTCGATGTATTCTTTGAAGACAGCGTCGCGTTGAGAAAGGCCAAAGCTGACGAAACCTGCCCAGATTTCATTCGAGTCGACGGCACCTGAAGAACAACTGTGTCAGAATTCGGGCTCACTGTTTTGAGGGACGACTTACGTTGGTCTATACGAGTGACCAAACCGAGATTTCCAGAACCACCTTTGAGACTTTTCCATAGGTCGGAATGCTCATCCTTATTCGCGTTTACGATTCGACCGTCCGCCAAAACAACCTCGAAGTTCACTACTTGGTCGCAAGCAAAACCCTTGGTGCTAGAGTGGAAAGAGTACTGGAAGTGTCAGCGCATATATTGCTTTAGTCAACATCACACTGACCCCTCCGCCGGTGGTAAAGCCACCGACACCGACAGGAGAAGCCCGTCCTCCGACGGCGGCGACTCCATACGGATCAAGAGCTTCGTACACAAGACCCCAATTGGAACCAGGTTCAATCCTGGCAATTCCATTCTCGGAATCGTAAACAGTACGGTTCATGTAACCTATATCTCAGTTAGGAGCGTCAATGGCTTGGCTTAATTTATACGTACTGAAGTCGATAGTGACACCGTCCTCGACACTGTTCGCCCCTCGGTATGCTGAATGAGCGCCACTACGAATACCAAATGGGCATTCGTTAGCTGCGAGAACTTTAACTATCTTGGAAACATCTTCAGTGCTATTGGGCATCACCATGCACCATGGTGAAAGGGCAGCATTGGCGGAATAGTAGGTGTCCAATCGCTGTTCGTATCCTGCCGTGTTGGGCATGTACATTTTTCCTATCAGTTGTGGAACTTCGTCGAGTCTAGTGGACTTCGGAAGTAATCAGCAAGCGTCTCTTAATAAGGAGAGAACGACGTACACAGGTTGATGGTTGCAGGGACCATACACCTGGTGCTAAGAGCCAAATGATAGGGAGACGCATGATACAAGAGTTAGCAGAAAGATCGCTCACTAGTTGCAGGCGAGAGATAATAACGAGGTAGGAAGCAGGTCCAGACTTAGTTGTCTGCTTTGCTCAAGATGAAAGGGGGAATACCGGTGTGACATATCTACATACATATACAGATGTCCATATCACTGGTGCTGAGGCTGCATACACTACAATTGCCGGGTCATGCTGGAAAGACTAGAGTGGGGTAGCAGGCCACGTCGAAAAGGCTAAATGGGCCAAAATTGTAACAAGTAGTTATCAGATCATCAAAGACCAAAGCACGGACCTCGACTCTTATCACCATGGGGTAATGGTAATATCAATGTTCTGCACTGTTGGTTGATCAACTCGTAAGAAGTGGGGGTCTCTCATGAGCCCAATAGAGAAATCCCCCGGGATCCATACATTAGACGGTGCATTGTTGCCGACTACTACGTACAAGGGAAGAGAGCCACTCAGATATCTTGGTAAAGTTGTTGAATTTTCACGATTATTGTAACTCTTCAGATACTGGATTATGATCATCACCTGTATATATGGACTTGTCGACATCCTCCATGTTGCATAGTAGAGAGTAGCGACTATAACAGCGGCAGAACCCTCAGTCCTCATGTTGGCTCGATTTACGGACTACATATGAAAGTTCAACTCATTGTCAGAGGGGCGGTCTTGATGACATCCTCTTGTATTTATTTCGTCGCTAGAGTAATGTATTTGCCTGATAACTTTACGCTTTTGTACAAGAACAGAACAGCTTTTAATAGGCTCCTGAACTTCAAGCGCAAGAAAGAGATAAAAGGTTTAGCGGAGTAACTGATTGGGGATATCAGATGAAGAGATTCAGTGCTTAAAGGACAACATATTCCAGAGGCGATACTGAAGCTCTAACTATCCCTGGCCTCTTCATAGCTGCAATCCAGTAACTCTAATAGACTGTCTAGATTATCCCAGTCGGTAGCAGCAACCCATTCCCGAAGAGAGATTTCCGGAAGAGAAATCTTTTCTTTGGAGTCCGTATGCCAATCAATCCCGGGACTTCCTCTCAATGCCAGGCATCTATTTATTCCATCTCGACACTCCTTTAGTAAATCTCTAAAAAAGCTGTATTGGTGACACTTATCTTGCCGGAAGCAAAACGTAACCTTTCCACCCGGGCCGTCCTTCGTTATCAGTATTCGACAGTACGGATCCGCTCCTTCTCTGATAAACCGGGATATGACATTAACAGGACCCTCAGGGCTGCTATGCCCGGTAAGGATGACGTTGATCAAGAAGACCTGCCACACTGTTAAAGACCACGGATCGGTCGATGGCCGCCCGTCGAAAGATCTCCGTCCGTTGATAATGGGGAGCAAAGGTATTATGGTGTCTCCTGTAGAGATACCGTACCTAAAAAACATTTCCCAGTTGTCAGACATAAGAAGTGAATGACCAACCATGGCTCTCTTTACAGAGTTATTCAGAGTGGATGGATTATTGCTAAGCTTCCAGTCAATATAACCTCCATCCCCAATCGCTGCTAGACAATAAGGGTGAATAAATGGAAAACCTGGGAGTGTCTCACTCGTGGCTGTTTTTACAACCGGTTTCATGGAGAAGAAATGAGGGTGACGTATGTCTAGCCAGACTTTTGAATCTTCTCTGAGTCTATCTGTTTCAATCCAGGATTCAAGAAGCTCCAGGAACAGGTACGGCGGTTTGTCAATGCTAAATATCAGCCGCGCTTGTGCTATTGCATGACAGGTTGTTGCCGTCGTATCCCCGAACGTGTCCTGATCGAATTCACATTCTGAGTCGCACATTGAAAGTCGAAGGGCAGCGAAGCACAAGTGTGACATCAAATCGATACAATTGATGCCACGCAGGGCCACGTCCATTTCTCGAGTCAGATCTGGATATCTGGCGTCCTTATGAAACATGTCCGGAACAGATCGATGGACGAACTCCATCACCTTTTGTTCACCCTCTCCGCTACAGCATTCTATCAGCCCGCCACTGGCACCCCGAAGTTGTGCTTCGAGGGCTGACTCGTCTGGTAACATCTCATCCTCAAGGCCGTCTCGTAATGAGAAATTTGAATCTTGACTGTAGACATCCAGAAGCGAGAAAGCGGTTAATGGTAAGTCCAAATCATAGGTTTTAGTAACTTGGAGGCAGCTGATCAACTGTAGGGTTTTTCGCTTATCGTCTGGTTCAAGTTGCTGAAGGATATGATGAAACAGTGACTCGAGGCCTTGGGGTAATGTTTGGAGGTATTTCCTTAATGTTTCCCTGGTAGCCCTATGAGTCATCTTCCCGCGGATACTTCTGACAACAAGATATATCCAGAGGAAGATACCCGACGACCTCCCTGGAATCTCAACAGTCATTTCATCCTTGAGATCATTATCGGTCAGGTCACTAAGACGGCTGCGAACATAATTCTGCATATCGAATCTTGTTAAATCCTGGAGCCGGAAGCTGGGAGCATCTGCAAAGCCTGCCAGGAAAACGGGTTCCTCCCTACTTGAAAGACAGAGTTTGAGATTGCCATTGGCATGGCTTGCCCAACGGCGGAGAATATCAACCAAATCGGCGTAATCCAGGCCATCTTGCAATCCAGGTTCAAATTCATCGAGACCATCGATAAAAATGCAGAACCTGTGATGCTGATAAAGTCCAGTGTCTTGGAGGAGCTTTTCCAGCGCGTACTGTACTTCTCGTGATGGAATCTCTTGGCGATTCTGTATCTTCCACGGACTTTGTTGCGCTTCTTCCCACTGGATGGGGAAGACCTTGGCTATCAAGTCACGACGCTCATCTAGGACGCAGTGAAGGATTGACCGACAAAGTCCATCTAGTGTCTTCTCTGCCGTTGACCCGTTTCTCCAGAAGAAGAACGACGTAAATGCAAGTTTCCTTGCACCTGCTGCGAAGTCACTTATCAGCTCCATTTAAATCGCAAATTACTTACCAGCCCACGTGGTGAGTTCCTCTGTTGTTCTCTGATGGGAACACAGGAACTTCATCAGGGTAGACTTTCCAGAGCCTAGTTTCCCAGAAATGTGGAATATAGGGGACGATGGAGCTTCAGAAGAAAGCCAGGATAGGAACATGTCTCGAGATTTAGTCTGCATCTATAAAGTAGATGATAGTCAGCTCAGTTTCGCTATATATAACTCATATTCAGACCTCTTGGCATTGCTCTTTTTCGTAATATAGCCGGTCATTTTGATAGTCTACAAGGTCAATAGGCTCGTAAATCCAGTTGAAAGTATCTTCGTGGGCAGTATGAACAGCCTCATATCGGTGATGGACTCTTTGGAAAATGAGACAATTGAGGATGAAGTCTTGATACATTGAGTGTCGTGCAGTAGTATCCACCACGAGGAGTTGCTGAAGCTCCTGAGGAGGGCTAGTTTGTGCGGAAAGTTGCCCTTGGCGAAGATGTCCCACAGCTTGTATCAAAGTTTTCAGCTTAGCTTCATTGTTCTTGGCTACAAAGATTAACTGACTGAAGCCATCAGCTGCTTGAACTCTATGAGAAATTAGTGGCTGCCACAACTAATGTCTGTGGAGTATGCATACCTTGAGATGTCGATGAGTGCGAGAGAAAGCTGATCGCGGTAGTCGTTCAACTGGCTCTCCAGGTCACCAATAAGCTTCTTGTTTTTGTTTGCCTTGACTGCATGCCGCAAAGAATTAAAAGCCTTGAATGAGCTCCCTTTCGGCTTAATCTTGTCTAACAGCTGAATGAGGTGCTCGGAGATTGCCTTGCATCTTTTGGCAAGGTCTGTAAGTGATTGTTGTTCCTTTGTTAAAGCGAGGATGCCGGTAATCTCCAGCCTCGAAGCTGCGTCTTGAACGGTACCAGCGATACTTTCACAGTGTCTGTTCTCATCAAGCACGCCGTCAAGGGAGTTGTGTATAGCATAGGCTGTTTTGATGACTTTGGTCCCTGCATCGATGAAGGTCAAGATTCCGGAAGCAAGTCCAACAGCCGCGATGGGATCCATATCTATTTTACAAAAGGTGATGTTTGAAGGGTTGGATTGAAGTTTGGTGCGGGGAAATCGGGCATGTATGTTGGCTTCTTGCACAGCCTGCTTGTGCAACGTTGCGTAGAAGTCTGCCTTGCTACAATGTGGCTTGCGGGCTGCATTTTGGACCTCCCACCTGGTTCGGTTAAGTGGAGACAAATCTTGAAAGATTACTGGACATCGGAATATGCGAACAGAGAAATCAGGTCTACATAAAGCAGACTGTAAGATGGAGGGTAGCAGTACCCCAAGTATAAAGGCTAGGACGGCTAATTAACTGGGATCAATAACAATAGTGTCGGTAGCGTTTTGCTGCAGTATCTATTCAAGGTTTGTAACAGCTAGTCATCAGATCGCCAAAGACCAAAGCACGGACCGCGATTCCTATCACCTACCTCATGCAGTAGTAATAGGATATATATTATACAGACCCTGTTTCATTGCCGCGTAAGAAGTAGAGGTTTCTTCCTAGCCCAATAAAGAAATCTCCTAAATACCCATGCACCAGGCGGCGCATTGTTCCCGGCCTTCTATGCACAGAAGTCAAGAAGTAACTCGATATGTTAACAGGGTCCTTTAACTTGATCTCTATCTTAACTGTGCAGAGGGGAGCTCAGATACTTCCCTCGGCGTTGCTAACTCTGTTCTGTTTGATCCATAGGTATAAGTCGGCGGGAGATTTGGATCCATGTCCTCCCTTGTCGGTATAAGTCCTGGCTGATCGGCACTTGTCACGATGGGATTGATCATTGAAACAGGTTCCTTGGTTTCACGAGACGAACGAGAAAGCCAATTCCCTCTTCGACCTTTCTTTCCCATGCGAAAGGCCAGGATAAGACAACCGATGATAATGGCTACGCAAACAAGTGAGCCAACAACAGCACCGGCGATTACACCCGCACTGGGCTTATTGTTTGTTGATCCAACTTCGGCGGGGATGGGGCTTTCCGTTTCGGCAGCTTTCGAAGGGCGAGAGGCAATTATCGGAGTGCTGCTACTGCTGGCCTCGGACTCAGTGGTTGAATTATCTTCCGTTTCCGTGGCTGATGTCTCGCTTTCTGTCGTAGACTCAACGCTGGTAGGTGCCCCTAATAGTATTAGTTGCGAGAACTGAGGTACTGGAAGACCCCGACTCACAGGTTCTAGGCGATTCCATAAAGACAGTACTAATCCCTTTAGGAAACTCCAGTAATTCGTGGCAACTGATGAGCCATTGGCGACCAGCACCAGATCCACTGTTGTAAAACTTGTAGACCTCAATTGAGGTACATGGGCCATCACTTCGCTCGCAAGATTAGCATTTTCCGCGTCAGTAGAACAGAGAAGGGTCTAATTACCAGCCCCAGGAACCGGAATATCCCATTGACCTTGTTCCTTGAACAATCCAATGCGTGAATAGAAATGAACTTCCAACGCATTCTGTAGCGACATAGTATCCCTTATACGAGAAAGTTGAAGATGTGAATCGATCACAATGAGCATATTCCTTTAGATCACCGGGAAAGGTATAGCCTGTGCGAAACGGGAACCCATCGGGGCATGTGAAGGAGGTTGCTAATATGGGATTAGTGTGAGGTGTTTGTGATGGTGACAGAGGGCTATACCCGTTCCATCAGTAGTCGTATAGCCGATCAGATCCGGATCCATGATTTGCGACCTCAAGTAACTGGAGGAAATTGTAAGAACAACAGGGATTTGAAAAGAGGGAGATGGCGTCTGCTTTATTCAAAATCAGGGAGCTTCTCGTGGCGTTAAATGGTCTAATGCCAAGGCACATTTTCACCTCAGCTGGGTGAAAAGGACTAATGACAAACAGCGAGGCGTTTCTTGGCAATAGACACTTGCACCACTCCATTTACTGCTACAACCTATTACATATCGCTAATAGCGCCATTCCTTCATTTGACGACGTTCTGATTGGTGATGGTGATGGAATTACTTGATATGTAGACACATAAGGCTAAAACGAGGTATACCTTCCATCTTCCCTCTACCTCCGGGGATTGCGGTTTGAGAATTAGAGCAATGGCCATGAGACGTTTTGCAACTTTCAGGCGCCATCACCCTTCCAACTAGATCATCGGGCAGCTGCAATTGGTGTTTGTTGAATTGATTCACATCTCCGATAGCTCGATCCTTCTTACCCTTATCCCATGCATCCTCATCCCATGTAACGCCAAATAAGACCAGAGCTATGAAGCTGATAGAGAACAGTACCAGCAGCAATAGAGACGGAAGCGGCGTTGCCATCGAGCTGTTTCCATCGTATCATCGCAGGACCGACATAACGCCAAATCGACCCCGCCTTGTGAATCTGATAGATCCCACCTGCTCCAACCACAATATCCTTGGTGGCAGAATTATCATCTAGCATCTGCCATCCCGTGATAGGAGTACCCGTGTACCTCCAAATCTTGCCCGAGTCATGAAGCTGATAGAGGTCATTACCTCGAGCAGCGATGTTCACGGTGGCAGTATTCTCATCCACCTTTTGCCATCCTGTCAGCGGGACTCCTGTATACTTCCAGATCAAGCCTGTCTTATGAAGCTGGTAGAGGTTACCACCTGCAGCTACGACTTTCTTTGTCGCCGGGTTATTATCAAGCTCCTGCCATCCAGTGAGAGGAGTTCCGGTATACTTCCAGATACGACCATTGTTATGAAGCTGGTAGAGGTCACCACCGCCGGCGATAATCTCGACAGTGGCAGTATTGTTGTCGATCATCTGCCAACCAGTCATTGGAGTGCCAGTGTACTTCCAGATCTTGCCGTCCTTGTGAAGTTGGTAGAGCTTCCCATTTGCCGCGGCAATTTTCTTCGTAGCTGACTTGTTGTCCAAAGCCTGCCATCCCGTCATCGGAGTACCGGTGTATTTCCACACCCAACCAGACTTGTGAAGCTGGTAAAGATCGGCGTCATCAACAACGATTGAAGCGGTCTGGACATTGTTGTCGATGAGCTGCCAACTGGCAAATTTTGGGTAGAGAAACGCGGCGAACTTCCCATCGATCTCGTTGATGTCGTTGCCTCCCGGAACAGCAATGTTGTCTTTCATGATCTTGGCCGGAAGGTCATAGCACATGATCGAGGTTGGGTCTGGGACCTCCGTTGCAATTAAGGCTGAGTTTTTCAGCGGAGTTAGCACTTGAGCGGTCGTTTCCTCCCGGTCCCACCGTTGAGTCTCCCAGAAATAAACAAAAGCCTTTTCACGATCAATACGGCTGACGATGCCACTAGTCATGTGTTCGTGAGGAAATCCCAAAGTGTGGCCCGTCTCATGACGGATTACACGATAGAATTCAGAGTCGCGCGTTTCCATGGTGAAAGAGTCGAGGTTCATGGTAGGCTGATTCTTAGGGATGTGCAGGATATCTGTTCCAAGAAAGGACCAGTACCCATCGTTCTTCTTGCGAGCAATACGAACCTGGCCTCCAGAAGCGACCTGGACAAATTCAACGTTCGAGTATATGCCCCAGGCGTTCATGTGGCTCAGAATGCGAGCGTGAAGAGCGGACTCGGGTCCGTCCGTGAAACTGACGGTGAGACGGACGCTGGCGGTGCCCCAGTACTTGGAAGTAAGGACAGCCAACGGGCTGGGATCGGGAGCACCACCGCCAGTATCCTTCTGGCGCAGCATCTGCACCATTGGTGCGTTTGCCGAGTTTTGGGCTACAGCCGTCGCAGCGGCAGGTTGCCATTCTTCTTTAGGAAGGGTCTTGATGGTGCAGCCGATGAAGTTCTCGAGGTACCATTACTGGAGCCATTGCTAGTGCCATTGGCGGATCCATTGGTAGGACACATAATGAAAGGTGACAATTGAAGATGAATGACTTTGAGTGTGCGGAAAAGAAGGAGAGGAGCAGTTGTACTGATGCGGGAGGTATAATGAGTCGGACCTCGCTGTGTTATATATAGTCAAAATCCCCAAGGCACAGAATCCCCATGCCTTCAAAACTCTCACCCCTTGCTGGCAGGCAGAAAGTCCTAGCAGCCACTGTTTCAATGGAGGTTCAGCTCGGCTTGGGATCAGCTGATTCTAAACAGTCGAGACTGTAAAGCTGAACAGCCACCATGAGAGATGTCTCGACGGTTTACTAAAGATGACAAGCTGAGACGCAAGGGATCGAAATATGACATCGGTGAATGTCGCAACAGCTGTGAGCTTATTGGGCGTCTTGGACGTGTGTTTGATAGTCGTTGCGACGTGAGACACCTCTCCATGGAAAAACGGAGGTCTATGAATGCAACATCACCGACTGGGCATAGCCGTCTGGTAAGCACCGTTTCTACTGCAGTCTCATAGATTCCAAAAAAAGAACAATTATTTAATATCGCATACCATTAGAATTTTCCAAGGTCTGCCCTCTGATACTTCCGAAGTCCCGTCCTCCCGTCACAACCACGGAGACCTGCGTCTGAACTGTGGTTGGCACGCACTTCCATCCTTCCTTACTACATTTCACAAGTTTTAAAGAGCTGACAAAAGGGTTTCAGCTACTCCAACTTCAATACTTTCGGGACTGAAGACATCGGAGTCAGCGAACGATGGATAGGTTTCTTGTGACTGTTGTTGACGATTTAAAAAATATAGTAGCCATGATATTATGCATCCTTTTGGACTAAGTGGTTGAACTGAAATCGAAAAGGGTCAACGAGATGTGGATAGCAGTAAGCACCGATATGACTTAATTCTTGAAACCTTGTTTAAGACGTATCACATTTTCCCTCAAAGTTCCAAAGTAGCACCAGGCTTAACAACTCTAGGCAATGGTAAAGTGACATTTTCCTCAGTAGCACTCAACAATGTTTTGGAATCTGTGTCGTTCTGTCCCTGATCCGGATCTTGGACTGGCGCTTCTGTCGAGAGCCCCCTGTCCCGATCAGTATATAACTTAAGGAAACTCTTCCCCGCTTCCACATTGGCGATGATAATATCAGCAGCTGACATGCTGCCCAATCCGAAGCTGACCTGCGACAGCTTTGGCTGTTCGTCGACAAAGAGCTGGAGCCCCTTCACAAAGCCTGCCAAGAGAGACTGAATTTCGAAGCATTAGTTGGACGACCTCCGAGGCTAACATGGTGATACTTACAGCTGGCTGTTCATCTGCCGATAAATCTATGAATGGGCCTGCCTCAAGTTCCAATTGGTTACCCACTGTGCCATCTTGAAGAAGAAGATGGTAGTCCGCATACTGCGCGTTGCCCAAGGTGTAGGTTAATGTATTGAAGGCTTGGATCAGGGCAAACAATGCCTTACGGCCTTTGTCCTGTGATGACTTCGAAGCGTACTTCGCCTTGAAAGTGGCCAAGACGTCTGATATAATGTGCATAGACGCGTTGAAAGTTTCAGCACGTTTGAAGACGGTGCCGAGTGACATGGTATTGTCCCATGGTGAAGGTTGCGTGTCCAGCCAGGCTAACCGCTGCTCCTTTGGCAAGGTGGTATAGTTGTTCGGAAGGGCGGACGCCGTCAACACTTTAGTGCCTTGCCCCGGATCAGTCGTCGTGCCGTTGGGATTGGGGGGTACCACAGCGTTGGTCGGTTCCGACATGATGAATTTGTTTTTTAAGGTCTTGGGCGACAATCTCTCCAGATTGAGCGAGAGTCATTATATATACCTCAACAGCCGGACAGTAAGCCTGCAGCCGTTGCTCGATCCGGCTAGATGAAGAAAGCGGCTGCTATTGACGTTCAACCCGAAGTAGGATAACTGCAAATTGTTCAGTCGATGGATATTGGACATTAGTGAGACCATTGTGTTCTAGATTCCTCACTTCTGCCTGGCCATTCGGATAGCCGAGTCTAGACCATGCGCATCATTTCTTTCTTTTATTCTTGTGTGGGTGGATAGCCCAGAATGACAGGCAACCCTGAGCCCTTCTACTGCAGATACTATTTTAAGGTTTTTGAAGGTTAGTCATCAAGTCGTACAGTTCAGCAACACAATTAAATTTGCAGATACTATTCAAGTCTGCGAGCTGTAAAATGCATCCTGAACGGACCAATCTGAAATATACGTATTGATGTGATTTGATTGTGGTTTTTCATAAGAAATGCACCAACTGTTCTACTCGCAGCCTTTGTGAATTGAACTTAGCGGTGTGACTATGATTGTGATTGGTTGTGAAACATGCATTCAATAGTTTCTTTGGCGCCAGAACCGAGGTCATACCGAGCCATTTACACAGGCGCGGACGGTGGGAGTAGCGAAGGACAAAGATGCAGTTTTCTGCAGGAATACTCGTTCTCGAGAAATTTACTATTGTTCTGCAAAGCAATGAGAACTAAATAAGCCCGTATGGTGGCCAAGATGCCCGCGATCTGTTAATTCGGAAACAGCGACATCATTAATAAGTCCACAGACGAAGTGAAGAGGGTGTATGTCAACGTCTTTTCAGTGCCTATAGCCCTATGTAGCTGTTTTAGTATATCGTTCTTTCCACCTGCATCGTCGGATGAGTCTAGCTGGTCCCTTGATAGTAGGTCGATGCGTTGTTGTAGTGGTTGACGGAGCGTGTTAAAAATGTTCTTATTCTTAGGTCGTTGTGGTTATAAGCTTGTGTAGCTTTTGTTGCAGCTTCACTGTATCTGGACTTTGTAGAATATCGACGACACTCTTTTAGTTTTATCAAAGTATGTAGAGAAAAAGGCAAAAAATGGAGGCATGATGGCAGTTTTGAGCTGCCTACAATGGACGAACAGGGAATCGAACCCTGGACCACTCCCATGCTAAGGGAGTATTATACCACTAAACCATTCGCCCGTGACTTATGATTGGTTGGAAGAGCTCTTACAATTGTAAAGAATTCTTTCTTTGCTGATACGCTGACTCGGCCTCGCAGTATTATAGAAAGTTTATTCACCCTGGTGAAGCACTACATTAGGTACTATCCTTACTTTACGGATAGGATTAAGTCTAGCACACTGTGATGGAATAATATGAGTGGCGAGTAGCATTACTGATAGTTCCGAAACGTGAATTAGAGCTCACTCCTAAACTTTGATAGTCTAGTCTCCGCAACTGATCTGACGTATGGTTGACTCGGATGCAAAACCACGTCGACTCTTAGAATGGAGCCACTGACCACACTATGTTGCTTTTATACATGACGGGATCAGCAATGTAATCATGTTCGTCATCCAATATGAAAGTGGCGTTGTGCTCCTCGCATCCACTGAAGTCGATAGAGAGGACATATCCAAGCGCCCTTCGTTCTACGATGGAACCAGGCTGATAGTCGCCAAAGGCAACATAGTATCTGGCTCTGGGGTAGACCTGCGCAATAACATCGGGAATGGTCTTGTATGTTTGCACGGGAATGATTTCGCCAGTGCTAGGAATCTTGGCCCCGACACCAAAGTACATATTAGCTATGAAAGAATTACGTCAGAATACAGGTTTAACTTTCATAATAAGTCTAGACTTACTAGGTTTCGAATAGTGAAACGTCTTATCCGAACTGATAATGAAGGCACCTTCAGCCTGAGTCGAGTAATCTTCCTTCTCAAACTTGGAAACTCGACCATACGAATTCTCAGTAGTGAGGTAGCAACGCGACCCGTTTGGGCCCAGTTTAACCTCCATATAGTCAGAGGTTTTAACCTCGACCACTCCGTCTTGGCTCTTATTAGACGTGCCGTGAATGGCATAAACATCACTCGAGATCTGGAACGTCACTTGAGCGTCGTCCACGATCTTCGCGGCCCGCTGGTAGACGTTGTCGAAGACTTGCCCCAATTGGAATGTGGCAGGTTCGGGAATGTCTTGGAAAAGCAAAAAGCTCTGCGACCTCTGAGACCTGTTCTTGATGGTGATGGTGTAAGTATTAGCCATGGTGAAGATTAGGAACGATGGTCAGATATTGACAGTGGTAGAAAATGCTGATTGAAAGAAATGATAGACTGGAAAATAAATTGATGGTGAAATTTGGGGATAATGTACCATCCTATCTAGTGATCTTGTCGCATCATTGACGAAAATGATACGACACTTGCATTGCGCAGCTAGCCACATTTGGGCTCTTTCTCTCCTACTTAGTGCTAGTCTGTCTCGAACGCCCATGCCTAGACCGTTCAGCCAGCCACATTAAATAGACACGTTTTGAGCGGTGGTGCACTGGCTAGACGAGAGCCCACAAGAGAAACCGCAGAGTTCATTAGCTCGCGTTATGAACTTATGGTGCAATCGCCAGGCTACATGTGGTTGCTCTAATTTTTATTACTGTTTAGCCGACATCAACCATGTAAGTAACCCTAGAACGGAGCGCTCTTCTCACCATAACCTGGCACTAGATACTTTTTTCTAAAACACATCAATATTTTGTGTCTTCTTAGTTGTAAAGCTTGTGGTTCGTTCAAGGCACCTACCCTAAACAACCTTACGACTTACCGTGCACATCGGTATATTAGGTCAGTTGCACATGAACAAACCGGAACTTCATATCTTTGTATCTTATTTTAAATTGTCCCATGCATTGAAAACACGGGGGTTATTAGTGTCTAGAGCAATGTTACATACGCCCAGGTTTTGCTTTCTCCACTGATAAACAGAGAAATGCAAATTTGCTACGCGACCGAACTATTGCAGCCGGTATTCCTGGGTGATCTACCACACAACTTGCGTCAAATACTTCTACCCCAGAACCAAACACCGAGTGGTGTATATGGTCCAGGCAAGACACCCTGTGCCCAGGCAGATAGCTGGAAGATACTGCGCAGAGAGATAATCACGGTCACCACCAGGATTGCAACCGTCAATCCCAGCAAAGCCCTCCTCGCATACGTCATGTCATCTATCGGCGGTTCTGTCGTGTTAGAGCGAAGCTCAACGTGGGATGCGATAGAAAGGCCTAAGATCGCCAAGTCAACTACCAATACCAGGCCCATGAGCTTCGGGTGGAATGGATCGCGTCTGTACCATGAAACGGCAGATATGCTAGCTGTGAGGAACATGATGATGGGATAAGGAATTATCTGTAAGATATTACGTTAGCGGAAACAGGAAGAATGGGACGGAGTAGTGGGTAAGAACCATTTTCTGCGACATGCGGAAATCATTCCCTTCTCGGCGGACCAGAATAGAGGCAAGTATAATGGCCGCTATACTCATCGAAAACGTAAAGATACGATTGGTAAAGTTCCCGCTTAACAAATGTCGCAAGCGCCGAGAGGGGGCGACATCGCGATTCACGCCTGCTTCATTTCTTGTCTGATGCTCAGGAAATGGCTGTGATTGTTGTGGTCTCGTTTGATAGTCCATCACATCGTACTCGGGCGGCTGTTGGACATAACCCTGTCGGTCAGCCTGTCGCTTTCCTTTCATCGAGTTCATGTCGTTCGAAGATAAGTTCGGTTGAAGATTTGCTCGTATATAATAAGACGTGTTCAGATAGAAGAGACGGTCGCAGGCAATGTTCGACGAGCATTGAAGGGTTCCTCTATATAAATATGCCCATACCTGTAGGATTCGCGCTGTGACACAAAGGATTGCTGCCAAGAGGGATGTTATTAGCATGACATCACGGTGACATGTCCGGGCCAATCGTTGTCATCTGAAGATAAAACAATCCTGGTTAAATCGGAACTTTTTGTATGAATGTTGCTGTGCTAGGAATCCTTTCTCCTTGGCGTTTCTACTTAAATGTCTAGTACAGGACACGGGGGACGATGCTAAGTCCATCAGCCAGACCAATGACCAAACGGCTTGCAAAGCGTTCGCTACTGGAAGGGTTTAGATGGCCAAACGTTCATGTACATAACCTATACAGTGAATCCCCAATACAATTATTTCATTTCTTCAGTAAGGCCCGTATAGCCTCCCTGATGTCCTCCTCCGAAGCCTTCTGGACCCCCAAGAGCTCATTATCAGTCTTCGCATAACAAGCGCCAAAGGCAGGATCAAAGATAGCGCGCAAAATATACGACAGGAAGGTATCAAAGTCGGTGATGCCATTCGCCAGCCTCTCGTCAGACTTAGCAGTCAGGTCATCGAGTTTGTAGTGAACCGTATCCCAGGACTTCTCCGGGGCCACTTCCTTGGCCAGCGCAAGCAGACGGTTCTGAGTCGTCACGATACTGTGGACATGAACACAACAATTCTTAGTCTCCTCCACATGTTCCAGAGTGGAAATAATAGCATCGGCGACGGTATCAAGCGTTGATACGCTAAACGGGATATCACCACCATCGTAGATATTGGTTGTGTCGCCGGTGCTGCTGATAAGGAAGCTTCGGTGCGAGCCTGCATCTAACCAGGCGCCACCATAAATGAAGGTATATGTCAGATCTGACGCTTCAGCCTTTTCCACCAAGTATTCCTGGAGCTTGACTTTAGGAAGAAAGACTGGGAGGGTGCGGGCCTTGGGGTTGGCGAGGTTGGCGCTGAATTCGGAGGGAATAAAGCGAGAGACCCCTGCCTCGATGGCGGCATCAATGAAAGCCTTCTGAGTATCTACCGCAAAGGTAGGGACAAGTGAGATTATCGCATCTTGGCCTTTAAAGGCTGACTTGAGTGATTCTGGGGACGAGTAGTCGACGTCGATAACCTTGACATTGTCGGGGAAGGTGGAGGTAGAATCAGTACGTCTGATGACAGTGATATGGAATCTGTCCCCTTCAAGAAGCTTCTTGAGAGCGACGGCACCAAGTGTGCCCGAGGCGCCAATGGCTGCAACGTTCTTGATGGGACACATGCTGGTCTGTTGATGGAAAGGCCAGGGAAGATAATGTAATGGGCTGGTCAAGTACGGGACAGAACAACTTGGATGAATGCGAGGAGTCCTATGGTTGATTTAAGAGCATAATAGATGATGTGCTCGTATGAGAAGGCAGCCAGAACAGTGTGGAATGCAATGAGATTCAAGGCTCCTCGTCGCATTTCGCAATTACCAATCAACGGAGTATCTCTAGGAGACATTCACGGTATTCGGATTGTTCACTCTTCCGAGACCTCCTCTCTTTAGCAATGATTCGTTCAAGGAGACGACGCGGAAGTTCGTAATTCAAGGTTTGGTCACTTCTCAAGGGGTTTCTCGCCCTGTTGCGGTTAAGCTTACCAGCTTTCCCGTGTGGATCGCCTTACCGTAGTTTGCTTGAAGCGCCGAGTGGGGACCCTCGGCTGCGACATCCGACTGTCTTCTTCCGCTTAATAACATTTGCCAACCTCAATTGATACCCATTACCTGTCTATCATCCCACCGGCGTTCATTACTCAGCGCCGGACACGCTCTTCTCCGAAGTGCTATGGTAGCTCCCAAAGGGTGTGCCATTAAGTCACTAGATTTGTCATACATTTATGTATCTTATATCGAACTAATTTACTACAATCGTAATAAATAGACTTGGTTGAGAGTGGTAGAATTATAGGTAACAGGTATCGAGCGTGGCGTGATATGACGTGCAGGAGCTGACTCGGCCGAGACAATTGGTACCTTGGCCAGCTTCAAACAGGTCATCACACTCTCTTTCATATATCGAAGAGAAACAAGGTTTCCTAGCCAGGACGATGTCTATATAACTCTCTAAGGATCCGTCGGGGTAGGAATAGGCACAGCTCGCCCACGCGTGAGCGAAACGCCATCGAGGTAGAACACGGGTCCGATGCCTTGGTTCTGCGAGATAGTTATGCAAAGATCTGTAGAATCAATGCTTGGGCCGGTATATGAGAAGGTGTAGGTATATTCGTTGAATATATTGTACCCGACGATGCCTCGATCACCGGAAACATATACACCAGCGATGGATAATTGAACGGTATTGACGTCGTCATCGCACATAACTATGTTTGACCCAAACGATTTGATGCAATACTGGGCAACCTGCGCCTTGAAGGTGTACTCGAAGCCAGCCTCGACTTCAACTCGCTGGCAGACCTTGGCGGAATTGGCGAGGTCTCCATCCAATCGCCTATGGAACATTAGTATGAATCCATCAGTGATTTAGAATTATGGTATGACGCACAGGAGCTGGCTACCCTCGGGAGCAAAAGCGTCATTGGTGATTCGTGAAGGGGCACCTTCTACTACCCAAGGATCGATGGTTGCGTCCTCGAAACCGCCATTCTGGACGAGGTTAGTAATCACGGGAGGGCCAGCTGTAGTCGTGGTAGCTTCGACTGTTGTGGTTGTGGCTTCGTCGACGCTTGTAGAGGTTTCGGTGTCTTCGAATGTAATAGCGGTGGTACTCGCGACGATGGTAGTGAAAGAGCTGATACCATCAGTAGTAGTGGCAGAAGACTCAGCACTGGTCTCCGACTCTGTGACAGTCAAAGTTTCTGAGTCAGAGGTAGTCGAATCCAGCTCTGTAGTGGCAGACTCGACTGTAGAAGTTTCGATGATAACAGAAGACTCAATGCTGGACTCGGCCTCAGTGGCACTTAGAGAAGTAGTCGTTGTGGCGGAGCTTTCAGCCGTTGTAGTGCCAATTTCGCTGATAAGCGACGACGTTGTCGTCGACCGAGGATGAGGGGCGCAAGCCTTAAAGCTGTCAGTTTCCACTTGTGGCGTTAGGGGGCGTTTTGGAGCACTTACGCGAGCGGCACAGAGGCTCGCGCCCACGATTAGCGATCCGAAGGTAGCAGTGACACGCATCTTGTACGGGCGTATAAAGAGTGACTGGAACCAAAAATGAGCGAGTGAAATATGGTAAATAAAGAGAGAGAAATGAAAAGAAATGAAAGTGCGATTCATCCTCTTTATTATCGCGTTTGGTTCTTTGAGAGCTGGAAGACAAGCGAGCTCAAACTATTGACTCTAGGGTGCGCGACTTGAGCGGATGTAGCTAGCAGGTTCAATAGTCTTTGAAGCCCTAGTCGTTTTAGGGGTAATGCAGGTACGACACGAGCTCTTAATTTCAGATATTAATCATTCCCACATGTAGGTACGGTTTAGTTTCAAGACGTCGAAGCTCGATTCGTACTTGAACCTATTAGCTATTCAAAAAAGTTCTCGAAGCACTAAGAGTCGCTACTCAATTTCATGATTCAGCCTACATGGCGTACAAATGACAATCCGACTACAGACCTAAAAAGGGCATCGCCTAAATAGATTGACCTTAGGATCAAGTGTAAATATCCTCAAAAACTATCAGTTTGGCTTGTGATCCAACTGTACTAGGCTCACCAGATGCATCGTGTTAACGGCGGTTGTTCGGCCATAACAAACGAGAACAGTATTGACCTTGATGGAACCAGACTGTTAAAGTCAACTGTTCCAGATTGTAACTAAACTACATTGTTTATATCGATATTTATCTGTTTAAGTTCCCATGGTAAATAGAGACTCGAGTAGGGAAGCTTGAAATCCGGGTTAAAAGAATCCCGCTGAACTCCACCTTCATCTCGATGTAAATAAGATCCATTCGGAAACGGGTTTTCTCCCTTCTCATATAGATACGAATTTATAGTATCTTTCACCTCAACATACATCCCATACCCAATCGTTGTTTTGTCAACAGGCGTGACCGCCATCCGTACCTGGGGCCTCTTTCCTGGAGCCCGCGACTGCCAGTCGAGCACGTCACGCACATCTCGGACTAAATCGCTGTACTCATGAGGAGATTTCAACCCCAGGTGGCTAAGCTCAACCGATCTCAAAGATGGTGGCAGACTAGCCAAAAGGCCGATCAAATCCTCTCGATCAACAAGCATATTGGAAATCCCAAAGTGTTGAAGTCGTGGCCATTGGTCTACAGGAAAGATGTCTTGCAACGGACACATACACCAATCTTCTTCGTCTTCAAAAGTAAGCAACTCCGGAACACCATTCTCGATGTATGTACTCGCGCGCAAGCTCAAGTACTCGAGATCTTCTGCATGCGCCAGAGCATCACGCAAAAGTCCCGACCGGTAAGAAAAGCATTTGTGGTCTTCAAGGACAAAGCCTGTAAACAAGTGAAGTTCAAGGTGTCGAAAACCAGGGCGTTTCAACAATGTGACGAGATCGCCATACTCGGGGGACCACTCATCGAAGAGTCGAGCATTCAGTCCAGACTGGATCTCGTGTCCCCCGATAACAAGCTCTGTGATGCCATGGTCCTCAAACTCGGCTAGGGCTCGGATAACCAGCTGAAAGCCCCGCCATTTGGCTCGATATTCCTCAGTCGTGCATACGTTATCGTAGATCTCCTGATGGAGCCTATCATCACCATCAGAGACCCATGGCAGCACGTCGATCTTCAGGTCATCATCGAAGTAGGGCCATGCTTTGGGCAACGGGTAGTCGAGTCCAGGTGGAAATGCACGAATCATAGGTGTTCTGTATAGCGTCCTCCAATGCGTGCCATGAGTTGCAGGTGTGATAGTCACTCGTTTCAAAGAGGTAAACTGCCTCAGCCCAAATTTGAAGGCTTCAAGATCAAGGTTCGAAGCGAGAACCTGTTGTTGGTCGTCCAGTAGTGGCTTATAATATGCCCATGACTCCTTGATACCAAGGTGGTTTTTGGGATAGACATAGTGGCCACGGTCGCCATAATCCGAACGGCCCTCTATGAACCATAGCGGAACTCCATCCTGTGTATCACTATTGTCTCCCCATGCTAGCTCGAAGCCAGCGAGCAAGCGCGCATCATCCCAAATGATTTCAGACACTTGATGGCGAAAAACCTCGTGGTTTGCGATTGCGTTGAAAACTTGAATGTTAAGAGAATTAGCCGAGATGAAGACGCGGTTGAAATGTAAGGGAAGGGCCTTGGCCAATGTGATGCATGTGACACGAAGATTCTTGATATCATCAGGCTTTAGAATAGTGAAGATGGCATCTTGAAGTTCGCGTGGTAACTGTAGCAGATAGGAAGTCATTTTCAGTCAATTGAGTATTTTGAGAAATGGAAGGGAAAAGAAGACGGGGCTCTAGTGTCAGTTATAGTTGTTACAAGTGGAGAAAAGTAATAAATCAAGATTAGTCATATAGTCTAGATATACGCTGCAGTAGATCTGATTCGTGCACACCGCTGGCTGACTCGTGCATGCATGCAGCTGTCAGAGCTCTTCGGCCATAAATCCATATTATTAAGTAACAGAGAATCTGGAGTCGCGAAAATGGTTCACTTCATTAAACTGCATATATACATTGACGGTGTGGCAGAAGCGATGCAGATAGGGTGCGTTAAATTAACAGAACAGATAATGATACTACTATAGACCTACTGCTTATAAAGGCTAAAGCGTTAGAGTATATAGAGTTCAATTTTGTATGTCTATATTCTATGTAAAGCTACTTTAACTAAGCCTAATAAAGGCTTAAAGGCTTAAGTCAATCAAATGCTAATAATTTCCCCGCTTTTACTCTATGACGGCACTCTACTCATCCATCTCTATCTTCATTTCTTTGCCCTTCCAGTCTTTTTCCCTCCACCACTTTAATATGGCCAATGGTGACACCACCGCTTACAATATCGCCGTTTTCATCAGCACCCTATTCCTTCTCGAATTCGGTGCTGATAAATTCGTCGACCACACCGCCATCGTCGCCAGTCGGACGGGCATTCCCGACACAGTGATTGCTCTGCTTACCGCCGGTGCAGAATGGGAAGAGGTACCGCTTGAACTCCACTTGATCACCTCTATCTAACTCATCATAGCTCGTTGTCGTTGTCGCATCACTTGCGCAGGGTAGACCCTCACTGGCGGTAGGAAACATCGTCGGCTCAGCTATATCGAATATCCTCGGCGCCTTTTCACTCGGACTGTTGTTTCATCCCACGACCTCGCACATTGAGTTTGACAGGAGCTCTAAGATATACTCGTTGTGCCTGCTTGTAATCACCACCTTTGTCGCTCCAATCATCCACTTCTCCCAGCGAATCATCTGGTTGGTATGTGGCTCGATCCTGGTTGCCTTTTTTGCCATCTACCTGATTTCCATAGGCTGGGCTATCAGTCGAGGAAGTCTAACCGCCCCCGAGGGCTCGGATAGTGATAGCAGCGACGATGAAAGCGACACATCGTCGATAGAATCGACTACATCTGTCAGAAGTCCCCTCCTGCCGAGACAGGAGGAGCATGAGTCTGAGGATAGAGTTGAACAGGACCAAGCTCCTGAGATATCCGGGGTCACAAATGTTCGCGACCGTCGAAGGAGACGGAGCCTCGGATACCACATCGGGTTTCTAGCCCTTGGCTTCTTAGCTATCTGCTTGTCAGGCTATGTTCTTTCTCACGCCGCCATCAATGTCACAGATGCTATTGGCATGTCCGATGAGCTGTTCGGTATCGTCATTCTTGCCATCGCCACCACCCTCCCCGAGAAATTTGTTGCTGTCCTGAGCGGGAACCGAGGACATGTAGGGATTCTTGTGGCTAATACCGTGGGGAGTAATGTCTTCCTCCTGTCGCTATGCCTGGGAATTGTTATGGTTGATACCGCTGGAAATTTCGATGGGGGCAATATTAGCGTCCCTGAGCTTTGCGTCCTCTGGGGCTCTACGCTAGCCCTTACAATGACCGTTTGGTATGGCGAAAAGTTTTGTCGCTGGATCGGAGGAATAATGTTGTTTGGCTATCTTGTATTTATAATTTTGGAGTTTACAGTCATTCATCGTGTGGCAGATCCGTGATGCCGTCATAGTCAAGACCAAGGGAATGTTAAGCAAAGCAGGACTGTCTTCGGATGAACTCTCCAACGGGTCATCAATATCTAAACACTGGATACCTTACACGGCCTGCAGCAACTGTTCATGCCTTTCCCTCAACCTCTTGACTTCAGTCGCGAAATCCCTAATCTTGCTATCCCTTGTTTCATCACGAGCCACCAGAGATCTCTGGAACAGGATGTCCAGATCTGCACTGATAGTAGCAAGAATACCAGGAAGCTTACTTTTCAATGTTTGCGAAGTCGTTTGGATCAACTTGTTCATGCTTTCGGACATTGCAATTCCCATTTTTGGGAAGATGACACCTTGGTCGATATGACCTTGAACAATTGATCTTTGACGAGCGGCTTTACCGCTTCCTGCCAGGATGGTTAGCTGTACATTTCTGGAACGGGTGAGTGGGTGTGTACCGTTTTGACTAGCGGCGGACCGATAGATTGGGACCATGTCTTGGAGAATGTACGAGTTATAATTTGTTTCGGACGCATATCTGCGTATAGCCCTTTTAGATGATCAGCGTGCGGCACACAATAACGGGGAGGCGGTTCATCTTACCTGACTTCGTTCTGGAATTTCCTTTGTTCTCGACTCATCCAGTACTCAATATTTCCTATCTGCACTGTAACGCTTTGGACAATGGGATCCGCAAGTCGTTGCGGAAGTGAATCTGTTTCGGTCAGCAACGCAGCCACTAAACGCATAATCATGGCTTACCACACAAGCTAGACTTGAGTGATTCCAAATGTTTCTTAACCGCTTCGAACCGCTGGCCAAAAGCATCAGGTACCTCTTCCTCCACGAGGTCCCATTGACATTCGAGCTCCATCCTCATTTTCCAGATGATCTTGGAATTCCAGTTTTCGTGGCCCCGTTTCATGGTCTGGTGGTCTCCGTTGTTGAGACACCATGCATTGTACTGAGCTGTAAAGTCGTTAGGATTGCGCGTTAGAAAAGCAGTGGGATTCCTACTCCAGTGCCACTGGTAAAGATAGATTAGCATTTTCTGTGTACCACTTCTGGGAACCTAGAAACTTACACTTGTCCACTCACGACCTTCTTTACTTGCAGCATCGTCCCAATGCTCGCCTCTTCGACCTTGAGTAAGGTGGATTAGCAAAAGCCCTCGTTCGGAGCGATATTTGGAGTCAATACATACCAAAGAAAACCATAATCTGTTCCTGGAAGCACGTGGTAAAGTCTTCCTCAAAGGTGTCAACCAGCTTAGGTACCTGTAATCTATTAGCATTCCAACCGTAAAACAGTAACCCGAACTCACTTCATCAATAAGCCCCTTCACTTTTGTGCGTATGGACTCATCCAATTTTTCCCTCTCCTGCTTCTGAAGGGAACTATCTGCCCACAGGTTGAAAGTGTTGAGCATCGCAGACAACCTTGACTTCAAGAAATGCTTCGCTTCACTTAATTGCGCATCTGCAGTGACAGTGTGACAGAAGCGACGCACATCGGGCACCCCACTAGCCTCAACGAATTTGGTATTTCCCTTTGGACAGTATTTCTCGTACCACTTGTTAGATACGCAGAAGACGTCTAAGCTTCGTCCATGCATTTCAGAAGAGTAGACGCTTTGGAGGTTCCGCTTGACATGATCGTTACGCGCCTGGACAAGGAGGAGCTCTTGCCTAGGGAAGTGTTAGATTGGGCTGAGACAATAGGAAGGTGCGACTTACTGCTTCTTTGCAGCCTTCTTCCTGTCTCTGTCTCCCGAAGACTTTGCCGTCTCAATCTCGTTATCGAGCTTTGTCATGGTCTCGGTAGAGATCGTCTTGTTGGGACCGCAGAACTCGGTTCTCGCATTGCGAAGATTAATTTCCTGCTAGCGTCAGTAAAGTCGCCATCATTGCGGCAGAAGAGTACTGGCATACCTCAGACTTGGTACAAACCACCGCAACATTCAGTCTCTGCGTGCCAGAGTGTTCCCACTCCATGGGCATGTGACGAGATAGAACATAGAACAATGAAGACTTAAGAGATTGGTCCGTGATAGCACGAGAGATCTTGGCTACTATCATGATCGTGTCGCATTTTATCAGAAAGTCCTGAGTAGCTCTCACTCTGGCCAGGTTTGTGTCTTGGAGGCCTATAAGGAACCCGTGTGTCAGCGAGAAGTTGTATAGCAGTGAGCTTGGGCAGACTTACCAGGTAGATCGGCGAGGACAACACCGGTCTTTAGAACTGGTGAATCGAGATACACCCTACAAAGTCAATAGACAAGACGCGAGTCGCAAAGGAGGAGGGTCTTACCGGATAATCTTAGTGAATGGCCAAAACCTGTCTTGCATAAACAGTTTTGTCTTCTCGACACATTCATCAGCCGTTTGTGCCGTAGACGTCCAAAGTCCGTCTCCACCACCCGTCGGCCACTCGATTTCACCAGCCCACTGAACCAACTGGTCCGTGATCCTCTCCAAAGCGCCATCTGACATGTCTTGTGCGAACTTCTGGGTAAACTGTCTTTTGTGCTTGAATGCAGCGGAAAGAGCAGACCAAGCTTGTTCGGACTCCCGCATAAAGCGGTTATAGTCTTGCTCAGACGTCTCTTCGGACTCGACGGATGGGAGAAATAGCTGTCTATAACTCCATAGAAGCTCTTTTATGAGATCGCGGATTTCGGAAGCGGAGAGGTATTCGACTTCGATGGTGATGGGGGCGGTGTCCTTATGTCTCTTTTGACGATACTCGGTGACGACGGAGGTACAGGCGGATCCGATGTCGCTCTGTATTTTTGATCAGAGGTTAGTAAGTATCTTACAAGGTGTTGAACCTCAACGTACCGTTTGTGCAACACCAGGAAAATGGAGAAGCGAGTTGATCAAACTACTCTTGCCTAGTGACATATTCAGTACGTAAGTAAACAGAGCACGCTATCTGGGCATCTTACCTTCGCCCGAATCACCTAGGACGGCGATTGTCCGCGTATCAGTCCCTCGGAAACGTCTCAAAGCCATTGCTTCAGCCAGCAATCTGACAAGTTTACTATCCTCGACGGAAGTTCTCAACGTCTGAATAGCCCTTGCAGCCTCTTGAGCGATCTCGGGACCTTGTTTCAGTGCATTTTGAAAGGTTGCTGAGAACAGAGGATGAGGCGGTGCTGCCTCTGCTGCGGCATTGTATGGAGTTGCAAGAGCTGGAGGCTCGGGAGTCGGGGATGCTACAAAGTCCGATTGTGGCGTCGAAGAGAAAACGGGTGGAGAGCGAGGAGTACTGTTGGGAGTAGATCGAGAAAGCAGTGAAGACAGAGGTGCCGCAGTAGGATCCTCTACCTTCGGGCGAGTGGCCTGTGGAGGAGGGGTAGTGAAGAATGCGATCGGTGCTTGCAATTGAGTAGCCTGTGGCTCTGGTTTTGTCCGCGGAAGCACAGGTCCAGGCGCAAAGAAGGTGATCGACTCAACCTGACCCGTGCTGCCAGCAGGAGTTTGGGAACCAGTGCCGACCGGGAAGATGTTACCGGAGCTGGGGGTGTCGGCCTTCGGGCTGGTGTATCTTGATTTTTTCAACGGCGCGATTTTTCTCTGGGGGCTACTGCGCTGTTGTGGTGAGTCTCCCAGTGATAAACCCTGGAAAAGGTTTGTTGGTGGCTTTGGTGCTTCGTTTGTCATGTTGCAATTAATTCAGATGAGTAACTGAGTTTATTATTTGTTATACTGGGCAAAGTAAGATCAGAGGTAAAAGAATGGCGGGTATCGCTTTGAGGTAAATAGCTCATGTTATGTTGCTATGACCCGGTTGCATCTGTTGGTTGTCACTTTTATGCATGTTGGTTCGGAATCAACAGGAAGAGCCACCCATTGTTTCAGCACATGCACATGACAACACAGCCCTGAAATCGGAACACCATTACTAAAATACCTGGATGGGACCTCAATCCAGGCTTTATGAGGATTGCCGAAATTAGAGTGCTTTCCAACCTTTTGGTCCGCCTCAAAGAAACCAAGGCTAGTGCAAACTTACAACTTTTGTTCATCCTCTTGGTGAGCAAGACAAGTCACGAACTTACCAAGAGTGAAGATGTAGCAAGGATAGCCCAGTAATTGTCACGATATCACCCAACGGAACTTGATTTGTGATCGTTGTTATGAATCTGCGAGATCGGGGAAGTTCGTGTTTCTTACGTCGACTCCTACCCTGAACCCACTTCGATGAGGGGCTTTGCGCTTTGACTTTTTACACTTTCGGCAACCTTCACCCAATGTATTCAACCAATCAACAAGGGTCTATTTAGATTGGTCCGCACACCGGAACAACTCCACATTGACCACGCGTTAGAGCGCGTCCACCAAACTGGCCATATTCGTGACAGTCTCGAAAGCTGATAGGCCGGTCAACTATCCGGTCCGCTGAAGGATTGACGAAGACTCAAGCGACGTGTCGGAATGAACGTTATCATGGATTAGTCCAATCAACCGAGTTGCTTTATCTTCAGCGGGTCGTTTGGACGAGTCCATCCGACATGCAGGCTGGCGCTTGCTGGGCGCTTAGCCATGATCGTGGGACACTCCGGGGGTACCCAGGTGCCCAGCGCTTAGACTCTTTTAAGTCGACATGGGCATGATTAAAGTTGTACAAAATGAATTAAAATATCCGGTTTTGAATTGTCGAATACTCGCAATTACTCACTTTTGTCCAATTGACAAACAAGCTTCATTTTAGGAATGCTTGCCAAATCATCAATATCATTATTCAGTACATTAATCAATAATACACCTTCAACAATGTCGAACCCCTTGAACTACACCATTGGCTGGATCTGCGCAACCGAGACCGGATTCATCACCGCACAAGCCTTTCTCGACAAAACTCATCCTCGTCACAGCCCACTCTCCAAAATAGACACCAACACCTATGTCCTAGGTTCCATGGGAAACCACAGCGTTGTCATCACGGTTCTGCCCCCAGGGAAGGCCGACGCAGTAAATGCTGCCAGGACTGGAACCCTTTTGCGCCGTAGTTTTGTCAATGTTGAGGTTACCTTGTTCATTGGCACCGCCGGCGGTGCACCCACTAGAAAGAATGATATTCGTCTTGGAGATGTTGTCGTTAGTGTTCCAGATCATGGCCACACGGGCGTTTTTCAATGGGACTTTGGTAAGGCGATTCAAGGTCAGCCCTTTTTGAATACGAGGGTTTTGAAACCACCACCGGAGATTCTTCTGCAGGCTGCGAGTGAACTAGAAGCAAAGTACAAAAAGACTGGGTCTCAGCTTCAACAATATATCGATACTGTTTTGCTTACGCATCCAGAGCTGCGGAAGGGAGGCTACGAGCGTCCTAAGAATAGTTCCGACCGGCTTTACCTCCCGCAAGTGGTCCACCCAGCCGGTGACGACTTCAACTGTGCCGAAAGTTGCGGCAGTAGTCCTGCAAAATTAATCCAGAGAGGCCCAAGGAGCGAAAGAGAGAGCGATCCTTGTATTCACCATGGTCTCATCGCCTCCGGGAACACTTTCATCGACAGGGCCAAATTCAGAGATGAGCTTGTGGCAAAAAATGGCGTTCTATGTTTCCAGAAGGAGGCAGCTGGGTTGATGAATACACTGCCTTGCATGGCCATCTGCGGAATCAGCAACTATGCAGATACGCATGTGAACAAGGAGTGGGAGGCCTATGCGGCTATAGCGGCGACTGCATATGCCAAAGATATACTCCAATGTGTCCCGCCATTCCATGTTGGTACGATGACAGGGCCTGAGAGTAATGAGAGTTGCGTTGAATGGAGGGGATTAGCCAGGTTCTTCCATTGTTACCTAGTCTGTATTACTGGCTTTTTAATGTGGGCAGGAATAAAAATACTGTGTTCGAATTAAAGTTGACGACTTATTTTGCAATTCTTGAAGTCCCGTCATTTAGTACTGCCCCACTGTTGATTGAGAAAGGGTGGAATTACGTTGAAGTGTCGTCAAATTCGAAGTCGATAAATGGAGCCATGATGACGGTCGGCATGACGTCAACCATCGTCAGATGCATTTTCACAACAACATCCACACAATCTCAACTTCACATCAACATCTCACAACCCATTATTCTCGAATCAAATACTTCCAAAATGGTGATCCAATACCAAGCGGATCGAATCCCCATCTCATTCGCATCATGCAGCATTCCCATGAAGATCAAAGCCAGTCTTCCCGACAAGCTGAACGCCATCCGCCAAGCCGGCTTCGACGGAATTGAGCTTTCCATGCCCGACATCATCAGCTATGGGGAACTTCTCAGCGGATCACAGCCGAAGGAGGATGATTACGATACGCTCGCCGATGTCGGAAAGCAGATTAAATCCCTGACGGATGAGCTTGGATTGAAGATTATGATGTTGCAGCCTTTTGCCAATTTCGAGGGGTGGGAGAAGGGAACACACGATAAAGAGAGACAACAAGCTTTTGATAAGGCGAGGGGATGGATGAAGATTATGGATGCTGCTGGTATCACGTTACTCCAGGTAACCAACGACACTCCCACGCGTCATCTTTCACCAGACTAACGTATCCAGGTCGGATCATCTGATTCAGAAGGCATCTCATCCTCCTTCGACGATCTAGCCTCCGACCTTGCTGAACTAGCAGACCTCCTCGCCGAAAAGAACTACAGCATCGCCTACGAAAACTGGTGCTGGGCCACCCACGCCCCAACCTGGAAAGACGTCTGGCAAATCGTCCAAAAGACCAACAGACCCAACGTTGGTCTCTGCCTCGATACCTTCCAAACAGCCGGTTACGAATGGGGCGACCCCACTACAACGGACGGCCTTACTGTTTCCTCCAGTTCCGAAGAGCGACAAAAGCGCTGGGAAGAAAGTCTCAAAGAACTAGCCGCTACTGTTCCCGCGGATAAGATCTACCTGCTTCAAATTTCTGACGCGTACAAGATGGATCCTCCGATTGAGGATGTCAAGGATCAGTCTGGAGCCAGACCACGGGCGAGGTGGAGTCATGATTATAGGCCTTTGCCGTGTGATGGTGGGTATTTGCCCGTGCAGGACATGGTCGCTGCGGTTTTGAAGACTGGGTTTAGAAGTTGGTTGAGTGTGGAGGTTTTCGATGGGCTTGAGGGCGAGAATACGGATATGAATGAGTATACGAAGGAGGCTGTCGAGTCTGTTAAGAAGTTGATTAACTATAGCGAGTAATCAGCCAAGAAGACTAAGGAATAAAACTGTATGGAAGCATGAGCTCAATTGATATTTTTTCTATAGTACCTCTCACTGCAAAGTGAACAGTTGATCTGCAATAATGTGTGGCACAGCATTTCTCGACCTTCAAGATACCTTGCTCGTAATAGCAGTATACTCAACCAACTCCTCCAAAGCACTCCCATGCTCCCTCCCGATAACCTCAGCATGCCTTTCCGACCGCGGCGTGATCGAGCAAGGAAACGGCAAAGGGATTGAGTTGAAGCCCTCAGAGTAGGCAAATCTACCAATCGTTAGTACCCACATCGACTCGCGTTGCAATAACTTACATATCAACCTCGATATCCTGACCCTTCTCATCCTTCTCGGGCTTGACATCAAAACCCCAAAGGATACGCGCAATGTTAAGTGTCACAGACGCATTACCGAGATGCATACCTGGACAAATACGTCGACCCCAGCCAAAGGCGCTGTGTCCCAAAGTGCCGGGGTAGTCACGTTCTTCCATGAAACGTTCAGGCCTGAACTCGTGAGGTTGAGGGAAATCCGACTCGTTGAGATGAACTGTCGCCATTAGTAACCTTTTCCAAAGAAGATACAAAATACTCACGTGTCCAGAGAGGAGCAATAATCGTGCTCCCCTTGGGAATAAACATCCCCTTGTACACATAATCCGCCGTACTAGCATGTGGTGTTCCACCAAGCACAGCAACAGGTCTCCACCTCAGAGTCTCAGAAGCAATAGCCCTGACATACTCCAGCTTCGGCAGATCATCAAAAGTGGGAAGACGATCACTTCCGATAACGCGATCGAGTTCTTCTCGAGCTTTGGGAATGAACTGAGGTCCGAATTTGACGCAGGCGAGAAGGAAGCTGGCTAATGATCCGGCAGACTAGCATAATCAGTACTGTGTAGATAAGTGATTCATGATTGGGAAGGGTGACCTACGGTTTCGACACCGGCACCAAAGGGTGAACCAGCCGTATAAGCAATTTCTAGATCCGTCATTCCGAGATTATGTTGTTCTTCGAGAAGATGTTTTGCGAAACATGTCGGCGCAGTACCCTTCGCTACCTTTTCGCGCACTTCGTTCATAAGTTCGGTGTATAGCTGAATATCCTTTTCGCGCTGTTGCAGGACTTGCTTCTTCCAAGGTGCGAAGAAGCTGGGGACGTATTTGAGTGCGGGATACCGTTCGACGGCGTATTTGCCAGGGATACTGGTATCGTCAGTGAGGGTCGTGATGGTGATGGGGACGGGGGACGTACTTGACCATCGTCAAACGCTCCATAGCCTCGGCATTTCTCTTAACGACAATGTCGCTTCTGACGTCTTCGACTCTCCTTCCATAAGTAACCGTCACAATAACACTAGCAGCATACCTCTCCAAGTGCACCCTAAACCCTCTCGGATCCTTCAAAAGCTCAAACATCAAAACCTTACTCTCAAGACTCTGAACAGGTCTATAGCTCTCACTCTGCCTCTGCATAAACCCACTATGCAAAAGCTTTCTCCAGCGTCTCCAATACGAATTATACGGTGCCATAAGACCTCTCATGCCACTCGAAAGAAGTTCGCCGCCCATGATGAAGCGTGGTCGTGATGAAAATACCGCGCCGCGCTTTTCGAGGAGATCCCATGCTGCTTGGGCTGAGCCAAGAATTATGGTTGGTGTGGGACCGAGCTGGAGGTAGACTACGTCGCCGTATTGTTGGGAGAGCGCTTGGAACCAGAGCCATGGTTTTTTTATGCCTGTTTTTATGGTTTTGGGGCCGGGGGGAAGGTGGTGTCTGTGGGAGTAGAGTTTGTATTCTTGTTGAAGCTGAAAATGTCAGTAGATGGATCATCTGCGTGGGGCGAACATACTCTTGGGAAGTTGAGGACTAGATATGCTAGACCGACCGCAACAGCGGCGTAAATGAGAATTTTGACAACCATTGTGTCGGTTACGAAAGCATTGACCAGGAGTAAAAGATGTGTCTGCTGTCACCCGGTAATAAACCCGTTGGATCCATGCATTTCCAACTGCCACCTCTATTTGCCGAGGGAAAAAGCCACCCCCGCGTCATGAATCATACTAAAACACCCAATAGCGATCCAATGACTCTCAATTACAGTCTAAGGACTCTTAACGACGGTCTAATGGCTCTCAATCACGCCCTAGGGATGCTTGGCAGTTGCAACCGAGCAGCTTATTCCCACAACCCCGCATCCTAAACGGCAAACGGTAAAGTCAACGTTCCTTCGACGCGGGGACCCCACGCTCGTTTAACATCCTTGTCTTCGGACAATGTTTTCCCGAAGGAAGATAAAGAGGATGCATGATACGACGATTTTCTCTTCTTGGTTCATCGGAAATACAGTGAAGACAAGATGAAAAGTGACGCTTGGCTGAGTAAACCATTCTTAACCTCCATTTTCCTAGGAATTGGAGGTTTCCTCTATGGCTTGTAAGTCACTACGTTCGTTGAAATGAATGTATGCTAAAGGATTAGTGATTCGGGTATCATAACGCCCAGTTTGGCACTGGGGACTTTTGTCCGATACTTCGGGAATCCGCCTCCGCCTTTGAGAGGAGCGATCGTATCTATGTACCAAGCAGGAGGTAAGCAAGAACGTTATCTCTAGGGTACAGATGCTAATCAGTGACAGCATGGCTTGGAAGTGCTTCGGTTGGCATCACAAGTGACAGGCTTGGTCGTCGGAAGGCTATTGCTTTTGGATGTATTTGGGGTGTCATCGGTGGTGCTATCATGGCTGGAGCGGCACATGTTGCTATGCGTAAGTCATCTCGGTCTCAGGGTCGTTCATTATTGACGATTTAGTTATCATCGGTCGCATGTTGGTTGGTTTCGCGGTCGGTACAATCACAGGCGTATCCCCAGTCTTCGGGGCAGAAATTGCGAAGACCCACGAACGTGCCAAAGTCACAGCCGTTAACCAAATGAGTACGTCCACCACCCCAAATAACCCTTCTATGCTGACCTTCCAGTGACCGCCTGGGGCTTCTTCGTAGCCCTCTGGATCGGCGTCGCAGAAGGGAAATGGGAGAACCCCAATCAATGGCGTCTCGGATTCGCAATCCAAAGTATCCCCGCTCTCGTCCTTGGCGTCGGTGTTTTGTTCCTCAGCGAATCGCCCAGATGGCTATGTCTGAAAGGCCGTCATGATGAAGCCGAGAAGGCCTTTCGAAACTATCACTTTGACGGCACCAATGAGGAATGGTGTCGTACGGAGTTCACGGTTATTCAAGTTAACATTTCTGAAGAGCAGCAAGCCCAAGGTCGTCTTTCTTGGGGCGATTTACTGAAGACACCTTCATTCAGAAAGAGACTTTTTGTGGGTTCTTTTGTTTGGGCGGCGGCTATGTTGTCCGGCATATCATTCGTACAGTATTATCAGACCGCTATCTACGCAACGCTGCAATTCAACGAAGATCGTCAGCTTCTTGTCAGTGGCCTCTACGGATCTGTTGCGCCCGTCGCATGCTTTATCTCGCTGTTCTTCGTGGATAAGATTGGGCGAAAGAAGATTCTGGTCATCAGCTCTTCCCTTCTTTCGGTTTGTTACCTGATCATTACCATCCTGGCAGCCAAGTTCCCGGCTATTCCTGGTCAACCTACAAATGCTGCGGCACAGAGGGGTTTGATTGCGTGTATTTTTGCTGTTTCGGCGAATTACTCTGCTTTGCTGGGACCGATGACTTGGATCATTCCGTAAGTTTATTAGTCAACGTCCGTATGGATTGTGCTAATTGAGACAGTCCTGAGGTTTTCACGACTGAGCTTCGAGCCAAGGCGAATGCTCTGGTGCAAGTTGTTCATTACTCGATTAGTTTGATCATCACACAATGCTCGCCAATTGCCCTGGCTGGGGTCGGCTGGAAATATTATGTTAGTTACCCACTCGGCTATGACATCCCACACTGACATTCTTAGATCCTCTTTATCCTGACAAATGCACTCTGTGCAATTATCTTTTTCTTCGTGTATCCCGAAACCCGAGGTAAGTCCGCCCCATTTTGTGACCGTAGCGCACCATGTTGACCTTATTAGGCAAATCTCTCGAGGAAATTGATGAGATCTTTGGTGATGTCAAGATTGTACATGAGGAAGATGTAAGGTTTTCGGAGAAGGCTGGTGTTGATGTTATGGAAAGACGCGATAGCCGCGTTTTTCAGCAGTAGATACCCTGGACGCGATTGAGTGTTCCACTGCACACAAATCCAAGGCTCCTCAGCTTTGTGGTCTCGTTCTCCATCTTTATGTGTCAAAAGAACATGTTGATGTTAACGAGGAAATGTTTAATAACTAACCTGCTGGAAGGAGAATATCTTTTATGGTACCTATTATAATATTAACTTTATAAGTTACAAAACATTACCTGTATTAGCACCACTGAGGCATTGACATTTCTTATCACAACAGCTGCTCATTATCGCCACCAGCAAAGGTAATACATCGGTTAGCATGAATTTCTGCCTGTTCTCATTAAGATGGTGTGCAGCTTGCAGCTCCCGACCAGGCTGTGCACCACTCCAGTCCTGCATCGTCCTTGTCACGTAGCGTATGGCTATTGGAGATGAACCACCATTTTGGCTGACAACATCGCTCCAATCATGTCTAGATTACTCCGTGCGGGGTAAGTGAAGACAGTCCTAGATTAGGCGGCAATGACGCCCAGGTCACCGATGCCTTAGCTTAAATAGTTCAGATAATGGGTAACAGAAACTATTCTGAACATTTACCATTGACCTAACATACACTTCCGTCAAAGGTTATCTTTTCAATACAATGCAAGAAGACGACTTGAACATCCCCCTGAGCAACACTGTCAAAGGCCGTGGAAAGTCAATTGCCTCACTTCTCGAGGAGATTGAAGGACACCAACTACCCGCGGTGAAATGCTTAAGTTTTATCTGGGAGCTAGAGTGCCTCCAGATCCATCGGAACCCACGTAAGAAGCTTAGACTCATACGCGACAAGATCAATGCCTTCAAGGAAAAAGACTATATCGCCCTGTCTTACACTTGGGACAACTCTGAGCACGAAAGCCCGGAGAAGGGGAAGTACCTTGTGCAAACTAGAGACGAACGCCGTCGATTCCTTCCATCGCCAGTTCGAGACTGCGTTTTTGACCGTGTGCTTTCGTTTATGCGAGCACGAAGTCTTCGAAATCTTTGGATCGACAGACATTGTGTCAGGCAATGGGCCTGCAACACGAACGATACATGTCCCCACAGGAGATGCAACGAGAAACAGCGCGCACTTGAGACTATGGATCTGGTCTACAGTCAGAGTAACCATCCCCTGTCCTTACTCGGAACGCCAATCGAGTGGGAGCATGAACTTGATCTATTAAATGGAATCGTTAGCGGAAAGCTTATCAAGGAACTCAAAACAACAGAACATGAGAAGGTTCTGCAAGCATTGGATTTATTGAGTAGAATAACGAAAGATCGTTGGTGGACCAGGGGATGGATATTCCAGGAAAGTTATCGAGGACGGAGAAAAATGACACTACTCATCCGACATTCTCCGTTCTTGGAGGCAAAGAAACAGTACTATGGGCGTTTCTCAAATGTTCCAAATGAGATCTGTATCAAGGCCGCCACTTTCAGCAAAACCAGTACCGACCTCTGCCTTGCGATCCGCGACGAAATACCACGAGACGATGTGTTATATCGCACGGAACAAATCCTGGGAGCGGTAGGGGCATATACAATCTTATTAAAGAGAACCATGCCTATGACCCCCACAGTCATTGATGACATACAGAGACGAAGGCTGGGTGAACCATGGGATAAACTGGCAATCATTGCTAATTGTTGCCAATACGACACTCTCATAAACTATAAGCAAATGGAAAAGCCAAAGAGCCTCAGTATATCGACGCTAGCGATGTATATCCTTAACGGAGAGATTATTCGAAATGAGCCTCTAAAGGACCGTTCCTCGTTGCTCGAAGAAACCCTACCCGAGTTCTTGAAAAAGCAAGCATTCGACGGGTTTTGCCCTCCAAAGAGTCAGCCCGATCTTACTTTCAATAAAGGCTGTCGGTTTGTTGACGTTAAAATTACACCAATTGGCATCAAGACAAAAGGTCATCTTTGGAAATTGGGCAGAATCATTGATACCTCAAGATTTCGACTTCCATTGCCAGAGGCACAGGAAAAGCTTTGCTCTTTTAATGAGGACGAACAACAGCACCTCGCCTGGCTGGTTGCTGAATTGAAGAGTTTGAATGAGGCAACTCTCGCTCGGCATGTTGAGAGGCTTTTGAACTATGATCGCACCAGGCCAGATGGAAACTGGGAGAAAGAAACGTTTTCTAGATGGTACATGCGTATCATGGTAAAAGAGCTGGTTGAGGCGATCAAAAAAGGAAAGCCACTGAGACTAGCACGAATTTGGAGCTCTCAGAGAAACAACAATCCGTGCACTGCTGTATTTATCTGGGACGCCGATGTTGCTAAAAATAGCGGCCTTGAAGATAAACCACACAGGTGCGACCATTACGGGAAGAGAGAAAGAAGACCAAAGTTTGCTTTCACCGCTTCGAGACCTCTTAAGCGCGGGTATCAAGACCGTGGTACCAATGATCTGGACCACCATGTGTCACTTGAAGTCAAGTTGTCATCGTTGGTGGATAGGCCTCCTGATGATCATCATCAACTTTTCATTAAACGTTGGCTTGTGGGATTATGCTTCTTCTATGATTTCCCTACGACCGATGTAATCTTTCCATGGCCGTCCTCGTTTCATACAGTCAATCATTAATCCATTTCCTTGTGTATTTAATTATCAGTACTGGCTGCGGCCGTATGAGAGCCAACGGCGATAAAGAAACGTGATTAATTTTTTTGCTTAGAAGGCGCCACAAGGTCGTCACACAGTTCGCCGAATCCCAAGTTCCGGCCATCTGACCTATGAACATGGCATCCCACCAAAATTCCGCATGCACACATAGCCATCCCTCCTAACCCCCCTGGTTCGGATTTACAATCAATAAGTCGCACTAGTTGACAGGTAAAGATTAGCCAAGTAGCAGTGATAAACCAGGTTCTCGATCGCCTTCAGCGTCACCAATCAATAGGCTGCAAAGTGCTGAGTTTAAACCATATGTTCATTTTATTGAATAGAAACGGCATGATACGAGAACATAAACATTGATGATAAAACAGGCTCAGTAAAGGGGCAATTTATATGCATCAAAGTCATATATCCAGCTGTCAATGGAATGCTGGTCATAAACGCAGTCCAGTGAAGTTCCATTGCCAGACCACAACGGGCGAAGAGGCCAGCGGCAGATAGTCTCAATACCACCATGTCCATCCAGAGTCTCAGGCGCAACCCCACTCTCGACCCATTCAATAACAGTCTGCAAAGTGGTCTGCGGCCAACCACCGTTCGGCTGGTTAGAATTGCTACCGCAGTGTGCTCCACCAGGAACAAGGTACAGCCGATAAAAATCATCGAGGGCAGCAATGCTTTCATTGTAGCTCTTATCTGCAAACATGACACTGCGGACAGAGTCGTAGTAGTGTACCGATGAGCCAGCCGGGATTGAATCATCTGATTTCCCGTGGACGTGAATCACCTTTCCACCCGCAGATTGGAAGTCGCTTAGATCAGGGTAAGTGGTCTGGAGAGAATCGGTGTACTTGTTCTGGCCGTAGATCATCCACTCCTTGAGCGTGTCGTAGGTGACCTTGTCGAGGGTGGAGAGCGTGCTGGTGTTTTGGAGTTGGAGGTAGCGGGCAACCCACTCACCGCCAAGACCGCTGATACTCAGGCCCCAGGTCTCGGTCTCTTCATCGTAGTAGGTTGCAAGATCCGAGAAGCTTGATCCGGGCTGGTAATTGAGATAGACGCGACGTCCCTTAGAATCATGGAGGCCGTTGAGGAACTGTTGAACCACAGCAACACCCTCTTCCGTGACCATGCCCTTCTGAGCAGGAGTAGATGGCTGAGCAAACTGTCGAGCCCGAAGCGCTCCTGGACCACCTTGAGAGCCCGATGCAGTGCAAGAGTAAGACTCTCCGATCGTGGTGTTGAGGTTGAAGTGGAGCTTGCAGAGATCAGAGCGCGATACAACAGCGTCATGTCTACCGTCCAAACCATCACAAGCAGCAATAGTCAAGTTCAGGATTTTGTCCAGCTCGCACGAAGGAGGGTAGTAGTCCAAGGTCTGCTCGACAAGATTGCCAAACAAGTGGTTGACTTGCTGCTGACCGTAGCGGAAGGCTGGTGCTCCAATAGCAGCACCATCAAACTGATCTGCAAAGCGCTGGACTTGACTCCAGCCTTCACGACCACCCTCTGAGCAACCTCGGTAGTAAGAATAGACCTTCTCGCTCTTGGAAACATTGTACACGTTCCTTGCCAGCTCCTTGCCAAGCAGAGCAAGTTCATGATGGGCTTGGTAGCCGAACATGTAGACTGACTGCCAGTTGATGGTACCGTTGGCCAGGAGGAAGACTTCATCCCACTGCGTGTCGAATGATCCAAATCCTCCATCAGTGAGTCCGGAGACAGCACCGACTATGAGCCCAGAGGGGGCATACTGGCTTCCCGAGTTGATAGCAAGTCCGCCTCCACCAGTAGAGACGTAGCGGTTCTGGGACTTGCTAGGAGCAGGGAGCCAATAGGAAACATGAACAACGTCATCGGGAATACCATTGTGTGAGTAGGCGAAAGTGAGGTTGCAGTAGTCAGCGCTGGCGGTGGGGTACCATTCAGACTGGAAGGTAGCATTCGAGACCAGTGACGTGTGAACTGAATTCGGGTTAATGGTGATGCCGGATAGAGAATTGTCGGCAGGAAGTGCTGATTTGACATAGTCCTTCGAGCATATGTCGCTCAAGGTAGCAGCGTGAACGGCTGCTGCAAAGAGTACAGCGCCTGCGAAAGTCGACCACATGATAACCGCCCCAAGATAGTTGAGTGAAGTGTTGCAAAGAAAGGAACAACAGTTTCTTAGTTAGACAAGTTCGCTTTACAGATCAAGTTCATGTCTTATAAATATGAAATCGGGAATCTAGCATCCCACATCCCATGCACTCGACCCCGGGATTACGAATGCGATCTCAGCTTCGGGATAGCCCCACTGGCCTTAATAACTACCTAGTGGCGAAGTTTGGGGGTGACGGTTCACGAAGTGGAGACCTAGAAGAGCTAATCATGAGATGTCGGCGGAATTGACACAATACTGGGCCGCATAGATGGCCTGTCCAAAATGAGACGTGATCCTTTATTACCTTGTTCATGCTACATTCGCAACGCGCTTCGCATTGGCGGAATATGTAGATTGCACCCTTTAGGTTTGTCGTCATTGATGTATTCTTCCCTCGCGAATACCCCACCGCCATGGTCTCTTCTCAAGAAATGAACCTGTCTCTTGTAACAAATGCGACCATCCGGATCAGATATGACTTCTAACTCCTGCTTGACTTGTACAGTGAAGAAACGTTGTTCTTCCGGAGGTAAAGTTTCATCTGCCTGTTTGAAACTCATTTTGCTGTCGTCTAACAAGATGTCGTGTTCGAGTTCGATCTGACGTCTGCCAACTCTATATAGAGTGCCTACGTCGAAAAGGCCCTCTTTAGCTGGACCGAGTCTCGGTACCAATGACAAAGCTTCGGTACGGATCTTGAGATTCCGGCATTTCATGACAGCGAAGAAAGTCAGGGGTAATAGACCCATCTCGAAAGTGAAGCTACTGTCTGGGACGTGTTCTTGTTGAGCAATGTTCCATGCAGCTGCAGCTTTTCTTGCCAAATCTACGATGTTTCGGAAGTCGTCCAGATGCTGATCGTACCACATCTCTGTCGCCTTGTGTGGTTTGTGAATGTATATGCTCGTGACTCTATGCTTGATCTGCATACCGTAGAAAGCATACTTTTTTGTGGCGGAGGAAGCAGGAATGATATGCTCCAGGTTCCTGGCTTTCAACTCCCACTCATCCAATAGTGCGATAAGAGTAGGCCTCTGGTTATCATACCCGTCCAGAATACACTCCATCGCTCGAAACATGAGGTTGTCAATGAAGGACTGAGCCTCTGCAATATTAGTAAACTCTTGAGGCACAGCCTCATCAAGGCCAATGAGTTTCGGTAGGCGCATGGACTGCATACCGCCGAAGAAGAACGGTATAAGGCTTAAGCGACGAAATATGGGGACAAGGTGGTGTCGCGCCCAACCTGGACAACCGGAGTCGTTTAGAATCATGATGCCGTGCCTACAGTGCTGGAGAGCGGAATAAATATCTCCCTGCAGATACTCAATGCAGATAAAGAGGACGCAAAGCAACAGAATCAGCTGCTCGTCACCCAACGACTTGACCTGTTGAATAGCAGCGTTGTAGTGACCAATTGCAAACGTGCTACCGCATATCTGGCGCGTAATCCTCGAACCCCTAGCGAATTCCTCGTAGAGCGAACTAATCGACAAAACGGCGTGGCGGACAGTAGGCTCGAAGTGGCTGAACTGCATGACCAGATGTGTCCAGAAATAAGAGTCTGTTGAACCCGACAAGACTGGACCGGCCATTTTGGTAAAGAACTGGAAAGCCCTGCCCTCTTTTTGGTTTCGTGCGGCTAGTTGGGTAGGTCTGTACCATGTAAGGCCGGACTGATCCTCGTAACCACCGCATACACGGCGCGAAGACGTGCATCGCCGACATGACGGCTTTACCTCATCGCACTTTAATTTGCGGGCTCTATCCAAAGTCAAGGTCAGTGGCTTCTATGACAAGATGAGTTAGACAAACGTACTTGCAGGTCCGGCACCCGGTCCTAACATGCTGCCCCATTTGCGCTAGCTGTGGCGTGGGGCTGTCCCGAGCGAATAGGCGAGAATGAGTATGATGGGAAATCTAACAGAGAAAGAAATGACTGTACCGGAGGAGAATTGGGATTCGAAGAATGGGGACGAGAGACGCGTGGCGGCAAAATGGGTGGTCCAAGCATCCACCGATTTGGCCTTTACTCTGCCGATTCTTTGTGGGGCTGCCCCGAGCTATTGTGGAGGATGTTGACGGTAATAACGGGGATTGCTCTGTAACTACCGACAGTCCTACCCTAAATTATCTTTAGCGCAGGGAATTTCCTTAACGTCAACATCCTTAATTCCCGTGCTGACAGTCAAAGACGAGATGTTAACCGGGTCGACGATGCCGATTAAATTATCATGGGAGCAGCATCTGCTGTATCTCGTTTTTTTGGAAATTTTGATATCGCTTAGTGAACAGTGGCCTGGCTCGCTGTATTGAACGCGATCTTTTTCCATTGAAAGAACAAACGTCTTTGCTTGGCAGCCTCCAAGAAAAATGTTTTCGCAAGCAGAACGCCCTAGAACGGTACAGGTTTTAAGGCTTGCAGGTCCTGACCACATCGCGCAGTAGCAACTCATTGCTTGGGCTAATCTGCAATGGCCTTGTCAAGACTTAAGAAAAGTTATCAGCGTATTAGTTCCACGTGCTCTAGGCTACGTCATTTACTTCAACTCGTCTAATGCAATATGTTGTTGGTTAATTGCTTGTTGCATATTAACATTAATGAGCAACCTGCATGACAGACTCCAGGATCCCCTCTCTGTCTTGACGTGGCGTAATGTGATTTGTCGCCTCACAATGTCTGGTTGCCTACGATGGTTCTAGGTCTGACTTCATAATAAGAAACAAAACATCTTTCTCCATCGCGAAATGGCCGGAAATAGCATGGAAAGCTTGACGAGTGGCGTTGAGGCTATCTCTACACAGCCCAATGCTACAATACCACGATACATGATTATCCACCGGGTGGAATGTCCTGGATCAACCCCAGATCATTCTAATCATCCTCACATTTCTCTTTATCGAGACGTTCCACGTCTGTTTGCTGGCGACAACAACGCTAGCCGCCTCAGGGGTCAAATGCCAGATGAAGAAGCCCAGCTACGTGCCAAAAAGGATGCTGATATTTCTTTCATCATACACCGCACCTACAACTGCCTTGAATACCACACCGCATTATTTGATGCCTTACGAGAGACATCGGTGGACTCTTTGCCACCTGATCGGACTTTCCGAACTTATCTCTTACCAATCGATGCTTTTGATGCTGTAGCGGAAAGAGAGTATATGGAGATCGTATCGACCAATTTGAACAACGGGATAGAAGCAGTAAAGGAGGCAGATACTAGACACGATTCCTTGGACAAGTCATCGTTACTGGGCTGGAATCGAGAACACAACATGGTGGCACCATACTTTCATCGCTGTCACACTCGCAGCCTACTTCGGGACCATGTTCCCCAACTACCAGAATTTCAAAGTCAGCACATCGACCTCCTTCTTGAATACCTGGATGAAAACTTTGGCCACGAATATCAAGAAGCCGAGAAGCTTTTTAATGATGGGCTTGTAAGCAGGAAACATTTTCACAAACTATTTGGGCCAAGAGAGATACTGGTCACTGTTGAAGACGGCCATCACATCGCCATGGTTTCAAGATATCCTCCTCTCGCTGGTTCGAATCCGATAAGGCTTGAGTGCGAAACGTGGAACTTCGATGGCTGCTTTGCAATGCACAAAAAGACTGTCATCATACCCTGGCCAAAGCATGTTTCAGACTTGGACACAGTCCCAATAAGGTCTCTCCATATCTTTCCTCTAAAACTCGATCAACAACTTGAGCATCGCCTGAGAAAACGTGGGGAGTTTTGTTGGCAACTACGAAAACCGAGATTAGTTCATTACAGTGCCCCACGCGGGGTTCTCGATTACCGCATGGTAATTGATGTCTATGTATTACCGGATCATATGCTGACTCTACTGAACAGGAAAATGGTCGGTATATGGTCGATATCGACACTTATCGTCGTTTCCACAAGCCAAATATCCTTGCGAACACGGCCATTGAGCACGTTGGAGCGTGCCTTCCATTAAAGGCCACCGAGTCAAACTCACCTCCTGCTGGAACCTTTGCCCTTCTACTGCCACCGATAACTTACGGTTTCGGTTTCCACGACAAGAAGTGGCGTTGGTTAACCCAAATCTGACTGACGAGAGACTACGCTGATAACGGCTTTGTAGGAAAACTTTCAATAGATTACGCGGCTGATGTAGCCTGGGACGAGGATGTGTTTAATATACCGATCCTTTGGCAAGAAGTCAATGACAACCTAAGTTCGCTTCAACTCGAGAAAAAGACATCCAAAGATGTCGAAGCCGGTCAGGGCCAGGGCAGGGTGATACAGCTTCATAGTGGGCCAAAAATTAGCCGCACGGTCGCAGCTGCGGCCCTCGCCGAATCAGCCAAGAAGCCCTTATATCAATTAGCACCTCATGAAATAGGTGTAGAGCCTGAACAAGTGGAGAATAATATCGAAGAAGCGTTCTATCGCGGTGGTTTGTGGGATGCAGGTATGTTTGCAATTCCGGCCTTTTCAGACACCAACTTTGTGCTTAGCTAATGACTTCAAGTAATTCATTTGAAAGATTGCGATCCTTTCATTGGTTATCAGAAAGAACACACTTTGGCGGGTACATCAAGGGCCTCGATCATTTTACAGGCAATAAACAGATATCATGGTATCGTTATCCTTACAATGAGCCATCAAGGTCGGTTCCACGTTTCATAGCTCCTCTCCAGCTTGAGATTCTTTAACTAATCTGTTCTTAGATAGTCTAGATGCAAGCGCCCTCTGGCATGAAGTTCAGACAGTTAGCCTCAGATAATGACTTGATTATACTCAACTATTTACAATTCGGCCTGTTGCTTGAGGATTGATACGTCACAGCCGCCATTACAATATCATCAAGAGTTTATACAATAGACAATGTCCTTTTTCTTTGATTATAAGAAATTTTGTTTCTATACCCCAAGACTATGTCCTCTCGTAATTAGTCAACTAGATTTATATACCCTGTTAATTACATATTAAACATATACTATCTATCATAGCCAATATGCAATAGTTGATCACATACCTAAGCTAAAAACCATTGGCAGCCCCGCAAGAGAGAGCTACTTTTTATCCCTCATCACCTGGATCCCCTCCACTGAGCGAGAGATTTGTACACCCCTTGGTAACAGAATGAGACTCATCAATACCCACACGCGAGCTTTCGAGGAGTTCTATGGAAGGAAAGTTCCAAAGTACGCAATTCTTTCACATACTTGGGGGCAGGACGAGGTCACGTTTCAAGATTGGATAGATTCAGCGTCGGTGCTCCAGAAATCGGGATTCACCAAGGTCATCGAGGCCTGTGAACAAGCCAGAAATGATGACTACTCTTATATATGGATCGACACCAATTGCATCGATAAATCCAGCTCGGCTGAGCTCACAGAAGCTATCAACTCGATGTTCGCCTGGTACAGCAAAGCCGATGTTTGTTACGCCTATCTTTCAAATGTTCCGACTTTCAAACCGTTGTCTTATTCGGAAGAGTTCCGGCAAAGTCGCTGGTTCAAGAGGGGATGGACACTGCAGGAGCTCCTTGCCCCTGGGTACGTTGTCTTTTACGCAGCTGACTGGTCATGTATTGGGACAAGGTCTACTCTTATGCACGACATTGCCGAGGCTACAGGCATAGGTATAAGGTATCTCTGCGCCGACCAAAAGCCAGTGACCACCACTCGAGAAGACTGGTCAGAAGTTCGAACCCAGGTGTGTCATGAAGCATCGGTAGCTGAAAGGATGTCCTGGCTATCCCGTCGCGAGACAACAAGGATTGAGGACATGGCATACTGTATGTTGGGTATATTTGGTATCCACATGCCCCTCATGTACGGTGAAGGGTCCAGAGCCTTCTTGCGGCTTCAAGAGGAGATTCTAAAAACCTCAGACGATCACTCACTATTTTGCTGGTCATGGGCTACCAGTGAGAGCCAAGGCAGCCTTCTTGCCTCTCGACCACATAGCTTCCTAGACGCCTCGTCCTATAAACGTCATAGGATCGGTAGAGAGCCATCTCCGTACGCGGTTGCTAATTCAGGTCTCTCCATTCGGCTTCCTGTAATACAATGCTGGTCCCCGGACATTTACATTGCTGTTCTCAATGTCGAGCTGGCCGGGACGGACAGAAATGTTGGCATAGCCCTAAGAAGACTAATTCGTGCTGGAAGACAATCCCGTACTGAGATCTATACTCGAACTTCATATCTGGACGTTCCTATTCCGCTAGCCGTAGCGCACCATCAGGGTAGGCCACCTACAGACATGTACATTCCAGTACAGCGTGCCGATACAGAGAGCACGAGGGCAAGAGCGATTACTAGCCAAAGTCAATGTACGGCAGGTGCATTGCTATCTTTTGGTCTGGCAGGCTGCGACTCCGCAAGAAGCAAGTTTGGTGAAATACGAACGTTTCCGCCTGATCGGTTCTCCCATGCTGACAGCATACTTGTGATATGCCCTACCAGTCACGACCAGGTACCCGGTCCCAACTGGCTACAAAGGATGAGTCAAAAGAACTCAGGTTTCCTCGGAGCCACCATTGCTGAGTTTACCACGACGCGAGGGCCAGAAATGATTGTTTTCGTTGTCACCACTACAAATCAGGGTTCTTATCTTATACCTAGATGGCACTACTGCGAGCTCGCATGCTTTCTATCAGAGCCAGAGATAAATGATCTTGGCATGGGGAAATCTCTTCCTCAGGAGGCCTTTCAAACTTTTGAGAGGATACTAAGCGATCCTGACTATGCTGAGAGGAGGAATAACGACTCACCAGAAGGTCTGCTGTATGTTCAACAAGCGGAACATGGGTTCACAACCACTGATTCATCCATGTTGATACATTTCGACCTCGGTCTGAATTCAAACGCAGTAATCAGATAAGTATGGATTCTAATTCATATCTGATATAGCTTCTGAAGCTTTAACTAACAGCAATGAGACAATAGGTCGTGACGCAATATGCAGGCTTGGGTATCATACGGAACGAGATGTCAGATTATAAACGGACCATGGAAAGAAGTCATTGCTGTGTGGGGTCATACGTTCATATGCTTTATAATGCGTTATATTATAGTTATTGCTTACTTCTGTGGTGGTCGTGTAACCTTTATCACTCTGCTGTCCGTAGACAGTATGAATATAGGCCTACATGAATCCGATTACTTCCGTATTGGTCAAACCTATTCATAACTAGTAACCTAGCAGTCCTCCATCGTATTACTTCGCGTTTTCTCTTCATATCAAAAAGAACAAACTTTTCCATCGAGAGATTTTATTGATGTATGCTTGTTGCTATTCGAGGCCTTGGAGGGCCCGAGTCCACAATACAGCTGAATTCGGTTCTACAAGCAGCCGTGAAATGAGTATAAAAATTTCCCTACTGGCTTATGTCTTGTTGAAGAACAAACAGTCGCATACCATTGTTGACAGTTATTTATTGCGGGCTCCTTGCTTCTGCGTTCTTACGTTGGTTGTGTCTGCGCAGCCACCTGAAAGTAATCGAGTTAGCACACCTTGTCGACACTGAATTATTAGGCCTCTTTTACTAACCACAAGAAGACGACAACAAACGTCAGCACCGGCACTCCCAAACCGATACTCACCCCCACAATGATCTTGTTTGAAACACCACCTGTCTCGCGGTCGAAGAAAGATCGCGATGAAGATGGTCCAGCGGCTGCAGCATATTGCGCATTTGCTCCAAAGGGAACGGGACTCTGCACCTTTTTCACACTCGAGGACTGGGCCGGGAATTTAGGGGTCTCGCCTGAAGGTACCGTAGTGACGTGAGTCATGACTGACGAAGATGTCGCAGTAGTCTGGAGAGACGCAGGACAATTAATCATGCCAGTTGATTTGCATGACACACCCGAGTAGATGACCGTCGACGAGATTGTTGTTGTAACGATAGAGCCTTCCAAAAACAACGCACCTCGTCCTTGAGCTTCGTCCGTCGTGACTGTTACAGCAGATGTAGTGGCTGAAATCGTGGAAGTGGAAGTCATTTGGCAAAGGCTTTCCGTCTTCGTACCATACATCGAAAATGATGTCTCAGGCATTGGCCCCCATGCATGGTCATTCAACGCCAGTGTTGCCCCAGCGGCAGCTTCAACGTTGAACTCGAAGCCGAGCCCAAGCTGGCATCCGTTATCATCACCCACACTAATTTCCGCCTCGAATTGAGCGACGTTGGCGAAGACGCTCACTTCACCGCCAGCACCGAATTCCTGGGGTTTGCCGAAGATGCTCATCGTATGATTCTGTAGCTCCAGTCCTGCTTTCAGTTCTATGCGCAGCGCGCCCGTGACCTTTCCACTGCCGGAAGTTACGGCTACAGGTAGAAACTCAAACTGACCGCCAGGGCTGTACAAATCAGTAAGTTGCGGTTGAATTGTTGGGGGTATACTTACAAATCAGGTTCCGAGATGTTCGCTGAGAACATGCCGATGTCAACCACCATGCTGTCGTCAACCTTGAGATGAAAGCCACCTTGAAGCTGAACCTCGACTTCAGCTGTAAGAACAAGATCAATCGCCACGACTGCACCGGCGTAGGCCTCCGGCAAGGCGATTCCCAGCGAAGAGGATGATCTGAATAGTGACATCGTGTATGTCGCACTTGCTGCAAGAGTAACTTCCAGTTCCAGATATAATTCGAAATCCTCCAGCACAAAGCTCATAGATAGATCTGGAATAGGTTCAATCTCTGGGAGGTTGAAGTCGATATCAATGGTTGGGAACTCAAATGAGTCAAGGTGAAATGCTTCCATGAGTGCGGAGGAAATTTCCTTGGCGCCGTCTTTGAACAACGTAACTATTTGACCAGTCACATTTGTGATCTTTTCCTGCAAGTCGTCCAAGGCGTCAAAAAGAGGTTGGCTTCCCTCGAGGATCCTTCTGATTCTCTCCACGACACTGTCTGTGATATCTTCAAAATATCTTTCGAGATTTGTCGCTACTTCTTTGGCCTCTTTAGTCATATCGGTCATGAAGTCCTTTACCGTGCCAACCACCTTGTCAACGACAATCTTAATGGCATCTGAGTCTATCTCAAGAACCTCGATAACCTTGTCCCCTACTTTATCCGCAATCTTTTCTACTTGGTCCTCCAGGACCTCTTTAGCATTGTCGAGCTTTTCAGCACCTTTGGTAAGTTGCTTTTGAAGGGGCCCGAAAGCTTCCGTTGTGATATTATCGATGGTATCACCGATTGATTTCTTGTAGTCGATGAAACGGTCGATCACGTTTCCATCTCCTGGTACTTTTAGTGTGGCTTGGGCTGTTCCTTTGATGTAACACAGGACACAAGCGATTTCGACACTGAACTCGATCGTAGTATTTTCTGTCTCCGATAATACTCTACCAGCTCTGTGCATTAGACTTGAAATTATAATTGTGCTGTCTGAGGAGAGACTACTTACCCGCCAATTTTGAACAGAGTTACATCTTTCCAAGTCGTGTCAAGTTTTGTTCTGTCACTTTGAAACGTCTGTTCCCTTGCGAAGAGAGCTTTGTGGTCTCCAACAGCCGAATGAAGGACTGGTCCGCATCTCGGGGAATTAGGTAGGCCTTCGCCTGAAGACCGCATGTTTCAAGTTTGTCGATATTCTTTGATATTACCAGCCTTTAGAAATTTCCCTGCGCCGCCGCGCACCACGCCTGAAAATGAAGCCTCAGCCACCGTACACCCTTCTGTAAGCTCACCGAGTCGCAGCCTGCCATGCAGCAGGCCAAGATGGTCATCAAGCTCATAGTCATCGCCCTCATGACCTCCGTTCTATTTTAACGGCTGGTTGCTTTGGTGCTCATGGTCATTCTGCTTTCTGTCGATAGACGGTATCGATATACACCCGCATGGTTCCAAAAGTCAATCCAGTCACTTCCCCATTAGTCAAGCTCCTTCACAAAGAACAATCAAGAACTGCTGGACTGCTGGACTGCGATAGAGACCGGATCGATATCAACCTGCACATTCTTGAGGTATCGATGTCTTGCTCCGAATATCCACCAAACACCAGAGAACAGAAACGTTGCACCAACAATAAGTGCGGCCCAGTTCATATTGCCAATATTCTCACCTGTGACCGGAAGATATAACGGCATGCTAATAAGAAGTTAGTAGTCACATCTCGCTCGAAGGTGTTGTACGTACACGTAGATGACAATAGTCAGTAAAGCCCATGCAACGGCAACGTAGTTCACAAAGTATCCCCATCTGCCAAGATCGAAGTGGGGGCGAGGGGGCAGAATTGAACGACCTCGGACAAGAGCCTATTGAGAGAGTCAGAAGCTGAGTGATGGCGCGAATGAACAGTACCCACAACTGTTACTGGTATCGCATAGGCAAGGGCGAAACAAACTCCAGCACCACTGACAATGGCGTTGTAGGCTAATTCACTGCCTAGAGAGATAAGTCCAATAATAACCTCAACCACCATAATAGCATAGATAAAGTTTAAAGGGATTTGTAGCTTGTGGTCGATCTTAACAAGACGATGGGACCATGGGAATGCATTGTCCTCTGCCATGCGCCATCCAAGACGGGAGCACGAAGACAGAATACCGGTGCAAACAAGTAGCTAAATAGTTAGCTAACGTGATAAAAGAGTGAGGTCGTTCAACTTACATTTACAACGGCAAAGACGATCGCGATGTAGATACCAGCGTACTCATTTCCCGCCACGTCCGAGAACCAAGTGACATAAGGTGACCTAACCATAAGCTTGAGTCAGGGAAAGAGGGTTTGGAAAACTTACAAGGATGTCACATACTCGGCGTAATTGCCACAACAAAATAGTAAAATAAGATCAGTGACGATAGTAGCAATTCCAGAAAGGGCCATGGACCAAACCATGGCTCTCTGTGCAGTGTTAGGTAACACCGAATTCCTACGCAGTGGAGAGACTTACTGGTGCATCTTGAGACGCATTCTTCATCTCCTCAACCAAATGCATCATGCTATCCGTACCATAAAGGCCATACAGAGGACTATAGAAGCTGAGTATGAAAACCCATCCGCTATTGGTGTATCCCGAATTATTTATGAACTTAGCAAATACGAATTTGGCGCTGGATTTGGGAGCTGTGGCGAGCAGAGTAATAGCCCAGCCAAAAAAGCCCAGGATCGTGAAAACGGCGCCGACGGAGCTGTAGAAAGGAAGCGCACTGGGCTTCAAGTTCATCAAGAACGGGATAGTCAACAGTCCAAAATATATCAAAAGTGTTTGGTAAGGCTTCCAATCAATATTTGGGTGAAAGATGGACACCATGGTACCAATGATGTTAGCTGTGTTCAAGGCGCACGATGATCCAGTAGCAGTCTCAGCCAGAAGCAGACACCATCCGACGAAGTATGATAGAAACGGTCTATACTTTTCAGTAGCGAGCTTCTGCACGTAGAATTGCTGACCACCAGCTGTAGGCCAGATTCCACAGTATTCAGCGAGTGAGGCCATGAGTAGGGTTTGGCCGATGGCGACGATAATGGACCCGTATAGAAGGGAGGCTGGACCGCCGACATCAAAAATTACTCCGTAGAAAACGACGACGCATGTCCATGTCGCGCTGATCATAACTTGGTAAGCGCATACTGCACGACTGTCAGTATGACTCAAAGAATGGGCTGATAGGTGGAGAATTCACGTGTCCAGAAATTGTAGACGCGATGCAACTCGGCCGACTTTCCAAGAGAGTTGAGATACGCATCATCGGTATCGTACTCAGAATGGCTGGCCTCGAGGACGGAGCCATCGTGATGGATTGGCCCAGCTTTGAACTCTTCTTTGGGAGGGTCCATGTCTATTGGAGACCGGAGTTAAAGAACACTCTTGTTGAGAAAAATGGGAACAATGCTTTAATAAAGAGTTACTGGTGGAGAACGAGGATAGGAAAGATCTACGACTGATTTTTTAATTACGAAAACACGAAGCAACATAAACAGAGAGTAGAGTCTAGATCGAATGCGGGGAAGATAACGTCGGGACAACGTTCACCAATGATGAGCTAGCCTGGTATCGCTCACATTCCATCCAAACGCCTCCTTTCTCTTCTGGGCTGTTGGTTTAAGGTTTCTCGGCAGACACCGCGTTGCCGTTCCCTTCCCGACCCGCCCAGACCGTCGACGGACGTTAAAATGCCTCCGGCTTCGCTCCACAGACCAACCTTGACGAGATAGTGCGAACCATTGAATGTAGTGTCTTCGAGATGATGGAGTCAATCTGAGAAGGGTATGTTTTGAGACAACGTCTCAGGTATGGATAACACGAAAGACTGACAGAAACTACTAACCTTTGAATAACGTCACTATGTCTCCTTATATAACCCTCTTCATTCCAAGGCTCACTGTCTCAGGTCGCGCTCAATACAAGTCTATCAATTACCTGTTTGAGCTTCTATTGAACTTGATTTGTGACCGCCACTTACGTGGAATAAAGGAAGGGATGCAGGTAGTGACGATGTCTCTGATAGCTTTTAGGTCTTCTGATGGCCTCTTACTATCTATAAATACAGAACAGAGACCTCAGAAAGTATCTGTAAACCTAGACTCGCCTCCTCCATTGGCATCCTTTATCTGACATTTACTGCTCTTGAACAAACTTTAAGTTATTGCAGCACAGTTTCCCTTTTACTGTCTATATCACCAACCTCCTTCATACACTTCTTGCTCGTTCAACATAAAGTTCATCGCAATCATTACCACCCTGGCCGCATGTGCTGCGACAGCTGTGGCCCAAGCAGGCCGCTCTTGTAATTTTAACGGCAACCCTAAAGGAAGAGTAGTCTGCTGTGACTCGGCTATTCCTGCCGTTGGAAAGTTGACGTGTTTGACACCATCCAGCGGGCGAACCTGCAGAAGCAATCAAGAGCGCTACTGCTGCAATGCCGGCGTTCTGGTAAGTACATTCCATCGTGTTTCAAGACATCAGGTGAAGGCTGACTACTCTTTCTAGGGTCGTCTTGTTATCGTTACCGCCGCGAACTGCAATACATTGTAGAGCAATAAGACAGTGGCTACAAAATGAATATTCGGGTTAGGGTCAGGATTAGGTTTCAATTATTCAAATTTGCAAGCAGCACGGGACTATTGTACAATAGAAGGACCAAACTTTCACCCATCTATAACATTCTAAGATCCGTTTATCACTAATTCATCCTGCCTCTGTAACTGTATCTGCCACCATTCATCCGGGGTCTGATTAGCATCATTCAATTTGACATCTTACTCCGTCACTGTACCCAGTCTTGTGTTACTTTTGCCCAGAATTCTTGCTATAACTGAGGGCGTGATTTGCTGTGTTCAATTGTTTTCACCCACGTCAGATCTTTTGAACACGCCCTTATCGGTCACACCTCCTTTGCCAGTGCATATCTACGGGAAGCCACTCTGAGCCTCGATGGACTCAAACAGCCAGATAAATTACCAATGTACTACAGCCATGTACTAATATTGAAGTGTTTTCCAATTGAAGTTCTGAAGAGCTTTAAAGGATGTATATTTAGAACTTCGGTCAGCTGAAACACATGACGTCGCGGGTCATATATAGACAGTCCCTCAATATGCTTTAGTTCTGCTAAGGACACTATTAGGCCAGATCCTCTACCACAGTCTGACCTTGAACCTCGATCCTAAATTGCAAAAACCTTCCAGACTCTCTATCTACCGCTCGATCAACGTTCTGGCCAAAGCCTTTTCTGGGTGCAAATGCCGGAATACGTTCAATGCTTGACGCAGTTTCGGCATCCCCACGGTACTTGGCTTTCATCAAGACTCCGAGGTCGGCTGAGTCGCCACTATCTCGAACCCGAAGTTCTACAACGTCTCCTGTTTCCAGGGGACCTATTTTCGGCTGTAGATCAGGCGGGGACTCCAAAGTGAACCAGGCTTTGTTGGTGCTTGGTGCTGGATAAAGGAACCCTGAAGCGTCTATGTCCACGATTGGATCGGTTGCTCCCAAGAATTTGGCTTGTTCTGGCATTGCTTCGTTGAAAATGAAGGTCTTGGCACCATAAACGTGCTGTGTATATCGTCAGGATGACCCTTGTCAACGGAGAATTAACTTACCTTTTCACTTCTCCCTTTCTCAACCCACCGTTCCAATACCCAGTTCGAGCGCTTCTCTTGATCATCTGCGTATGTGATGCACCCCCGTGAGATCTGACGAAAAATCTCCTTCTTGGAAGTTCCAACGGAGGGAGATGATTGACCAGTGGAAATCCACTCCAGTGTCTCTTCTATTGCTTCAGGTTAAACCACTTCTGAACAACGGGTACCAAGGTCTTGATACACTTACTAAGGATATTTGGAGACTCCACTGCTACGAGTGGTTTGTTTGTTTCCGTATTGATGAGGCGAATTCTTGTTTGAACGCGTTTCCCAGCACATGAACCCCCGTCAGAAATACCAGCTGCTTTCCGGAATTGCGCCTCTGTGCCCTCGAACCCTTTGAACGTGCTGATTAGCTGTGTCAGAGGGACGATGTCACCTTGCTGTTGTTCGGTCATCGCTTAGCGCATTGAAACCAAGGCATGTGGAGCCGACCTTACCTCGACAATACGCCAGTTGCGGAAGTTTCCAACGGTGCTACACCATTCAGGAGGACTAAAAACAGGTTAATATATTGCAATGGAATCCCAACTGATCACTCACTTATTGCACAGCGTGGTGTTGCCTCCAGTGGCCTCCCACGACATATTGCTCGAAAAGTCTTGCTTCTTTGTGCTGTTTGAGTCTGCGCCACCAGAAGCATGACTCGCCTCAGCAGAGGCCGTAACGCCATATCCAGAGACAGAGACGGCTGCAGAAGCCTTGAGAGAGTTCTCTCTTTCCGATTGTTCTTCTTTGCTGTTGGAATCAATCTGGTGTGAAGAGATAAGTCGGCCACCGATTTGGACCCTTCGTGAGAAAACATGTCCTAATACAGAATTTTTGTCAGCCGAGCCGTTGTCGGTTAGGAGTGCAATAGAACGAACCGTATTTCTCTCCGAAGGACACTACATCGTCTTTTGTTTTTACACTGGCGATATCTGACTTGACTTCGTCCGTGAGTTCAAGGGATCCTGCATCTAAAAACACAGTAACGCGTGGAAACTAGTCGGAAGGTGAGCAAAAGCTTGGCAAGTGCCCATAGAAACTTACGCTATAAATCACGTGGATCTTCTGATGCTGCTCATCATTCGCAGTGACGTCCTTACTACCTTCTTGCATAGAGAATCCAGCTTTCGCTGCCGCAGAAACACCCCAAAGTCCGCCGCCACTAATTCACTATCAGCCAATGACTAGAACGATGGGTTGTGGGTTTAACATACGCCGAGGCCTCGATTGAACTCTGACTAAACGAGCTCTTGGCCATTGAGGATTGCAGGCTGTTCTGCGTTTCAACAACAGTCATGGAGGAGGAGTCATCAACTCTGAACCGCGGGATGTGAGCTGGAAGCTATACGAGGTACTCAGTAATGCTCTGGGTGTGCATAGGACAAGGAACATCAATTGCTTACCGCCCCAAGTTCACCTGCCGTCGAGGCACCCTTGTTAGAGGCCTCAGGAGCAGCGATCTCGTAGGAATCGAAGAATCGCTTCTTGAGCTGAAAGGCTGTTGTGAGCCATTAGTCAGTAGCCGATGGCCACGCCAAAAGACGATGCTTACCGTTAAATGGAGTCCTTTCCACTGAGTGGTTCTTGGTCTTCCCTTTCTCTTTAATAGCCAAGCGCTGCCCACTGAGCAGACAATTGGTCCTGACGATGACGCTCCAATCTCTCTCGGACAATTCAGCTGCGACGCTTGGACTCGCCATTAGTTCGCTGCTTGCAATAGTTTTTAATGACTCACGATGGCTTAGAGCCCGTGGTTGCAGTCCACTTATCACCCTGGAAGGCAGATTTAAGTAACTGGGCCCTGAGGTGACTGAGTTCCGGGGCTTTCTGTGTCTTGGTTAGTGTTCCATTGTAAGGAAGATACAGGTGTATCTAAACATACCTTTAGCTTCAAGTCGAGTTGCTTTTTGAGGAACTCCTGCGTTGCATTATCGGTTTTGGTCTGGACCTTTCGCTTTTTGTAGTAGACTTTGAGGGTCTGGTGGATCATATCAGTGCTGGCATCGACTGCCTTTCCGTCTTTCTCGATCTTCTCCTCCTCGACTGCATTTTCAGCGACATTTCCATCGGTCTTTTCGTCGCTTTTGGTGTCATCGTCATCATCACTACCTTTGTCACCTTCAGCAACTTGACTAACGTACACGCTGAGATTCATATGGTCGGCCATTTCGGCGCCAAAGCTGTCGCAAAACGGATTTCGCGCACTGCAGATCACATGTAAATCAATATCATGTTCAACCTGACCTATGTTTGGAAAACATACTCAAGTGATCCAAGAACCTTGTGCTGCACAAGGAGGCGTCGAATGACCTCCAACTTGAGCTCTTCAGGCTTTTTCTCCTCTAGAAACTCGAGTGTCTGTTTCTGCTTGCATGTTTTCGTACCAGGCTCATAGGTGAAAACCTGAAGGATGTTGCTTAGCCTTTATTAGCTTGTGGGAATCTCACGGATGCTATTCTGCTAGCCACTCACGTTTTCGTCTCGACTGCGGCCATCTTGAACGGTTGCTGTGACTAGTCTTTGCAGGATGAAGTGAGTAAAATTGGAATTGTTTAAGTGATGGACCTCCGGAGTAAATGTGGTCGTCGAAAGCGATTTGATGTTTCCTTTGAAGAGTACACTGGCGTAATATGACAGCTACACAAGTCCTACGCGTAAGCCGCTTTGATCCGGCCAGCTCGACCTCCAAACAGAAGCAGATTATCCAATTGGGAAAGTCTATTGAGCATGAAAAGCTGAGTGACATACGAGAGCTCCTTCAGAAGAACTCTGTCTTTGACTCTAAAGAGTAAGTGACTGCCTTGTACCAGAATGTGCGCGATTACGAACATCATTTTAGCTTCAAAAGCCCATTCTGCGAAAAGAATGGTTCTGATGTCAGTGATGATATGAGGTTCGGGCTTTATCTGGCCCTACTTGGGGTCAAGTCTGTCAGGGAGCCTCGCCTGGATGTTTATTTTAAGGCCAAGAAGATTTTCTCCCCATTAGACAAAGCCACCCAGGATTCTATTACTGAGCAGCTAGACCTCGCCTTTCAGGTATGTCAACCCATACTCTACAGACCTGGCAAATTTATCCGATAGCTAACTCTTCACGACTATAGGAAGATCCTGAATTAATCAAGAAGAATCCAGAACTGCTGACTTCCTCTTTCAATCCAAGTGATTGGACTGCAGTCAAAGGGGAGCTCAGGTAACACGTTTCGTTCAACCCCAAAACTTTGATCACCTACTGACAATTTGCTTTAGCCATGCCGCAGATTTGACAGAGAGGGAGTGGAGTGTCATTACCCGAACCAACTGCCTTCTCAGTGGACACCGTATCGTAACTACACCCAAGGTGGATGGGGAAACAGAGAAACAGGTCTTGCAAGGTATCGAAAGAAGTCCTTACAATGGTAAGTGACTAGATCCGAGGGCTGAAAAATTGGACAACATACTAATCAGCACGATTTAGCCTTCGAATTGAAGCCTCGAGCATTTGAGTCTTACGAAGTGTCGTCCATGGGTCAAGAAGACACAACCCGTGGCGATGACGAAAAGGTACATATCCGCCCGAAGCATGCAAACTATTCCATGTATTAATTTTGTTCAGTATCATTTCCGGATACCTCGGTTTCGGGTAGATGACGATTCCTCGGTCACCGTTGTTGAAACCAAAACCAACTTTGAGAAGTCCATGGCAAAGAGCTCGTTCTCTGAAACCTCCTTCCAAGTCGAAGCGTGAGTCATGATTACGAAGTAGTGACTTCGCTAGAGGCACATGCTGATCGTTCATCCAGGAGTGCAAGCTTTTTGGGGGTATCGGGAGGTGCCCAAGCTGGCGCATCTACGGGCTCTACCGATAATTCCTCATCCCTTGAGGCAAAAGAAGAGAGGTCACTTGTCGTTAACTATAATGTGGGTTTTCCAATCTTGCGTCAATATCCTCTACTTACCAGACAAAGTTTCCCCGTGTCACTCTGTACTGGGACTACAAGTCGCTTGCTGTGTCCCAGGAATGCCTTGACGATATCAAGACCGTGGTAGACCCGCGTACAGCGGCAGAATTCCATCAGAAGTACGGCCACGTCTTCTCCAGACGTGTACAACTTGGAGGTCGTCTTTCTTCATCCGAAAGGGTTGTCAGTACTCAAGGCAGTAAGGTCGAGGAACAAGCTGAAAAGCTGAAAGCCAGTGCATCTGCTTCGATCAATTCATCCTTTTTCCAGGCTTCAGTAAGCGCTAGTCATGAAAAGCAAAGCAAGGAAGGTTCAAGCTCCAGCAAGAGAGATTTTTCAAGCTCAATGGCCTGGGAGGCTACTGGAGGCGATACACTGCTATGCAACAAGTATGCACTATTCATCCATTCAAATTTCGATCCTTGGAAGCTGACAGATCAATAGTCCTGCCGAATGGTGTGCTACCGTTAGTCTCCACAATAACTGGCGGATCGTGAATGTGAGTCTGCGTCACGCGCATAGTAGAATTGATCTAACGATACATAGCAAGATGAGGTTGTGCCTTTATACAAATTCCTCGCCAAGTTCCCCGAAGTTGGGGATAGTATAATCGACAGATTTGAGAACAGCGTGAAGGATATACCGCCATCGACTTCCCCCAAGTATAGTTTCCAGGTCTTTCAACTGGTTATAGGAGATATTTTGCCCATAGCTGTTGAAAATGATGATACCAAAATTTGTATGTGTAATGCTATAGGGAGAGAAATAGAAGCTGCTGACAACATCTTTACAGTCGACACCATCAAGGAAACCACCGGCTACTGGGCTGAGGACAAGAACACTGCCGCAGCTTCAGTGAAGTTGAGTACCAGCGCTAAGCCGTCCGATATCTCAACGCGCTTTGTCGTCAGTAAGGATATGGTATCAGGAAAAAACGGGAACGTAAGTATCTACTTTCATATATCCGTGGCTTCCATTGTTACATGACACTGATGCTGCAATAAAATAGATCCGATATGGTGAAGCCTTCCGCGCCAACTCACTAGGGCATCCTAAAAACTGGACACTGTCTTCGCACATAACTCAGCCGAAGTCTACCAGGAAGACCGATCTTGTGTGGGCACACCTCGTGGGCGAGCATGGGGCTATTTGTCTTTATAAAGAAGACGATCCCGCGAACCGTGACTATGTCCGCAACAATGATATGGTACATGTATGCCTCATCAATAACAACGGCATCAACCCGCAGGGGCCTCAGCTCATAGACAACACAAATCTGAGTGAATATCTGCGAGCCAAACAAATTTGGCATCCGAGCCAAACAGTGCCGCCCAATTTCGACTCTGAAGGCTTTTTGTTGAGTTTCCAGCTCAAGTTTCTCGAGCCGTATGAAGGGGAATTCGCGCCAGGTCCAAGGTCATGATTGCTGACTAGACCCTCTCCATACATATGTGGGGGCTGCAGAACCTACAGATGTCGAGGACGAGAACGATCATTTTCAGATACATGTTGAATCATTGAAAGACGTTATATAAGATGTTATCATTTGACAGGAAGTCGTCAACAGAACTGCAAAGCGTGGTGATGTTGTATTAATAACGGAATCAAGATGGTCTATTCTGCTGATAGTTAATTGCAACTATTAAATCGGAAACAAAAAGCAGAATTGCAGATGCCAGCCATCTGGAAACTTCTAGTTTAGCTTGGAGCGAAATCTTTGCCACCAGTCGCATCGAGTCTGGTTCACAGTACTTTCACTTAATACGCCACCGAGCCCGTTGATACTGACGATATTCCCGGCTGTGCCCCAAGGAGGAAACTCAGCAGCAGTTCCAGCCTTCGTTTTTGGAACTCCATCAACCACAAAGCTCGTGATAATATCTTGCAGAGTATCCTGCGCAACAGGTGTAAAGGTGGGGTTCTGCGGATCATTGAAGATGTACTTGAGATCCTGTGTGTGTAGTCCAGAAGTAACGTTGAACTGGTCTGTGCAAATGTTAGTTACACCTCTGCCAAACAATACCAGAGAGACTCACATGCATATCCTTCCCCTTCCATCACTTTGTTGATACCTGCAAAGTTACAATCAATGACCGCCTCTCCCCACAGGGCCATCTGTCGGGACCCCTGATCTGTATATCCCAGACTCCCATCGAACTTCGGCGGATATAGCTCATCAGTGAGGCAGTTCTGCTCTGACTCAGAGAGGCCAGGTATAGAACGTTTAATCCAAGGAATGAAATCTTGATTAGTCATGTTATCCACATCAAAGAAGAAACCTCCTTCGAAGGCAGTGTGAGAAGCAAGGACCTTAACAGATTTGTCAAAGTCGCCGCGTTCAAACATGGCGTAGGGATAATCTGGGATGAACTTCTTGTCCAGAACTGGACCGTAGATGTATGTAGTTGCGGGCGCAGCGCCGATCTGAGCGGCGTTTGCTTTGATGATAGCTTCTGAGCTCGCTTCTCGTGCTTCTTCAAGTGATGTGACATTCAATGCATCCAGAAATCCGGTATACGCTGATTTTGGTGTCTGGAACGTCGGTATAAAGGCAGGTGACTGAGCGATAATTTGCGAAAAAAGCTTCTTATCTTTACCAAGCAAGTGCAACAAAACAGATCCTCCGCCAGCTGACTCTCCCATGACAGTAACTCTGTCACGGGAGCCTCCGAAGAGATGGATGTTATCCTGTACCCATTTTAGTGCGAGTCGCTGGTCGAGAAGACCGGCGTTAAGATCCCCATCTTTTTCAACATCGGCACCTGGGAGGAAACCAAGCGCGCCGAGACGATAGTTAAGTGCGACGAAGATGATTCCATTATCATTCAAGGATTTGGCGTGTTGGAGAAGACCGCTTGGTTCGAAACCGGGCGTTGGCCAGCCGTTCTTCGAGCTGAGGATATAGCCACCACCATGGATCTGCTTGACCGTTAGCCGAAGTATTGGAACACGGAGACTTGACTTACCCAAACCAAGACAGGAGTGTCGCGGCTTTTACCTCGTTTCGCACCGTCAAATACCTTGCGCGGAACATGCACATCAAGAAACAAACAATCCTCCGTCGTCGGAGGTGGCGGCTTCCTAGCCGTAGCAGTATAGTTCTTTATATCAGCCTCCCAAGACTCAAGGCTGAACTCTTTCCCATTCGAGTATTCTGCGGTCGGCTTCACGGCTCTTGCCTGCCAGCGGGGAATACCCTGAGGACAAGCCCTTACTTCCTTTCCGATTTGGACTTCATCGCGGTTGGTCAGAGGTGGTACTGGGGCACGAAATCTGAGATTGCCGGTGGGAGGCTGCGCGTAGCGAATGTTGGAGAATTTGTATGTATCGGTATTAGGGTCGTGGGAGAGTGCGCGGTGAAGTTCATAGCCGAGATCAACGACTGGTAGGGTTGGAGGCTTTGGAGTCGCGGTGATGGCTGTTGCGAGAAACAATACATTTAGTAGAGGGTTTGAGATGCGCATATTGACTATATTGTATCAAGGTGGAGGTAGCAGTTGAGATCTTGGGTTCATGGAGACTTCACGAAAATTCTCACTGTCAACACGTAGTTTATATATAACCATATTGTATCTATACAGAACCTCGGTCGATTTCTTTGCTCGCAATAATCGAGTTCTACTGCATCTGGCATGAGTGTCAGACGAGAGGCTGTGCAATGCTGTCAGATTTGTCATAAGCCGATCTACATCTCGGAAAGTTGGCATCCGAGAAACAGAAGTAAGCCACAGTTCAATTCAATTCGGCCGAGTCCGAAAGATCACATTCTAGAATATTGATTCTATTGCGGTTGTTCCGACGCCGTCGGGTGAATAGTCTTTGTTGAAAGGCTTTGTATAATCATTTTCTGACTACATCGTGCTCGTATCAATATCCCCATTGACGACACCAATTCACCATCAACTCCTCCGTAATCGGTCCAGCATCCCTAATCGTCGGACTAGCCTTCTTCGTCCTCTCCATCTCGAATCTAAGAAACTGGCCCTTTTTCTTCCCTTCCAGTAATCCTCGATATGTATCAAGAAGCTTAACACCAGGATTCTTATCCATATCCACATCCTTCTCTTTCGCGCTGGCCTCCAACCTGTCAACCCATTCTTCCAAACTGACAATCTTCATCGCATCCCCGTAGAAATCCTTCACGGCTGGTGCGAGCGTGGACCAATCTACGACAGAGGGATTGACACCATGGAAGTATCCCGAGATCTCATCCGCTCCCTTGGGGGTAGTAATACCAGCGATGTCAAGAGTTAGACCAGAGATGTCTTCAGTGGTTGTCCAGGCAACTTCTTGCTGCGGACCAAGATGATTAGGCAAAACACCAAGATACACCGAACTCGCGATCAAGCTCGGTATGAATTCCTGTTTATTCCATAATCCCTTTTCTGCTCTTGGGCCAGCGATTTGTCCGACTCTCACAGACGCTGCATAGATACCTGACTTCTCCACAGCGGTGTCAAGGATTAAACTTGCTGCTAGTTTGGACCGACCGTAGCCCATCTGCGGAAGCGAAACATCTGTAAGCTGCTCTTCAGGAACGGGATCGGAAGAGGTCCATCCGTCAGCAGTACCGATACTTGAGATGAAAACAATAGGCACATGTTTCACTGCGGCGGCGGAAAAGTCAATCAGATGACGAACACCACGAATCGAGCTTTCGAAGGATGATACGCTAATGTTGAAGTTCACTGGCCAAGCATTGTGGATAATTCGGTCAGCACTGGCCAGCAGAGTGTTGTATTTATCTTGTCCGAGACCAAAGTCCGACAGCGATAGGTCGACGTGGAGAAATTCGACTTTTGTAAAGTCTTGCGTTAAACCGCGTGCGTCGTTCATTGAAGGCTGGCGTGATGCACCGCCATCCTCTGCACGATTGAGAGCGATGATTTTCGCGACGGATGGTTGTTGACAGAGATCGTGAAGAATGTAAGCGCCCAGAGAGCCTGTCGTGCCTGTAATCAACACAGTCTGACCCTCATCCGTGGGAGGCTTTTTGTCAGTCTTGACTACGGGAAGGGTTTCAGTGTACTTGGAGATGAGTCTCTCGGTTTCGTTAATCTCCTTCGACGAATCCTGCGATCCAGAAAGGATGTAACCAGCCAGTTCCTTCGCAGTAGGGTGTTGATAAACAGTGCGCGGCTCGAAAGTAGTCGTGTCGATGTTTGCTGCCTGCAGTGATGTCTTGAGAATCTTGGTGACGTTCATAATCTGAAGCGAGTCGATTCCCGCAGAGAAGAAATCCCGATCCACTGCAACATCATCGACGCCAAGTCTGGTCTGGAAAATAGCGACAATCGATTGCGCAAGTGCTTCTTCGTTGGCAAGATCAAGAGCAACAGTTGTATCATCGCCGTCGCCTTGTGCCTTCTCGTAAAGACTCTCAATGAACTGCTCGTACAGCTTGACAGTAGCTGCCCGCTGCACAGTCGTCTTACCAGCGCGCGCAAAAGGCAAAGCTGGATCCGCAACAGCAACCAAATCCTTCGTGATCCTCCCATGACCAACCGTTTCAGAATTAGCCTCCTCGACAGTCGGCCAAACCTTGTCAATAAACTCCTTCTTCTCCTCCTCATCCTTCGGAATGGCATCTTCAACAGGCTCAACAATAAGCGCAGCCTGAAACCTACCCTGTCCGACCACCAAGGCACCATTAACAAGCGGATGACCTGCAACAGCTGCTTCAATAGAAACGGGATTGAGTTTCTCGCCATTGGAGAATACAATGATGTCATCTGCGCGACCTTTATATAGCCAGTGGTCCTTCAATGTAGGATGGGGTTGGAATATGTCCTTTGTGGACCACTCTGATATTTCGGGAAAGATGTAAAAGACTGATTGGTTTGCTGGATCGGACATGTCTTTTCGAACAATGACAAATTCGTATTCGTTGGGGCCACATTGACGCCAGTCGATGTTCATTGTTTCGCTGTCGAAGACGAAGTATTGCCACAGTTTTGGGTCGATTGGGTGATAGAGGGCGTATGGAAAGGACCTGCATTCGTTAGAACCATTCAGCCCTTGAGCTCGGCAAGTGACTTACTCTGTTGAGGCAATCAAGTTATTCAACTTGACGCCTTTCTCGACAAGGAAATCTCCCACAGCTGGTGACAAGTTACCTCCAGCGAACTTCAAGAATTGCAGCTTCAATAACGCCTCGACACCCTTCTCACTAGCAGCAAGCCCCTCGACAATAAAAGGCGGCAAAACCACACCCTGCGCCCCAGAACCATCTAAACACTCCAAAACCGAATCAACACCCAAAGGCTTATTCGGAAGCGACATAACAGTAGTAGTTTTGGTGAAAATGCCAGCGATAGTCGCATAAACACCAGCGCCATGAAACATGGGCATTGACAGCAGAATTTTAGTTCCTTTGTCGCCCCAATCTTCCATTGCGAAGGGACAGTCGTTGAAAGAACCCATGCGCAACATGGTTTCTAAAGCGTAGAACGTACCCTGACGGACGACGATAGGTTTGGGGATGCCTGTGCTGCCGCTTGTGTGGAGGACTACAAGAGGATCCCAGCGTGCTTGGTCGATGGATTTGTCGTAGGGAAATGGTGATGAGGAAACATTGAGAAAATGCTCAATACTTTCGATGATGCAAACCTGCATTTTGCGTTGTTCGAGGCATGGTTTCATGACACCCTCATAACTCTCAGTGCAGTACAGAACATTACAGTTGGTATCCTCGAACAGAGAAAGTTGAACAGCAGGCGTGTTTCGCGGAGAGATGAAGAGGGCTTTGAAACCAGCTTTGATACATGCAAACAGGATAATGCAGTATCGCAGGTCGCTGGGACCGATGTACGCGATCGTTGGAAATTCCTCGTCATTGGGTGTTCTCGTGATTGTGCTCGACAGAGAATGGGCGAGATAATCGATGGCGGTGTTGAATTGTTGGAATGTCATTGGCTTCCAGCCACCTTGCGCATTGTCGGATGAGGGGATGGACAGAAATGGACGCTGGGGATCTTTTGAGGCGATTTTCTCAATTAATTTGACCAGGACATGATTTTCGCTGCTGGACTGTTTTTCGGGTTCAAACGGAGAGCCTCCTGGAGCTGGAGCTTCAGTTTGTTGGATATCGGGCGGAGACATATTGTACGATGAGGATGAGAGAAGAATTGATCTGTTGGTTTGTTGGAAGAAATGAACCAACAGCCAAGCCAAACTATATATACCAATTTCTACCCATTGTCGTAGGTGCTAAAACTATTGGGCTAGTTCTTGTTCAGAACCAACAGACGGGAACCAACAGACCAAGGATATCCAATCAATTACCGCCCAATTCCCGCGGAGCTTTGAGGCGTTCAAAAGGCCGGGCTAGATCATCTTGATATGAACATCTGAGAGAAAATACCGAGCTCGAGATCTGCGATTTTGTTCTGTTTTGGTGTTTTGAAGTCAGTGCGTCATCGGAGGTCGGCATCAAGAGACTCTGGCAGAGTGGAAATGTCGGCGATCGTCAGGTCCGAAAAACCGGTCGATCGCCAGATTTAAGCACTCGATTGAGGATGGTCATTCCGCCATGTCTCATGGCGTTAGACTGATAGCTGGGGGTTTGGCGGTTTATTGCCGTGGCATAACAGTCGCATCTAATAGACCCGACGCGTTTGAGGACGGAAACATTCCTTCTGGAAAACGGGAAGTTCGGTCATGAATGGGTATCGTCTTGGCAGGGCCTGTTCCCTGCTAGATCGGATCGCGCCCCAGCATTCCAGTGGAGACACGAGCTCCAACACGAAATTGTCTCATCCCAGCGCTATAGGGTATTCGTTCGACTTTCCTCAATATTGCACGTCGACAACGCGTCTGAGAATAGAAATTAAGAATCATCATAAATCAACAAGCAATAGAATAATGAAATATCCAAAGTTGGAAACAAATTGACATTTTCTAGCTGAAGGTCTTACCATAATCTGGATCGCAAGCTACCCCCAGCTAGGCAACGAGGCCTACAACCTCGTAATCGCGAATACTACGTCAACAAACACTCAATTGACTCAAGGTCATTGATCCGTCCCAATGGTAGTTCCTTGATGACCACCAATTTGAGTCAAGTTCACAAAATAACTCACTTCCGGAGCACTCGGCTCGACAAAACAGGTCAGCTGTCATCTCAGTGCCGATCGAGTGCCGGCACTAAGAAAGACCGCGGGAACTTGTCTTGCTTGTTTAGCGTGCCGGATATTCCACGGACAGGGAAGGGAATAACAAAGTCCCGACTGACTCCGCCGTGTTAAAGCCGAAGCCGCCGTGGCTTGCACACTTTATGCATGTTTTCACAATTGGGGATAAATATTGGATTCTTATCTGCGGTCACCAACCTCAATTTCAGGGACTTTGGTGTTGCACAAAATTCTGGATTGAGCAATCATGTCATGATCTGACGCTGCCAGTCGAGCTGATTGATGCTGGTTCAGCAAGCCACTATTTTTACTGGCGTTGAGTGGAATGGGCCTGATCGAACAGTTGCTGATTTGGGTGACAGGAATCAATATTTGGCTTTTCCTTGGGTTGGACGACGTCGAAATATGGATGACATGCAGATGTCAGCGTGGTAATTCAGTTCCGCCGACATGTCAAGCAACTTCAAAAGTCACATTCGAACAAATGCCAATAACCTGTTAATTGTTTTTGGTATTGATGTGTTTCCCTTCAATCACACTTGGTAGTCACTACGCTGTTGGGTAGAGCATGATTGGTCTGTTTGAAGATGCTGGGGACAATTTCTGAACCATATAATGACCCCGGGGATCCCCTTGATAGGCATCTCAACGCAGCGTCAACACCATCTTTTTGAATTCGCCTGCGACAAGCCAATTTAAGTGACCGTTGGGGACGCCGAATGGACAATTTATCTGCAGGCCTTTCGACCACACCACACGGACATGAAGCATCTCGCAGCCATTCATAAACATCTACTCTCAGAGATGCCTTGAGATTGACCAATGGAGCTTTGTATGTAGGCTCGCTGAGAGGCCTCAGTTTGTAAAATCCGTCGATCTCGTCCAACTCTGATCTGGAGCTGGAACACCATCCTCCCCAGGTAGCTCGTGTTCAAGTACCCGTCATGCAGACTCTGAAGCCCTTTTCTGACTAAATAGGCTTCTGACTGCAGAATTGGGAAACGTCCTGCGACGGAATGCAGCTGAACTGACAAGTGAGCGCTTCCCCCGCTTCTCTAGTACAGGTTCCTGGTCTATAAAGAAGTCACTTCGTCCCTTGGGATTTCAAGACTCAAGTACGACGTAGCACAGTACTCAATTTGCACATTATTGTCCAACTCGTCATTCCAACATGTTAGTCAGCATAGTCCAAAGATCGAACGACACAGTGTCTAATAGACTTATAGGCTTCTCAGCACTCTCATCCTCGCCTTCCCACTAGTAGTAGCCTCCTGGCCACACATCGAAGCCTGTCGCAAAGCCTGGCCCGGTACCTCCTTCCCCTCCCATCTCCTCCTCGCCTCAACTAACGCCGCCCAGCCGAACCTTGCGCCTACATAGCCGGCAACGCAATGGTTCTCGGAACCTGCGAAAGCGTCTGTGAAACCAACAACTGCCCCAACAACCTCATCTGCAAACCTCGTCGCTGGACCCGCCACAGCGACAACTGCGGCGGCGACCTTAACACCGGCGGGAACCGTGGTCAGACTCATGGAACAGACCACGGCCCTACTATCCTCTAGGATGAGAAGGCTCCTCCTCTGCCGGATGAATGGGAACGGGTCAAGCTTTTGGTAGAGGAGGTTTTGAGGATTGTGCATAAGAAGGCTTCTGCTGAGGAGAGTGGCGGGGGTGAGACTTTTGGTGGGTTGGCGAGGTTGTTGTTGACTTACTTGGCTCAGATATTACAGATGTGAGTGGTGTCAGTGATGCTACCATGTATCAAGACTCAATATCAATTTTATACACTTCGAAATCTGAAAAAGGTCTTGGAAGTAAAATAATCATGACGTCCTTTATCTACAATCCCTCACGATGGTTTATATCAATGGTAACAGCTTACCTTAGACATTGGCTCTTTCTCCAAGACATCAACTGAAGCCTTGACAAACCACAAAAGTAGAGACCTTTAGAACAAGAACATGGCTCTCTAAGTGAGAAGGACAGAAATTAAACCAAGAACCGAGTGAAATTGCGGCTACGTATAACATATATCATCAATGTGGTCACGTCATGGGGCACGTGAGAGCCCTGATGTAGAACAAAGCGTGAACAACATGATGACAAAATCGGAGATTTAGCTCCTTTTTAATCAAATATACTTTGTATATTAAGAACGTACTACGACAAAAGGTAAAGGCGTATTTGAACTTTACGTATTCAATTGCACATAGTACATATCCGGTCGCGGGCGTTTACTCAAGAATGACGAACGCATAGCGACATGGTGATAATGCAAGCCATCGTCATATCCATTTTCGATGGACGCGGGAATGACGAACTTGTCTGTTCACCATTCCAACGCATGTGAAAGCAACCTTTTGTGTTTAAAAGCAGGCAATCGCCTCCAATCTAAATCGTAGTTTTGGTCGATTCATCAATTCTCGCATTAATCCTATTTGCAATATATTTCATTGCAACGAATAGCAACATGAGTGCACCATCCGTTATCGTCGTCCCGGGCCCGACCGATGGCACCCAACAGCCAGGACAAGATCCTGCCGAGCGTAAGGCCGTCCACAAGCGACATGCATCGAGTCATTGACTTACGGGTTCCATCTTTAGTGGCATCTAAAATTGAACGAGTCCTCAGCGAAGAAAGTCATCCGAACAGCGAGGAAGAAAAGGGACCGTTGAAGGAGCTCATCGGTAAATAACGCCAACAAGCTGACAGAATACAACGCTAATGATCGCGGACCAACAGCTCACCAGGATAGCCTATACAGATACCTCAGTGTACGTCATTTTTAACCCGCTGATTATGTGCCTGGTCACTTACATGTCTATAGTGGGAGGATCCCGTCCGCACACTTGGCTCATACCTTGCGGCGCTGAGCGTCTTATTCGGAGCACACTATCTGCCTCTGACCTACTGGGTAGTCAAGGCTGGCGCAGCCGTCTTTGGATGTACGTGCTATTGTGACTTCACCTTGTTAAACACATATTGACTTGGATATATCAGTCATCTCCCTCTCAGAAATTGTCGGCCGAAACCTTGGCTATGATTCCTTTCTCTCCCGTCTCCGCCCTTCCGAATACAAGACAGTCCCAGAGCCTGTTCTCAATGCTACTTTAAAGGACATTCACGACTTCATTCAGTATTCTGCTATCCAAGTACAGAGAATTATCTTTGGAGAGGATCTTGGAAAGGCTTTTGCTGTACGTTGTTACTCAAGATACCGGCGTGATCAGAACTTTCGATTAATGACTATATAGGCTTTTACTGGGTTTACAGCTCTCTTTTTGCTGATGAATATTGCATCCCCATTCTCGCTAGCTGTACTAGGTCTAACCTCTCTCTATGTTGCCCCTCTTGTTGCTTCATCACATGGGCGTGCTGTAGCTAAAGACGCAACGGCACAAGGTCAAAGGCTAGCCAACACTGCCGCAGAAAAGGCAGGAGTTCTTGCTGAGGACACCAAGGCCAAAGCGGCAGACCTGTCCGTCAAGACACGCGAGACCGCTGGGACCGTGCAAGAGAGCGTTGGGAATCTCGCCCAGTCCAGCAAAGAAACCATCGATCATCTTTCTTCCCAGTCCATGGACAAGGCCACAGATGTATCTCGAGCAACAAGTGAAAAGGTTGCAAAAGTGCAGCAAGGGGTTGGTAATCTGGCTCAGTCCGGTAAAGAAACCGTCGGTGATCTTTCCTCTCAGGCTAGAAACAAGGCCACAGATGTATCCCGAGTGACTGGCGAAAAGGCTGCCAATTTGAAGGATATGGGAGTTGACGCTGTCAACAAGGCTCCAAGGCTCGTGAGCAAGAGTACAGAACGCGCGGCGAACTACACTCATCGAACCATCCCAGGCACTGTTGACGAAGGCACCCAGAACTACAGGCATGATGCGGGTGCGGCACGAACTATTCCAGGTACTCATGAGGAAGTGTCGCACAGCTACAGGCACGACACTGGCGGGGCATATTCGAATGAGATCTATGAAACCCCAAGACAGATGAAGGTTCCTGGAACCACCGACACGACTTATCGCTCCAGTGCTACCTCGGGAAAACGGGGTGATGTAGCATTTCGCACGTCGGCTCGCTAGATTGCCGGCAAGTAGATCAGCTTCGAGTTTGATCTGCTACCGCTGATCAGTATACGATATTGTCACTTTGGGGGCTATCCATACTATTGTACCCATGTATTATATAGTTATCTATCTTTCCTTTCTTTTAGTGCTCTATATAAGAATGCGCTAGAATGCTGTTTTGTACTATTCCAACACTCGCTACCTAGGCTTCCAAGATGAGATAAGCTTGTAATGAATGTTGCTCAATTAGCCGAGACTTCATTGTGAAAAAAAAGCATTTAGTGTTCTGGGAAAGTTGGAATTTTATAAGGGGACGGTTACTATTACTTATATGGTTCTCAGTCTTAACGCCGCTGCTGTTTCCGCCGCTGAATCGCGAAACGTCCTCTACTTTGACCAATAAGTTCGCCATTTTCGTCTCACATAATGTTTCTCCGCTGCTGACAATCACCCAGATGGCACACCAAAGATCTTCCTTCCAAGGACAGCACCAGTGGCGTCACCCATATAAGAACGTCGGTAAGTGGCTCTCTCAATCGGGCATTTAGTCACGGCATTGTGATGGTAGTATTAGCTGCAAAATACAACGAAACGTATATCTCAACTGTAAATCAACTAAAGTAAATATAGTTTCTTAAGATCTGTAAGACCAGCTGGACGTCAGTGAATTATATAAATCATCAATTACCTGTCTAACTTGGTGGATCTACAACAAATCCTCTTACATTGAGTACAGCAATTACGACAGACTTTTCTTTCCTTGGGCTTCAGTACAATATAAATACTTAACGTTATAGCTTATCCTTCGGGAACAGCCTGACAAGATCTCTGCCCTGTAAAAAACTCCTTCGGTTGACCAATGAGCTGTAACGCAATTTCAGATTACGCGTCTTAGACTATGCTTTGCCCCAGCCACTAAATCCCATCACTCTAGTCCCCGTAGCTTTACAATGCTAAAAAGGAGCCACTTTATGCTTCGGTTTGTGGGAGATCCTAAAAGGGCGCCAATATTCCTCTACAGCAAAACAACCGACTTGCCAAAACAATGGCGAAAACATCCACTTCCGTAGCAAAGTCGCAACGGACTTGCGTAACTTGAACTGGAAGCTAGAGACTTCTCACTTGCTTGATGGTCGTCCTTTGTGGTATATAAACGATACAATGCGACCTCCGGAATCAATTCATTACCACACCCACTCTCAACAATCTCCTTCTATCCAATAATCAAAATGGTTCCTTTCAAGACTCTTGCTTCTGCCGGCTTGTTGCTTCCAATTTCGCCTCCGCTCATCCTGGTGAGAAACATGATCATCAACAGATCAAGAGGCAGATCCAAGCCCGTGACACTATTGCCAATCTGGGTCAGAGATCGTTGAATGCTTGTTCTCGTTCCGACCATGCTCTGGCACTTAAGTCTCGCTCGATTTCGCGCCGAGCTCGAAAGGTCCAGAAACTTCGAGAGAAGCTCGGTATCAAGACAGGTATGTTTGCATTGTAACACTCCACTACCCTTTTACTGACTCAAGAAAAAGCACCTACGAAGCACCGCCGTGATGAGGATGATATCGTTGCTTGGGAAGGTGTCGACCATAACCAGACCGGTATTTTCAATAACAACATGCCCACTCCTCTCGAGACCGTCTTTGGTGCCAACTCTAGCTGCATCTTATCTCCTGAGGTCAATGCCGGGCCTTACTGTATTGTCGGTGAATACTTGCGATCAAACGTCATTGAGAAGGAGCACTGCGACGGAGTTCCTCTGTTCCTCGAAGTCCAATACATCGACGTTTCTACTTGTGGAGCAGTTCCTAACCTAGCCACCGATCTGTGGAACTGTAATGTCGCCGGTGTTTACTCCGGCGTGAGCTCTCAGGCTGGCATCAACACCACTTTCCTCCGCGGTATCCAGGACACCGACGATGAAGGTGTGGTTCAATTCGAGACCATTTTCCCCGGACACTACGAGGGACGTGCCATGCACACACATCTCCTTACCCACGCCAATGCATCCGTTTCCCCCAACGGTACAATCCAAGTGTGGAACAGCCCTGTTTCACACATCGGACAGCTTTTCTGGCCGGAAGATCTACGCAAAGAAGTCGAGGCGATTGCCCCTTACAACACCAACGATGTCGAGGTTACTACCAACGAAGAGGATATGTGATCTGTCCTGCAGGCCTATGTGTCCTACAATCCATTTCCTCAGTATGCGTATCTAGGCAAAACTGTTGAGCAGGGATTCTTTGCTTGGATCCAGATCGGTATCAATGTCACGGCGGATTACAGCTCGGATGAATACTATCGAGTTGCTGGATATTTGGACAGTGAGGGTGGTCATGCCCTGGTAGCGGTATTGGTGGGGGTAATGGTGGTCAAGGAGACAGTCCTCCTGGAAGTAGGTGAGCGCCCCTGCAGGTCGGCCTACTGCTGCGCCTTCATCCTGATTGGAGAAGGATATCCTTGATTAACAACTATTAGACTTACCCTAGAACATTCAGTAGATAGATATGTTGGGCCGGCTTAGTGATGGAGTTATAATCTAATTCATTCCGTCTTCTGCAAAGACCTGATGCATAACTTGTTCATGGGAACCTGTTAAGTAAGCTTTTCTACCTTTTGTAGTTTAATGCAACGCCCAGATGCTCAGAATACCTTACTGCTAGGGTCAGGGTCTAGAGTGTGCTATAGTATATATTCTGAGAAACTTTCGCTAGAATCTGATTCTAGTCAGAAAATAATTACAGCACCGTTTGCTTGAGCCTGCGTATAGCTTACGCCATGTACCCTTAATCCATCCCCATTGAGAAGAGTGACAATACCACCTCTGTTGGAAAGTGGGACTGTGGTTTGAATAGTCAAAGTGCCATTGGGCCCAATACGCTGGCCGTCTAGTATCTGGGTGTCTCCAGTCTTGATACGAATCTTCCATCCACTGAGGTCAATCTCATGTTGGGTTCTGTTTTTGAGAGTGATCGTCTCTGGGGAAGTTCCTGGCTGCTGATCGGGGCCAGAAGGGTTAACAAGAGCCTCAGCAATGAATACGGGCGAATCTTCAATGTCATCTTCCTCCTTTTCCGCATCCGGCCGCTCAGGAGCAAGGAAGTTGGCCCAAATCCTGAAATCTTGGTCGGGCAGTGGGTGACCGGCACGTTTGGGCCCATCTCGAGTATGAACTGCCTGAGAGGCAAAGCCAATAAAGACAGCTTCCCAGTGATCCTCAAATTCGAAAATCAGACCGCCATCCTGGAAAACCCCATTATCATCAGCTCAGCGTCCAGAATTTCCCTGGTTCATGTGCACATTATGTATACCCTTGCCTCTGCTGAACTCAGAGCCATAAACATAAACTGTAGCCTGGGCTGAGATGGCCTTGTCGATAATAGGCTTCAATTGATCGAGGATATCATTGTCAGCTCCGTCAATGTCATGAGGAAGGATTCGGCCATTGGCACGGTTGAAAAGGTTGCTGCGAATATAGTCCAGTGCAAGGCCATCAAGACTCTGCTCCAATGTGCCAGCAAGAAGATGGAAGCCGTTGCTGAGTTGGACTAGCTTTTGGGTAACGCCATGGGTGAAGTCAGAAACTGTCCAGTATGCAAGACGGGATTCGTTGCGGTTTCCGGACTTGATGTTGACAGCAGCTCTGCCTTCTTTGCCCCTATCATCGTCAAAGAACAGCGAGAGGTGAGGTGTTTTTGGATCGTCGTCCCTGTCCTCAAAGGTGTAACGAACGGGCTTTGCACGCCAGACGCCGTAGCTTTCAACAACCATTGTCAAGATTGCAGATAGTGCAGCAGGAAAGAAATTGAACAAGGTTGGACGTGATGTCGAGGGTCTGTTTGTGAAAGGACCTGTCACTTATGGAGAAGCGCGAAAGGAAATATATAGTAGAAAATCTGGGCGTCTGTTGTAAATGTGCGGACATGCCTTGGGCAAAACCCAACGATGGCGCAAGGAGCTGAACTGAGACTGCATACCAGTTAGCCAGCCACAAGCTGCGCTTCTGGAGAATATGTGACCTCTAGGGAGTCCTTCGTGCTTTGTGGCCTGACGCTGTGAGACAACCTGCAGTTATCCTCTTGACGGTCTACATGCAAGAACAGTCATACTGATCAAAGTGGTAATGTTAAGCCACTTACCTGGAAGCTACTGTCAAGACTTCTACACAAGTCTCATACTACGTACTTTCCCCATATAATCTTTGGCGACGCGTTTGATGGACTCGACGAGATGGTATGTAGCTGCAGGGTCAGAATGAAAAGTAAAGTTTGCTAATTTTCCTTACTGAGACATATGACTAACACGACTTATCTGTTGGTTGGATCGATTGTGACATCCGTGGCATTACGGAACTCTTGGCATCGAAGATTCCTCAAATTCGCTTTCGTCGACGGCAAAATGTGTCACATTGTGCTTGTTGAGACATAATGGTCATTGCTAAGAGTAGCTGGAGTATTGACAACAAAGATGTAAAGTGTTGTTAGGAGAACCAGTGGACGACGTAGAGATGACCTGATGCCTGTAATGGCGGTAAGATAACATTCCTAGATCCTGCATCTCGTGGACAACTTGAACTTTCTTCTTACTGCCACTTTCATTCCATTTGAGGCGGTGAATGTTCATCGCCGTAAGACCACGGAGACCCGTGGGCCCTGTCTTTCCAGCTGACGAATCAATCGTGGGTAAACTTAGTCTGGCATTAAAATGCAGTAACGTGATCCACAAGTCGCCGTGATGTCGCGGAGATATACCTGTACTCTTTTGACGGGAATCTCCGTGCTAAAGCAGCGCTAGTTTCAGAGAGGCATGTATACTAATACAATGATGTCCTATCTAGTAACTTTGGTCTTTTCTTGGTTATTCCAGCCCTACTGGAAAGTGGCTGGGTGAGAGTGGGCGAGAACAGTCTGTGGCGTTCTGTCATTTGCGAACTAAGACAGGACCTCCACTACTAATATCCTATGCACCTTTAGGTGCCATACCCTTATGTGTTTAATTGAAAATGATTGCAATTCCAGTAATAAACCAGATGCACAGCCTACGTTATACAGTCGAGACTGGCTGTAGCTAAAGAGATGGCGCACTGCACAACTCTGGTGGTTGATATGTGCCAGGACCTTGATTTGAATAGCTATGAGCTTCCAAAATTCATAACAAGATATTCATCATATCGCATCAATGGCTAAAAACGCCATTTCAATAGTCTGTCAGTTGACCAGTTCGAGGTTTAACATTTGACAACCAGAACTGAAAATGGCCTGGGGAGTGCGAGAAGGACCATGTATAAATAGCTCCTTCATCTTCTGTAACTTAGTTATAAAAGTAGGCTGCTCACTGATCACCATCGTCGTCTCCGACAAACAACGTCTCGCTCCTTCTGTATTCTTTTCCAAGCCACTAGACATTTTATTTCACAATGAAGTTCCTTCCTGTCTTCCTAGCCCTTGCATCTGGTCGTACCGTTATCTCAGCCACGGTCGGTCCCCGAGCTGAAGACACAACCTGCAATCCGTACACCGACTGGGGCCATACAAAAGGCTCCAAGAGCTACTTCTGTGCCAACCTTGCGGATTGGCAGTCACCAGCAGACTACAATTGTGTTGCATATAAGACTGCAGACTTTTGTAGCAGCAAGATCTACTGCGACAACTCCAAGCCTTGTCCTTCTTCCCAAACCTGCTACTACGGGATCTGCGTGCAGGCTGTTAATGGGAAACAATGCCAGAGGACTTGCAGTTCATAGGTATAATCGGCCTTCTATCTATAGACAGAAGTATACTTACCTGCTACAGGGACAGCACGTAACGACACTAGGCTAGCTCAGATTGGTAGAAGGACAGTTGGAAACGTTAAATACTTGAGAAATCAATGTTTACTGTAGTTAGTCTTAATAATACCTCTAATATTTCTCTAGTAGCTCCCCGCATAAAAATAACCCCCTGGCAATATACATAACAAAGACATGCGAAAAAGAAGGATATGTAGTGTTATAATACTTCTGAATGGAACATCCACACGGATTAAAAGTTCCGTTGGTTGACGCATCCTTCACCAATTGTATCAAATGACTTAGTTGCTGGTACGAATGTCTGTCGCGGATACAGTCATCTGCGTCTTGTATATACTGCGCTTTCAACAACTTTAAGAGTTCAATTTCTCTTACCGATCATTTACGTCAAGACTCTTTCGAACTGCCACGACGGATTTAAAAAGAGGAGAGATTGGTACTACCCATTATCCCGGGTGGTATGCCAAATGGAAAGATGTCCAAGCGCCAATCAATGTCAAAGCCATTCTCATTTTGACATAAGGATAAACACGTTTGTATGCCAATGCCTTCTCCTTCCAGGCGGTCATCAAACGAAGGTCGACTTCCCATTCTTCCTCACAGCCTGTGAACCGACAACCGCACCTTTACCAATTCACTCATGGCATTATGTCACAGCCAGATGGTAGATACGTCTTTGAAGCCACGCGAGCGGTAAGAAACCTCCTCGGCCTCTTTATTCGGCTTGAGCCACGGCAGGCATTGTGTTACCTGCCTTCACGTTTTCATTTGTAAGCCTGATTAAGATCATGCGACCTGATGTCCGTCTCAGGTGCTGACAATGCCAAACAAACAGATACGGGGTGCACGCAGCTGTATTCCTCCATAAAACCAAAAGTGCTGGAGTTTGTCAGTCTGCTGCTGAGAGGCAAGAAGTGACCAATCTGGTGGTGCAGTTTATATCAATCATGAACGAAGCGCCACTTGTTGGAACACACGTATGTCATGGGTACAGTGTCAAGCTTAAGGCTCTGGTGTCCATGCGACGGGGAAAAGTTGAAAACTCCTCTCAAGCCCAACACAATGTTCAAGTCTCAGTGATAATCGACCCAGAAGATAACGAGGCTAGCCTTGGTTCTTCAAATACATTACCCCAACTTGAAACACAGCAGGACAGCGGTCAGGATACACATAACAGCACTTTTGACCATGGTAGGCTGGAATGTATCGGGCAGTAATTCTAGTTTGGGAACAACGAGCTGAACTTCCAGTCAGTCGAACGGTATCTTTTGGAGTCGTTCTGGCTTGGTATTACAGAGTTTGGGTTGACAATAAACTATTAACTTGGACCCTGATCACTTAAGCAAACACATAGCTGAAAACTCAAGGATTCTAGACCCTCCAACAGTGTTCTATAATTGAAGGATTAGTGACGCTAAGCTTATTTTCAGGGGTCTCACCATCCCGATTGGCGGGATTGACGCGCTAACGCCTCGCTTCTTCCAGCACTAACTGCTTCTTCTATAGCACTTCCAGCTATTGATTCAAAGACTGAACTATTGATTAATATGTGGAAATAGGGATGAAAGCCTTAGCATAAATACTTATATCCCTGAGCTACGTCTTTCTTTTCTCTTCCGTTTCTACATCCATGCCCTAGTGTCCTAGCAGAGCCATTGCACGATGCGATCCAAGGTTGTACTATTGGCCTTGGGCCTCTTTGCGGCGGACTCCGTGTTTGCTAGTCCTTGTAAGGCAAGATCCTCTTGTAAGTGGAATGAGCCATGAGCACGAGTCGTAGGAACGTGTCTAACCAAGAATACCTTCAGCGTCAAATGAAGTGACGACGGCGTCTACGGTTGTAGGGGGAGAGACCACCATGACTATCTCTGCAGCAGAAACCACCGCAACATCGGATGCCTACACAACTACCACGGGGACGAAGGACGCTGAGACGACCACCGAAATCATCACGACCGCAACATCAACTGACCAGACAACGACCACTGCCGCGCCAGAGACTGAGACAACTACCGACATCATGACCACTATAACTTCCGAGGCAGAGACCACTACAGCCGCTGCCGAGGCCGGCCCGACCTTTCAAATAATTGCTAGCGGCGGCTCTGCAGATGGCGCAGCTCTGCAAGCTCCGGACACCATGGAGGCTGACGTAGTAACGTTTAATCCTCCCGCCTCCGAAGGGTTCCGACCAAGAACATACATCCTCGAGCCTAACACCGGCCGAGTCAAGGATCAGGACAACGGCCGGTACCTGTGCGGATACTATCAATGGACTGGCTCAGTTCAGTCAGTTCAGCCAGCCTATGTTCAAGCCTGTACAGGTACCCCCGGTCCCAACCAGCCTGCCGAGTACCTGAACTGTGAGATCTTTGAAGGCACGCTCTTTTGCACGCTTCCGCAAGCCATATGCTACCAGGAAGAAATAGGCATGGATGTAACATGCGTAACTTCTCGCAATGGGATTTATGATACCGTTTATGACCCTGGGGCTGGTAATCAATATATCCTTATTGGCGGAACTGGTATCAATTTGGCGCCTATTGAACTTATTGCTCAAGAAGTATAAGGATGGGCTAAGAATGACTCTTTAGGTCGTGTTATCTCCATGTAGTTTCTAGTAGAAGCTATTTTCACGGCCTATGATTGAGCATTCGGTGGCATGTTGGATCATAGTTGGAATTTCAAGTTATTGCTTCGGTGTGGACTTATTGGTTGTATTATCTCATTGTACGGATAGTGTAATGTGTATTCAAGGACACTTTACACCATTTAATATTACTTTGTTTCCTGAAATGAGGGACAAGAACTGCGCTGCTCCGGTGAGGTCGGGGTTTGCGGAGACCATTAATGCGGCTACTGACAACGACTCAGATGCCATTCGATGGTCATCTCAAGCTACTTACGCAAGAACTGTCGTTAAGGCCTTGGGTGGCGGGTGAGACTGGCAGAGCGCTAGACAAACGTATCTTTGAACTTATGTTTGTACCCCAAGTAGTACCTGAAAGGCATCAATAGGCTGCAATCCAGTCTATTCACTGGCATTCCTCTCATTGAGTTCTGTCTGCATCTTCCTGCATTGCCAGCTAGCCACTGTCAACGTCGAAATGATCTAGATTCAATACTTGCAGCGAAGCTAGCCGGGTCTGTCAGCTCAGCTGCTCGTTTAAGACGTCACTAGTGTGCCTATTGGCCCTAACCTGGTGACCTAACAACCCCGCCACAGCGGCTGCGCCCGCTATCATGGCGATGGTTGATATACTACGTCGCTTTAAGCCTAAATCAGTGCCTTGACAGGCTACATAAGCTGTTTCACAACAGTCTAGACCTGCTAAACGTCTTGAGACATAGGTTCTGTTTTAAAACTATTGACAATAGTTCACAATAGCATACTGCACGGAACTTATATAGACATGGGCAATGCGATGGATAACTTGAGTCAAGGGTAATCCGGATTGAGCGAAGACTTATGTATATAGACAAGACATGCGTACGTGCCAGTCAGTCGAACAGAACCGTCCCTCCATATTCCTCCTTTCAATTGATCCTTTTCTCCATCAATTATCATAATGTCGACAGCTATCGCCGAGGACCTCGTCGGTGCCTCTTTGAAGGCTCTTGCCAAAGGCGCTGGCGAAGAAGCCGTCAGTGAGATCTGCTCTTCGCTGATGGGTAGCGTCTTTGGTGGAGGCGACGATTCTAGTGCTGCAGCTGATGCAAAGATTCTCGATCAGCTCAGCCAGATTATGTCCAGCCTTAGCCAAGTCCAGGACTCTCTGAATCGAATCGAGCAGGCTGTCGCTCAGGTAGATCTTGACGTTGCTGCCGCCGCCATCCAGCAGCAGGTCTCCATCATCAACTCGACCTATGATACATACTTTGATGGCTTGAATGGTCTTGCTGCAGCAGCGAAAGGGACGGACCCTGCCTCTCCGCAAAACTTCGCACAATACCGCGATCGCCTTGTGGGGGAGTCAATTAACGTCAAGAACAATATTCCTACCAACTTGAACATCATTCACGGGTTCATCATTGACCAGGACTTCCTCGGAAAGCTAGCAACAGCCAGCAGCCCAGGTATAGATATCGTCGATTTCTATAGCAAGGTGAAGCTTCCTTTGATCAAGATTGCGATGGTTGAGATAAAGGGAGTCCACCTCCTTCGCCTTGCTGGCGCCGCAAATCAGGATCCCAGAGTCGACTTTCCTGATGCTGCAGTTGCCATCCAACGTGCACTATCAAACATGGAACTGCAAGACCAGGCACTGCCGTCAGCAATCGGTGCGGAGACCTGTGGCTTTGTATCTGGCATGCTAACCAGTTACCCCAAGCCGGCGCCAGCCTGTATCAGCCCTCTTGAAACAAGGGGACTCACCTTTGGCAACCAGAATGGCGACTCGACATGGTACGGATCTGAAAATGCCCAACTATGGCATATTGAGCCAGCGAACGACAACTGCATTATTACGGATGGCTCGAAGGTCAATGCATTCCGCTTGCTACACGTGGATTCGAATAAATACCTATCTATCCAAACTAAACCCAATCTCCCTATATTTAATCTCAAAGTTTTCAACCTGGGAGCGGAAGATTTTGATAAGGCAGCAATCTGGAATTTCCATTTGACTACTGACAAGAAACTTCAAATACAATCCCAAGATTATCAAGATACCTACCTTACGGGAGTAAAGGACTTTGGAGATGACTATCAATCTCTTCATTATGTTTACCTGGCGCAAGACTACGGCAATCGTGCGAAAGATACTCAGACATTCGTTGGTAACACGTACCAAGGCCCAGTCGGCGACTTCTGGCCTGGCAACGTCACCGAGATGCACGATGGAGAGTACTTGATTCCAGGATCTTATCTCTATGACAATCACCAAACGTACAGCTTTGGCTTCAGAGACAACAAGCTTGGAGTTTGGGACATCAAAACCAATACCTGGAAATGGGATTTCGGTATCCTTGTGGGTATGTCCCGCAACTATTACCTCAGATTCTCAAACAGTGGCGTATTGACGCTGTATCATCGGTCTGACGCGCTCCGGGCCTGGGGTCCACCAAACCGAGGTGGGACTTGCTATGTACTGGGAATGTCATATGGGGGTTCCTTGTTGATTGAAACTGGCGAAGCTATGTATGGCAACTGGTCCAGTGACAAACCAGATATGGTACAATTATCGGATTCATAGTCCTTGAAAGATGCAATTGATGATGGGAACCTGACTTTCGGGCGACCAGCCACAACGGGGTTAAATTCATGCTCTGGACTTGACTTTTAACCAGATAGCTAAGAATGATTAGCAATATACAATCCTGGCATCCAAGATTGGCTTTCAAATAACAAGGCCGGGTTATCATATACCTACTGAACACGTATCTTGAAGATAATCTGGAAAGGTTTGCTTCAAAGTAGGCAATGGCGGCTTGAGGATCATGAAACAGTTTGCATCCTGCGAAATTTTAAAAGTATATTAAGTGAGAATATGTTCAAAGTTATCAATCCAGCCTCCCTGTCAATGTCTGCAATGCCAACCAGATTCGCCGAACTTATTCAATCAGGGATAACGAGTCTACGGCACAAGTACGTTGCTCTTTATGGCCAGCGTTTTCCTGGCAAATCTCATAGCGGCATCCAGGCGCAGTGATAAGGTTTTAGTTTATAGTGTTAAAACATTTTGACTCTGACTTTTGCATGAGGTCGTCCTCGTTCCCCTACCCTAAAATAAACTTCGGGTTAACAACCAGGCTTTATGAAGAGCAGATGACGCCAAGCCCATTTCATCGGGAATAACAGGTCTGAGGGACAGTACCCAGATTCATTCGGTCACCATTTATAACAAGATTCGACAGTGTTATAATTCTACTGCACTCACTGTATTGTATTGTCAGCACCTCCATCGATTTTCAAATCAACATCGATTCTAACCAATTAATCCCCTTCCGCCTCCTCCTTAACGTGGCGTCCTCGGTTACGCCGGCCGGGAATTACGTGCCGTCTTAGAGTCTCGGCACATAACCCGAGTTAGCTCAAACCCTCTTGGCTTTCGCCCGCCAAGAAGCTACATTATTTCCAGAGCGCCAAGAGTATCCATACCAAGTCTCTCATGCCCCATAAATGAACCAGGCGTGCGTAAGCAGACGGCCAGAATCAAGGAACACAGGTCTTGGGTGTTGGGCTTTGACTTAAAGGTTTGATGATACGCTGGATGACGTTTTATTTTTGGTTACCATATAGGATGGATGAATTCCTCTGGGATGATTGATCTGCATCTACTTATTGTTAGTGGATTTGGCATCAATTGATCTACGCTGTCAAAATGGTCTCTCAAAATGTCTTCAATCTGTGCCAAGCCACTGAAACTGTTAGTTCAGCTCTAGCAAAAGACCCAAGTCAATCACCCGGCGACATTGTCAAAGAATTATACCACCGCGAACACGATATCAAACCAACACCACCACCGTCACCACCAAACGAATCCGTCAGTGCCGTCGAAACAGCCTTCCAATGCGGCCGTTGGGGCCCAACCGTACCGAGTCAACTCTTCCTCCAAGCCTTCGCCGACGCTCTACAATGTCTAGACAAAGACCCAATGGCTGCAGTGGTATCTCCTCCTCTCATGGGCACCCATGGCACGGTACCTCTTACAGTTATTGCGCCTCTTGCGGATATTATGCGGCATACTGCTAATCTTATCGTGCGTGCTCAGAAGGAGGTGTTTCTGATTACGTGCTCATGGGCTCCATCCGTCGCACAAAGACTGATCAAGAGCGCCTTGATCGAACTGTCAAGACGTGCTGGTCAGAGAGGGGATAAAGTCGTTGTGAAGGTCATGTACGACAAGGCCACGGCAGCCAATGTCAAGAATCCACATCAGCACGTCAAGCAGAAATCCTACACGTCTGATTCAGTCGACCTCCCTTCACCAGAGGAGATACCGAACATCGATATGGAAGTCGTCAGCTTGCACAAATACGTGCTAGGCACCTTGCATGCCAAATTCTGCGTGGTGGATCGCAGGGCTGCGGCTGTTATGAGCAACAATACTGAGGACAATGATAATCTTGAGATGATGATCCATGTCGAGGGACCTATTGTTGACAGTATATACGACACTGCTCTTATCACCTGGAACATGGCTCTTAGTCCAACGCTCCCTCTGTGCGGCGATTCTCCTCCCCCATCCGAGAATGGCGTGCATCAATCGAGCGAAGTGCCTGTGTTTCACGACCCATTTACAGCCCAGGACCAAGTCGCCGATGCTAGTGACCCAGCACTAAAGGAGCACACCCCAGAGGATCCACACTACGACGAAGATATGGCAGGCGAAGTGCGACGCATGCAAGCCAGCTACGAAGACAAAGACCACGAATCCCTCCTTCAAGCAGCGAATCGCAAACTCAACGTCGCAGCCCCGAATAAAGTTGATCCTACCGGACCTGAGATCCAACACGGCGAAGAAATGACGCCATACATCCTCAATGAAAATCCCACGCCCGTTCCCATGGCCCTCGTGTCTCGTGCACCCTATGGTCCTATAGACACAAAGAATGTCAAGGTTCCGCAAAACGAGGCCTGGCTATCGTTGATACGAAATGCTCAACGGAGTATCTTCATCCAGACACCAGACTTGAACGCCGCGCCGTTGATCCCTGCACTTATCGAAGCCGTCAAACGAGGTATTGAAGTGACATACTACGTGTGTTTCGGCTACAATGATCCTGGCGAAATGATGCCCGGCCAAGGCGGAACAAACGATCAAATTTCCCAACTCCTCGTCTCATCACTACCAGAAGGTAGCCCAGAGCGCGAACGTCTACATATATACAATTACATCGGCAAAGACCAAAACCACCCCATCCACCAATCCTTGAAATCCCGATCCTGCCACATCAAACTACTTATCGTAGACGGCAGCGTCGGAATTCAAGGAAGTGGTAATCAAGATACTCAATCTTGGTTCCATAGTCAGGAAATCAATGTTATGATTGATAGTCCGGAGATTTGTAAGATGTGGAGGGAGACTATTGATAGGAATCAGAATACAAAGATGTTTGGAAAGGTTGCGGAGGATGGAATTTGGAGGGATAAGGAGGGGAACCCAGGGAAGGGATATATGGGGAATCCGGGGAGTGTTATGGGGTTTGTCAAGGGTGCTGCTGGGATGATTAGTAAGTGGAAGAATACGGGTGGGTTCTGAGGTCGTCTGGTCTCTTTTTGTTGGAGTTTTTCAGTTCATTAATGATACACGAAAAGCGACTTGTTTGTACCATTAACTCTTTATGATGCCACTACAGTTTGACTAAACGAGTCCCATATTCCTACGTGTCCCTTTAGTGAGACACCAAGATGTCTGACTCATCGTATGGGCGATACAAGTTTACAACTTTGAATCAAATCGATTTACTATTTTTGTTCATTCAAAGCTCAATCACAGCAAATAACAGTCTTCTACTAACCCTTCTTCATAGAGGCAAGATAAGATTCCACATCCGACTCCCTCAAACGGGTAGCCTTACCATTAACCTGCTCCCCAATATCCGTTTGGTAAGCCTTCATCTTCTCCAGATACTCAGGCATGAAGGCGCCAAGAATTCGAATAGCGAGAAGGGCTGCGTTGGTGGAGTTGTTGATTCCCACGGTGGCAGTAGGGACGCCGCGCTGGAAGATGTTAGTCTGTGTGAGTGAAAGAGTGGGGTGAGACTTACAGGCATTTGAACAATGCTGAGAAGAGAGTCCATGCCGTCGAGGTGAGTCGCCTTGACGGGGACGCCGATGACCGGGAGGGGTGTGTAGGCTGAGACCATGCCCGGCAGGTGAGCAGCTCCTCCTGCAGCGGCAATGATGGCCTTGATACCGCGCTCGGCAGCAGCCGTAGCGACATCACCCATCTTGACGGGTGTTCGGTGCGCAGAAGTGATATCGACTTCCCAAGGAACACCAAACTGAGTCAAGATATCAAGACCAGGCTTGAGAACAGGAAGATCAGAGTCAGAGCCCATAGTAACAAGTACCAAAGGTGCAGGAGCAGATTTGGCAACGGCCTGCTCAGGTCGCATAGCCTTGCTCTTGGCGTTGATTCGCTCTTGGCGCATATCAGCTGCCAATTGAACAAGAGGTTGCGCAATGTCCTCGAGTTCCTTGATACTGCAGTCCAGACCAGTGAGAGTGATGTGACCGATCTTACGGCCAGGCTTGGACTGCTTGCCGTAGAGATGAGGGTAGACACCGATCTTGGGAGCGAACATGGCCTTGGCCTTCTTGACGAGGGGATGGTGGGATTCTGGTGAGGCGCCGCCGAGGATGTTGATCATGATGCTGGATGAGACGTGGGGGTCGAGACGTTCAGGGAGGGGCTCGTCGAGGATGGATGTGAGTTGGGCTTTGTACTGAGACCTGCGATCCGTCAACACCCGCATGATATGGGGAAGAGTGGGGGACTTACATGTAGGGAACGGCTTCGATGGTGAGATGACCAGAGTTATGAGGTCTAGGGGCAATCTCATTGACAAGAATCTCATTCTTCTCAGTCACAAACATCTCCACAGCGAAAACACCACGTCCCCAAAGTTTCTCAACGACTGACACGGCAACATCCTGCGCACGCTTGGAAACCTCTTCAGGTGTATCACGAGGAGGCATGTACACGCGGGAACAGACATTATCCTCATGGACAGTCTCAACACAAGGGTACGGCACAAGGCGCTTCGTCGTACCATCGGCGTCTTCTGTGCGGATGACAATGACGGAGAGTTCGCGCTGGAAGGGAACGTACTTCTCAGCGTAGCATTGAAGGTTGCCGAATTCGTTCACGGCGGTCTCGATGTCGTTTTCGTTGGCGATCTTGATGTTTCCCCGTCCGTCATATGAATCCTTTCGAGACTTGAGCATGAAAGGCAATCCATACTTGTTCGCAATATCCTTCAGCGCAGCGCGCATCTCATCGTTGCTGGAAGCTTGAACAGCAGTCTGCTCAGCGATAGGGATACCCTGTTTACCAAGATAATCCTTTTGCTCATACTTATCCTGGATAAGACGCAGCGTCTTCCAAGAAGGATAAACAACCACCTTTCCCTCCTTACTCAACTCCTCCAGAGTAGCCGTCTCGATATGTTCTGTCTCAACACTGAGAACACTGCAGTTTGACGCAAGTTCTCTGATTTTGGCAGCGTCTTTGAAAGAGCCGTCGACGTGGTACTTGCTGCGGGAGACTTGCTTTGCTGGGGCGTCTTGGGCGTCTAGGATGGCGATTTCGACTTCGAGGGGAGAGGCCGCTTCGCAGAGCATGCGGCCGAGTTGGCCGCCGCCTAGAAGGCCGATTTGAGGTCCTGTACTCATTTTTGGCGGTTGCGGTCGATGAGATGAGGGATCGTGAGTTTTTGCTGGGTTTGTGCGATGAGGTCAGAGCAAAGACAAGGGAAAAATTTAGATCGGAGCTTGAGCCGGAGGTGGGGCTCGCGGGGGAGGGGTATGACTAATCCCAGCTGTCAACTAGAGGAGTAAACAATGATGCGGGCAGTGGCTTTAACCTTGGAATAAATCACCAATTGAATCAGTTCCGTATCTCAATTCAATTGGCGATACTATTCACTGTGTTTACGGCTTTTAGCTGTTCGTCTTACCGGGATCGGTTCTCACACTCGATCAGGTCAACCTCCGATATCGTCAACCCCCACCAATTCTTTTTCAGTGGATCCCCGCGCTATCTTATCGCGACATGGGTCGGAGCAGATGCAACTCAAATTCAAATCCATAACAAGCCAACACTCTTCTGCTGGCGAAAAATGGACCCGAATCTTGATCTCTGTAGGAGCTTAATGCATCTTAACTCAACCCAGCACCGTCAACGCCTCCAACATCTTCCCGAAGAAGAATATGCCAGGGTTAGGGTAATTGCCGAAAGAGAGCAGGAGACCCAGAAGTTGAAAGAACTCATTGCAGGCCGGGACCTTGTACAAGTGGCTTTCACTAATCCCTCCCAAATTATAGCGTGTCAACCGCTGAAATATGCCCTACTTGGCCGGACTACCTACGACCGTGACGAGCATTCAATGGTTACACGTACCACCAACGATGTCGCAAGAGCAAGTTTCACCTTAGTTGTGTTGATTTGAATTGTACAACTTGATGACTGACCTTTAAACCCCTTAAATAGGCAAGTTCCATCTTAGTTTCTTACATCGCAAATTTTGATAAAAGTCCCCGGCCTTTTCTCTTAGATGCGTGGAAGTTAGTCTATTGCGATATATGTTATGTCAATGAGGGTAAACTGCAGGACATCTACGAAGAACGCCTTCGAGAAGAACGGCTCCAAACCCCTGCCGCCCGTGCCAGAGAGCTTGTGCGGGACGATGAACTCAGGAAAGCTCGGAGGAACGCTGAATGGATGATTCCGGCTATTGAGCGTTTTTCAGATGAGGCACAAGCACAGGTCGATCAGGAATACAGGCAATCCATGGAACCCTTCTTACAGCTTTGCCAAGACGAACGAACGAGGCAAATCATCTTAGCACCGCGGGGATTCGAGAAAACCTTAGAACGAATCTGGAAGTGGGTATCGCCGGCGCCGCCAGCCTGGATACAAAAGATCCTTGAGGTTAAAGAAGAGTTTGGTTTTATCTGGTACATGTCCAGAGAGGTCCAATAGAAGCACGGGAATAACTGGCACTCAGTCTGGGGTAATTTACATGATCTCTCTTTGCCAAAAAGGGTAACCTGGTCTAGTATTCATTGCCAGGGCTATGGCAATAGGATGACTTTGCGTGGATTGGAAACTGAGAAGTGGCCTACGTTTTATCCCAACGAGAGTATGGCAGAAGATGATGACTTGCGAAAGTAAGTCAAAAGATGCATTTAGCAAAGAATGCATGTACTAATTACGCAACAGACACTTCAGAGAAGAGAATCACGATCTTTTTACTGCTGGAATTCTACGGAATACTTTTATTGTCATACCTATTGAATTAACTTGCGAGGACAATCTTCGTCGTACAGAAGCTAGTGGTGATCTTCTTGATCCTTATTGGGTTTGGGCATATGATGCAGACTGGGACAGTTCAGAAGAAGAAGAAACTGTCTTTGATGGGGAGAATTACCAAGGGCGTATAAAGGTAGCTATTTGGTCGGTTAACTCATGGTTTTATGCTGCTCGCAGCGAGGGTACAAGTCTTCGGGATATGTGGCTAAAGGCACAGCAGCATCCTGAAAAGTTATGGATTTGCTATACGAAGGAATTAAAAGAGTGGGATCACGAGCCGTACATTTAATCTCAGTCTTGTCATGATAACTAGGGCTCCTGTTACCTCAAGGCGTAGCCCAATTAAACATTAGATCGATTTGCTATAGTGATTCTCATGACCTGTTTCTATGACTGAACTCTACTGTCTAATCTCTTTGAAATTGTTCCACGCGGACAGCCCTTTGATCTTCGAAAGAAATTTTGCTTACCCTGGACAGCAAGGGATTCAAACACTGTCCCATTTACAGGATTACAATAGCCGTGAAACTGATTATCCACTAACGAAAAAAGTTAGTCAGTGCAAGTCACTCGTGCCATAAGAGAACCGGCACTTACCATCGGCCATGCACCACTTGTCATCTCGGCGAAACGACTCAAGACGAGCTGACGAATATTGTTAGTAGGATTTGAACTGGAAATAAGGTGAAAAAGACTCACCCAAATAGCCAATAGTATCACCACTGCGCTTAAAGTCCATTTCCAGTTCTTCAATCCCATTGGGGTTGCCATTATAACCGCATGTTCAGGGTAGTCTCTGTCGCTGATCCAATAAGGAAGACCCTGGTCAACGAGCGATTGATCCCAATTGAGTATAGCTTGATCGAGGACCATATCATCTCCATCACAAGCCACCAATCAGCCACATGATTACTTCTGTTCTTTCATGAGTCTACAGGTTCAAATACGAACCAGGCAACCGCAATCTGATTTATCAAAATTAAAAAAAAAAAAAAAA